CACTGCAGCCGTTGACATTGGCAAGGCTGCCGATGGAGGCTTTGTCCTGGCCGTTGAACTGGTCGTCAACGCCCCCGGACTGGATAAGGCCACCGCCCAGAAGCTGGCCGAGAACGCCCACCAAATCTGCCCCTATTCGCGTGCAACTCGCGACAATATTGAAGTCAAGCTCACGGTTGTCTGAGCCGTCGACAGATTCCCGAGCGGCAGTTGTGAGGCTCTCCACTTGAGCCACTGCGGCAATTCCCATATCCAATCTTCGACCCAATACATTGCTTGAGGCTCTTGGCGGCCGTAAAGCTGCAGTGCGACGGGGCAGTGTGAGGAAACAAATCGGGGGGGGGGCGCATGGTCATGTTCATGGCGAGCCCGAGATCCATCCGAGATGCATCCAAGCAGCAGCGGGACACACCACTTCCTTCAAGTGCCCTGTTCGAAATAGGTTCTGCAACTTGGAGCAGGATCCACCGCTTCATTTTCGAGCGGTCGAATCAGCCGCATTCCTACTTCATGCCAATCAGCCGCGATCAATCGATCTGGCGGTGTCGCTGCGGGGCATCCCTTGCCTTAAGAATCTACCTTCCTCGCCCCTTCGATCTGCTCGGCCTCTGTCTCTTTGGTTTCTGCCTGGAGCCTCGACTTCGTTCCCTACGCGATTGCATCATCAACGACAGTGTCCAGCCAAGATGGCAATGGAATATAAACATACCATTGTGGATGCCCACCCTAAGCCGATTCTCTGCGTCCAGTTCAATCCCTTCCGGCGCGAAATCTATACGGGCGGGGAGGGTATGCGGATGGCCGAGCATGTCAATCGTCGTGCTGCGCGGAGGATCGCCTGGTTCGGGTGCCTGTGCTGACGATATGTTGCCTGCGTCCGTGCGGCATCCGACACACAGATGCCATGATTCGTGTCTGGGAATGCGAGTCCGGCAAGCTTCTCAACTGCTTCTCGGAGCACACTGGCTGGATCTCCTCGCTGCTCTACTGCAAGGAGCTCAAAACGCTTTTCTCGTGCTCGATCGACGGCTTGATCATTGCCTGGGGATGGAGCCCCAGCGGCAGCGGCAAGGTGTTGCAAAAAATAGCGGTTTGTATCTCGACCGACAAGCAGCTACGCTCGAGCTTGGGTCAAAGTGCGGTCCAAGTATCGATGTGCCGAGTCAACCGCATATCAACATGGAGCGAGACCATATAGTAGGAGTACTGGCCCGATGTGTGTCTCTGGCGAAACGCTGATGATCTGTCCCTGACCTCCTTCATATGTGGCTTCTCCCGTCATCAACGGTGCTCACAACCGGACTTGGCCGGCCAGACGGGCTCGCCAGTGTTCTCGTTGGCATACAACGCCCGTCGACAGCAGCTTCTTGTCGGCTGCACCAAGCGAGTGCGCATTTTCCGCGTGATCCAAAACGACGATATGCACTCGACCTCGGACGTTCTTGATCCCAAATCCGTATCGTGCACGGAGCACACGGACATTGTCAGCTGCATTGTGTCGTGCGAAGGTCGCTTCTATTCGGCCGGGTAAGTAGCTATCGCGCGCGTTGATGGCTTTTCAAGTGCAACGCCCAGGCCTTTTCTGATATTGTCGGGAACGGCGGCGACCTTCATGATTGTAATAGAGGCCTTCTGGGGGGGGGATATGTTCGCTCGTCCATGTTCCATGGGAACTCGCGTCAGCATGTCGCCCGGTGCCGATGCATCTCATCCCCCGCGCTTCTCTGGTACTGATCTGCTCCAACGGCTCTGTCCACAGGTACGATCGCAAAATCGTCATTTATGACATACCCCACCACGGCGATCTCAAAATCAACGTCTCACATTCCATCTGCAATGCCCACGATGCCGCCATCTCATGCATGGTGTATGGGAAAGACGCCGATAACAGCTGGTGAGTCTGATGCAGCGGTTGCTTTCTACCCAATCTTGCATCGGTCGCGTCGCTCGTCGACAGCTTTGGCTCTGCGTTCAGCAGTTGCTCTAACCCAACTCCACCTCGATCTCGACCAGGCTCATCACTGGCGCCTTTGACAAGATTGTCAAACTCTGGTCGCTCGACGGAAATCTGCTGCAAAAGTTTGACGGCTTCAGGTAGGTTTTGATGTAGAGGACCGGCGTGTTGTGAGGCGAGAGTATGCTCGCACACAGCATCATTCGCGGATCCGACAACGATTGAAACCGAAAGGAAACGCTGGTTCCGCAGTCGATCCGCTGTGTCGATTGCTGCACTTGTGTCAGCACTGATCACGAAGACTCACTCTTCCTGTTTCCTCAATCCGTCTCTCGGCACCCATCTTGGGTCCGGTTTTGGAACCCTGTCGCTGCACATTGCATCCGATGCCCCAAGCGACACCATCAACTCAGTCTGCTATGTGATTCCGACACAAACCTTGTGGATCACTGCCAGCTCGTCCTGTCCCGTAGTCTTTGATCCCCGCAGTGGCATCAATGCAAGTATCTGTTCGTCGTGCTGACGACACCGGTCCCTCCTCTTTCCCAGTGACCTCGTCGTCAGAGCGACACGCACTCTGCGAGCATGATGGGGACTAAGGCGGATTATGTTGAGTTCCTGACGATTGGAACCTTCCTTTTCCACTATCACTCCAGGTCTCCGACTTTGTCTCCACAGACAACGAGCTCTTTCACCAGCACAATGGAGCATTTTTCTTCAGACAGCTTCTCTTCGTTCCGGAGATTAACGAAGTCATTGGGCTCTCGAACCGCCGATCGGTAACGACATGGAAATACAATCCCGTGGCATCCGTGACGGTTCTCTCGGGACACACCGATGTTGTGGAGTGCCTTGCGCTCAGTAAGTCGGACGTGCACGATCCGAGCTCGATTGTTTGAACTGGTACAGCCATAACACTGACTGAACTTCCACCGTGAGAACGAACATGGGACTTCCCGGTTCCAGAGTCGCTGATGTGTTGATGATTTTGTTGCTAGCGACCAAGGAGCCCCTTCTGATTTTCAGTGGCGGCGGCGACGGTGTCATCCGAAAATGGGAGCGACTGCAGCTGAACTCATTCATGTACAGGTATGCGAGCAGGGTGGAAGGGGGTCAGCTGGTAGGGATATCACAGCTTGGTTCGGCACGCATACCTGGGTCAAAGGAACCGTTTCTGTGAGCAAGCACAGAATCTCGCTTTGACCATGGCTTTTCTTTCAGCCAAGAGACCTTGGCGCTTCCAAAGGAAGAGAAGCCAGACGAAGAGGTGTTTCACAACCACATATCCAAGGATCCGGAAGAACGACGAAAGAAGCAAGCCGCTCTACACAAACGGGTGACAAAGAGCCTGAGCTCATGGAAGCGAGTCATGCAGGAGGATTTGGAAGGGCACAAATCGCAAGTGGAGCTGATGGCCCGGAGCACCGTCAAGGAGTGGAGACGCAAGCACATCATGATGAACGAGCGACAGTCCACCTCCAGCGACGAGGCTGAGAAGAAGAGCATCGCACAGAAAAAGAAGGCGGAGATCGCCAAAGATTTGACCAAGCCGGCCAAATCCGGGGTGCTGTCGCTCTTCTACTACGAAGACCTGGACTATCTCATCTCTGGATACGAAGACAGCCGCATCCGTAAGCCGAGGCAGTGTCGAGTGCGGTGGGGCATGAATGTGTGCATCCGGTCGGTATGGACGGCGGCTGAAGATGTGCATGTGGTGGCACTGGCATCGATGGCGATTCGTCGCCTGAGCCTCGCGGCCGGGGAAAGATGCTGCCGAATGGATCAAGCTGTGTGGTGCAATCCCTGCTCGCAGCGAGTCCTCCGATGCGAAGCCATCGCTCCCCTTGCAATCAAGTCATCTTCGATGGACAAAGTATTAAATCTGCGACAAATGATATGGCCGGCGCAGATATCTGGGGATACAACATCGAATCAATGAAGTTCACCGCTGAAATGCAGGCTGCCGCCGATTTCGGCAACGGCGAGGGCCTCGAGTCGGGAATCACGGGCGAGAGCGTCACCAATCGAGTGGCTGGAATGTCGCTGAAGCACACGCTGCAGAATCACAAAGACGGAGTTTCATGTCTGACATGCTTCAATCTGGAAGGCCGACACTGGATGGTAGGACTCATTGGGATGTGTATATCGGCGCTAGACAGCTGCTGGCTCGGCCGTGTCGCCGACTTGACCCCATTTTGCCCCGCTCGCATCAGGTTAGCAGCGGCTGGGACCGCCGGATCTGCATCTGGGATCTCAGGACTGTCAGGCTGCACGACGTGTTTCGCCACGGGTCCTCGAGCGGTCTGGCCAGTGGCAAGGATGAATATGCGGCCGATGGAATCATTCTCGATATTGAATACGCTCCAGAGCTCAACGAAATCGGATACGCCAGTGCAGACAAGATGGCCTACATTCGGAAGTTCTCGCCAAAGGGGGATGAGATGAAGCTCCAGTGTGTGCTGCAGGGCCACGAGGCCGAAGTGACTCGGGTATGCGGCAAACGAAGAGCCACAGTGTCGGGCTCTTGTTGAATCGAGCGTTAGGGATCGCTGGCTAAATGTGCCCTCACTGGAATTGCTAGATTCGATGGAACGAAAAGTTTGAACAGTGGGTCACTGGGTCCGAAGACCGCACCGTTCGAATATGGGTACGTTCGGGGACACGATTCAACGAGACTCGATCTGGACAGGAGGGTGCAGGATCATCTCCGTTGATGATATGGCAGTCGAACTGGATGCTGCACTTCGTCGAGGGGTGTGCGCATGTGTTGTCCTGTTTGTCGTTGTTTCAGTCACCAAGGGCCCAGCAGGCATTTGCACAGCATTTGACACCCACTCGACCGCAGCTTTGAGCAAAGTGATCGATGTATCTCACATCCGGTTGGATCCGATATGACCTCATCTCGCATGCTTTGTATATGGCTTGCGGACGCTGCTCGCGCACCTTTCCCACACCCCACCGAAATCGTGCAGCCCAAGGAAGGCATTCCATGCTTGAGGGTGGTCAACAACGACGGCCCGTTGACGGCGCTTTCGATCGATCTCTTCAACGGCTGCATCATCACGGGATCACAAGATCGAGCGATACGGGTGTTTGATCCGTCGCTGAAAGAATGCAGTATGGTCCAAAAGAACGTTGGACACACAGACGAAATCAAAGCAATCTTGCACATCCCCGGACGCAACCAGGTGAGCCATAGCCAGGCTTCTGAAGGAGCTTGGCTCTGGACGCCATGATCGAGGAAAGGATCGAGGACAGGATCGAGGACAGGATCGAGGACAGGATCCAGCAAGACGGAAGGGTAGGGCGACCGCATACATCCTTCTATGGTCATTGCCCTCCAACACAGCATTCATTTCATCTCTTCAGTATGTCTCGGCCGCATGGGATAACACCTTGAGAATCTGGAACGGTGGGTGCTTCTGGATGGCACTTTTGGTCTGCCATTCGGCTGGTTGGTTGATTTGTTGGCATCTCTGTGGTGGTGGTGGTGGTGCCTTTGCCGCTGACGAGTCTCGATGCGCTGCTCTGTGCCATATCTTGTTCCCATTCTCAGCCTATCTGAAGAAAGGTATGAAGATACGCGTCGCTCTTGGTCTGCGAGTGCGCTTCCTGTTGAAGGCTGCGATCGGCCTGTTGGTTCGGCTGCCCTATCCTGACCCCGCCGTCTTCCAACCAGGACAACGCCGTGTGTCGACAAAGTCATCGGGCGACTACCATGCTATGGGCTTCTTTGACGAGATTGACGAGGTACGCAGCGGAACGAAAGCCTGTCTGATGCTGAATTGTCCGGTGAATGGCTGAATCCATCTGCTGAATCGTGGGAGCCCGGATCAAGCGCCCAGCAGGACAGTTCGAGGCGCAAGACGAGCTTGTGCGGGATCCCTCATTGCCTTGCTCCTGTCTCGGCTTTGGGTAGGCTCAATCGGCGGAAGCGACTGCTGCAGCTGCGGCTTCAAAACCAGCAAACTCCAAGGACCAAGTCGAGCTGCCAAAGAAACTGGACGTTGCAACCGAAAAATCGGTATGTTCCCAGTCCTTTGTGCCAAGGAGTGATGCAGTTGCAGTCATGCTCGCTACTGACGCCCTCATGCCAATATCCTCATCCATACACCCCTGGTCAAACCAAAGTTCGAGCAAACACAGCTTGAGGATGAGCTTCGCCAAACCCTGAACGATCTGGAGACAGCCATAATGAATCCATCGGTAAGGCTGGGCATTGATGCAACGGAACAGGTTGGCGATTGGAACAAAGCACGACAACCCGTCTTGGTTGAAAGCTGAAGCCTTCGATGTGATCCTCACAGGGCCCCAAGAAACCATAGCCGTGATGCACATCTTTGGTGCATCGATGGTGCATGTTTGGCACCGACACACCAATCTGGCGGTGTTCCCACAGCGATCGAGCCGATTACAGCGTTTCCAAAATGAAATGAGACACCTCCGTTTTTAACCAGGACAGTGTTTTTTCTGGAACCTGAATACACACACCCACTCATCGCATTCATGGCCAAGCAAGTATGTCCAAGGAGACCGAAGTGGTGATTGCCTTTGGGAATGCTTCGTGGAAGCAAGGGAAGGGATACACATCCAGCCCACGGAGACTCAGGTTTGCCAAGTATTTCGAGCAGTTCACCCACCACCAGAGACGACCACCAGACCCATCCGTCTCCAAGATCCATGTGTGCTCGGTGAACGAGTTCAACACATCCCAGGTGTGCTCACATTGCCGGGAATTCAAGCGACTTGAGTCACCCGAGCATCTTGATATCGAGAAACCACATTATGTACGGAGCTGTACAAGCTGCCATACGCTGTGGGATCGTATCATCGCCCGTGCTCGTCACCATCGGCATCATCTGGCCAGACATTCAACCAACATCGTTCGGTCTGCATTCGGTTTGGCCGAGAGGCAACCGAGAAGAAACCGAGAAGAAGCCGAGAGGAGCACGCCACACACACACGCGGTGCTGGATCTGCCACCGCCTTTCTGGTTTCTGGCCTTTGGCTTCGTCGGCCTCGATCTACCCCATCGAGCCCTTCCTCCCCACCACGCCCCGCAGCCAAGATGTCGTCCCTAGACATGTCACTTGAAGAGATTGCTTCGTCCCGGCGATCGAATGACAGCCGATCCCGGGGCTCGCAGCGCCGGAACCGAGACACGGAGGTCGACGACTTTGCCGTCACGGATCGTCGCTCGGGCGGCAATCGCCGTGCCTCTGGAGGATTTGCTGGCCGCCAGCAGCAGCAGCAGCGAAGCAGCCCTTACTCTCGCAGAAGACGAGACGACGGCGATTCGAACGACACATGGACTCACGATCTGTTTGAGGCCGATGGCCGCTCGGGCCGCGCGAGTCGCTCGGAGCGATCGACGGCGTCGGAAGCCTCGGCTCGTCTGCAGATCAGCAACCTGCACTGGAATGTAAGCCTTTCCTCTCCCGTGGTTGTTGGCGATTTTGTGATCGCTGGTGGATCCGTGTGCTGGTGGATCTGTGCGCTGGTGGATCTGTGCGCTGCCCCGATGTTCACGTCTTGCTTTCGCCGCCTGTTGTCCCCCGCATCGACTCACCTATGGGGCATTTGCATAATACGTGCGCTGTGCCGGCTGCATGCGACCAAACCCAAAGCGAACGCGACACACAATTGACTTGATCCGGCCGCAATTGTCTGCTTCCAGGTCTCGGAGAAGGATCTATTAGAGTTGTTTGGGTTAGTGTCCGGATAGAGCAGCACGATCTGAACGGCACGGGTGCTTCTTCGGTGGATGCCCGTATTGATGAGCCATGCGAATCGGACCTGCTCAGATCGATTGGCCCCCTCAAGAGCGCCAGGATCAAGTTCGACAACTCGGGTCGGTCTGACGGCGTTGCCTTCGTGGAGTATGAGAGCGTCCGGGATGCAACAAACGCGATCAGCACCTTCGACGGCCGCAGCCTCGATGAAATGCCGATGAAGGTCGCCTATGCCCCCTTGGGCCGAGATCGCTCGACAAAGACGGGTGGTATCCAGTCCCGACTGGGCCCTCCTGCCTCCGGCGGCCCCATCAGCTCGAGACTGGGTCCCAGACCGTCAGAGAGCAGCCGCCCAAGCCGTGGTGGAGCCAGACAGGACGACAAGCGATCGACCCGTCCACGCCCCGCTACTCACGAGAGCCTCGACGCCGAAATGGACCAGTACATGACCGGCCAGAGCAGCAAAGACGAAACAGGAACCATGGATCTTGACGCTGCTGGAACCTCGGGCGGTGCTCCCGGCGGACGATCCATCGTCAGCTATGCCGACGCCTAGAGACATGAGCTGCTTGGCTTGAAGGCCCCCTTGTCCGCTTGCTGATATTCTTGCGCAACAGCTCCGGGTTGTGAGGATATTTTAATTCAGTCACGGCACCATCGTCGTTCCTGTAGGACACCCTGCTTGGGACCACCGATAGCGGTTGCATTCCATCCTGAATACATATGGCCAAGAGCACAAATGTTCACATAGCCTTCGGGATCAATGATGGGTTCTGAGAAAATGAGGGTGCTGTATTTCGGAACACATAGAGAGGGGGGGGGTCTCTTTCTTGGGAAGACGGCGTGTGATCAAGGGCGGATGGCGGATGGCGGATGGTGGATGGCGGATAGCTGCCTATGGGTTGCCTATGGGTTGCAAATGGCTTGGATGGTGGCCGGTGCTAGACGCTCGCTCATCGATCCAGCGAGTTGCTGGAGGGGCGAAGAGCAATCCGACAGACGACACCGGCAAGCATCCGTTCGGGCGAAAGCTGCAGGAGCATACGGCCGACAAGCTCCGGCAGGGTAATTTGGCGGTAAGTCCTCTGGCGCTGGGTCCTTTGTGCAGCGGAATACAGCCGGCGGTGTCGATGAGAGCCAGACTGCACCGCTGGGGCCGGATGGCCCGTCGGGACCTGCAGGGAGGGCGGGATTCCTTGGATGGGTGAAGCGGAGCCTCGGTCCACTGACCATGGGCGGGTGTGGGAACTGGCCTCTGGAGCGAGCGGGAAAGCGGGCTGCGGACCTGAGAGTGGGTGGTCAGAGTGGGCCTCGGACGGAGGAGAGGAGCGACCGGAGAAGGCAGACGCAGCGGGAGACGGCATTCAGGGCTGTGAGTACTCGCTGAGACGGCAGGGTGGTCGAGGAGTTGATGGATGGGACGGAGGAGCCGAGCGGGGGATACCCGAGACTGACGGGAGTCGACGGGAATCGACGGGAATCGACGGCCCTGTCGATCAGCCTGCCGGCGAGGCACTGTCCTCGATCGCATCTGATTCGGGACACTAGTCGATCATCAGAGGGTGATCGCAGATGCAGTGGGGAGAGGAGGTGGTTGTACGATCGGCGTGGGAAACAGGCTGGCCCGCTCGTTCCTCTGATCTTCACGGGCGACGGCAGGCGGGAACCGATATCGATTGCTCAGCCCGGCGGACGGAGGTGACATTGCACTGGATCGACTCCGACTGGCGCCGCAAGGAATCGCTTTCTGCTGGCATTGCACTCAATCGACCCTTGCTGACACTGCATTCGACCTCCTCGGGCCAGCGTCGCCTCGACAGCACACCCCAATCACAAGCACTCCCCGGGCCGATCAGCATCCGGAAAAGCATGAGCGGCATCAGCAGGGTTGACATTAACATCAGAATCACACGGCGGGTAGACTGTGGCCAGAGCAGAAATATCGACATGGGCGTGGGGATCAGACAGCCGAGGCTGTTCGACAGTCATCGACAGCGGCATGTAGCTGCCCGACGGCCCAAGTACACTCGCAGGACGGGCAGAGTGACCCCGGCTGGTCCGCTGCAGCGGGTGCAGACTGCCAATCTGGCTGTTTGCACGGCGACGGCAGTGTGGGAGGGTCGACGACCACCACCAGAGCCGATGGGGACCAGTCCGCCGCCCGAATTTATCGGTTTCATCGTATCGCATCGATTGCGACGATTGCGACGATTGCATTTATTACACCCATTGCATCTATTACACCCATTGCATCTATTACACCCATTGCATCTATTACACCCATTGCATCTATTACACCCATTGCATCTATTACACCCATTACACCGATTGCATTCATTACATCCACATCCAGTCGTATCCAGTCGTATCCCGCCGTGTCCCCTTCGTATCCCGCCGTATTCCATCGCATCTCACCGATATATAAGGCCTCCCACCCGTCCGTCACCCCCTCCTCCCATCGGCATCGCTGCCAAGTGCCGTCCTGCGATCGCTGGACCGCCGTTGAGCCATCACATCCTCGCCGCCTTGCTATCGAGCCGCCATCGCTGCGTCGTTATAGCTCGGTCTGATCCGCGTTCCTTTCCCGCGAACACATCTCTCAGCCTCAGAAGTATAACCGCTCAGCATTGTGAGCAGAGTTACTCCTCTCTCCGAGCACCCTCCCCCCTTCCCCGCCTGAACATCCTCCCGTCCTCGGCATCTTCGGTTTGTCTCGGCCCTCTCTCTCTCTCCTCCGTCGGCACTCCCGATCCACGCACGTACTTGGTCATCCCGCAGATCGTCTCGCTCACTTGCCGCCGGTCTTGCTACCCTCCACTTGCCAGTCCGCCGCTCCTCGCCTCGGCGGTTTCCACTCGCAACACCATGCCCAAGGCCGAGTCCACGGATCCTATCAATGCCATCGAGCCCGATCGCCTGGCAGTTCCTCACGACGTCCCGCTTTGCCACCCCCAACACCCAGGTTCCACTGCGACTCTGACCAACAGTGCCGCCTCGCTGCAAAGGGAGACCTTTGACGCTGCCGGTCCCCTCAACGACAATCCTACCCATTCAGTGGATCCTCTGTCGCCGGCATCCGCCGAGGGGTCTTGCCAATCATCGTATGAATACACCGGATCTCCTCCCACCCAAATGCAATCGGAGCAGAGGTCAAGCTCCTTGATATCTCCCCGTGACGGCGAAACCAGTCCCCTCAGTCCCCTCAGTCCCAGCTCTGTCGGCCCCGGCAGCTGCAACATCGCCACGAGCTCCGATCGGACTCTGAAGCTTGGTTCGGCGGGCGCCTCGGTGCCATCATCGCCCAGTGGCTCCCACGGCAGCCTTCGGCTTGGCTCAGGCAATCGGCCCGGCTCACCAGACCGGCTCACACGGCGAGGGTCCGAACAACGATCCGACTCGCATGAACCCTCAACATGCACCTCCTTTCGACGCGAGTCCCTGGATGCTGCCACCACCCTGCGACGGAACAGTTCGCGGCGCTCGATGGATGCCAGCCGCGACGGTCTCGTCCTGCTGCGATCCCCTCGCCGGGTTTCCTGCGAATACCAGGACAAGACTCTATCCGATATCCAAGAGATACAGCAGTTACGCCGTGGACAGGTCGACCCGCTGAGCTTCAAGCGGAGCAGCCTTGCCATTCTCGATAAAGTCAAGTCCATCTTTAACCGACGGAGCCGTGACCTAGATAAGCCTGTCCCCGTCGTGCAGTCGCCAAAGCGGTGAGTGAGTGGGCGAGCGAGTGTGCCGCCTGTGAAATAACGCACTAGCGAATGTGCTGCCTGTGAACAGCGTACTCGCCGCTGATGTATCTTCGCATCTGCGGTGGCACGGACTGCTTTTGCTTGACTCCAGACGGCCGTCGTTTGAAACTCGCGCTGCTCCGGATCCGCCTCATCATCCAAATGACGATGCGACTCTCAAGCCCGTGACCCTCAAAGAAAGGCGCTGGAGCTTTTCCAGTCCGCAAGCCAAGGACTGATTCGGCCTCGTCCGGGACGGCCATAGGCTATTCACAAATCAAACCACATTCTCCTCGGGCGGTATACGGTGGCATCATAACACCGCACTAGTTCACAGCTACACTCTCTGTCAAAACGAACGGAATGAAATGAAGCAAGACACTCTGTATTTACGGCAAGCGACGACTCGAGTTCGATTTTATCTTCTGGATTCTGAATACACCCATCTGCGTCGTCTCGCATCCGGCGGCGGTGGTGGTGGAACGGTTTCAAAGTACTTGGCAGGCCCGAGTCGCCACGAGCACGACGTATCCCCCTTCGCTTGCTCCCACGAGGCATTCCCAAAGTCAACGACAATATCGTCTCCAGGGTCATATGCTCTGTTTGGCCATGCCGTTTGGTCGTGATAGACAGTGGATGGGTGTGTATTCAGGATCCAGAAAGAGTGACTACCCCGACTCGACAACAGGCTGGCCTCGCGGTCGGGTGGAGGTTCTGGTGCATTTGCTCGGCCTGCATCGCCAATGAGTGGCGTGCTGGGGAATAATCAAAGCGGACTGACGGGCTAGCACTTCTCAATGACAACGGCTGTGCCGTAGCAGCACACTTCGGTCATTCCCTGGACGACTTCCTGGCAGTCGAACCGGATGCCGATGACTCCGTTTCCGCCAACCTGGGCAGCCTCTAGAGCCCCAAACGCAAGCGCGGCGAGGAGTGGAAAGTGGGAAGGATTCGTTGTTAGTGAGTGGTTGAAAATACCAAGTCGCCGCTGGGACGTTGCCTCCGACGGCATCAGGCTCTTGGACCCGGTCGCATTTCTGCAGACCCCTGCCTGCCAGGCTCGAGGGGAGGAGATGCGGCTTACGTTGCAACAGCCGCACAAAGGCCGTTTCTCTCGACTTTTCGGCCATCTCGAGATAGATGGAGTTCTCGCCGCCTGCCAGGGCAGCAAAGCCGCCGATGATGGCCTTGCCGACCTGCATGGAGAGGAGACCGGGGGAGAGAGCCAAGGACAAAGGCCATCAGTAATAGCCACGATGTGCGGCGGATCAACAGTGCTGCAGAGTCTGTGCTGCTCGTTCAAGCCCTGTCTCTTGACCAGGCTGCCCATGGTGCGTTCAACATACGTTGGGATTCCGGACGGTGATGCCGCGGACCATGCCGAGATTCTGTCTGATCGCGAAGCCAGGCAGCTCGTTGCCGGTGGTGGTGAAACGGCGGTCGACGGTGGAAGCCATGCTGGATATTTTGGAGCAGCTGAGATGTCTTGCTGAGATGCCTTGCTGAGATACCTTGGGCTGACCGCGATGCCTTGGGGCGACGGGGAAGGCGTTTATATCGTTCGGCTTCGTTCGCTTCGAGATGCCAAGACCTCGCGTTGATCACGACCCTTGCGCCGCGAGCAAAAACAAGCCAACCCGCACCTTCCTCCTCTCGCTCCGTCTCACTCCATCTCACCCGCCATCGCACCGGCCTGCGCCTGCCCTGCGTCTTCCCGGCGTTTGCCCTGCACGGACCCCCAGCCAAGCGACAAGCCGGCAGCCAGCAGACCAGCAATCCAACGAACCAGCAGCCAGCAATCGGCTGCCAAGAAAGTCCTGTGCCCTCATGCCAAGAACTTGCGGCCTGCGACGTGCCCCGCGATGGTCGGTGGTCGGTATCTGGCTGCTCTTGCTGCTTGTTGTTTCAGCGACGGCAGCAACGGCAAGCCATTCCGATCTCAAATCAGAAAGCCAAGCACAGGAACATTCTGCGCCGGATGTCTCGCAGGCCGAGCAGGCTCCCTCGGCCTTTGAGAGGGCTCTCGTCAACCTGACCCTGGCGTTCTCCAGCGGCCACGCTTCATATGCCGACGCTCTCGACTCGTACGGCAGCGGGCAGAGCGACGTTATCGATGGATTCTTTTCGTCGACGAGCGGACACAACAACAACTGGGCAGTTCTGGTAGGTCGTCCTCGGGCCAGAGTATCGAGTCTCGATCGTGGGCAGCAGTTTGCCTGCTCAGGAGGACCCGCCCGTCTCACCACTTACCCCTCCCCACCTTACCGCTCTGCCCGTCTCTCGCCGGTCGGCTATCGGTGGTGGTGACGGCGGTCAGGTTTGCACCTCTCGATTCTGGTTCAACTACCGCCATATTGCCAACACGCTGTCGATCTACCGGACGGTCAAGCGGCTCGGCATCCCGGACTCCAACATCATTCTGATGCTCTCGGACGACGTCGCATGCAACCCGCGCAACCGGTTTCCGGGCACGGTCTACAACAACGCCGGGCGGATGCTCGATCTCTACGGCAGCAATATCGAGGTGGACTATCGGGGCTACGAGGTCACCGTCGAGAACTTTATCCGCCTGCTCACCGGTGAGAGAGACTATCGCACTCATTTGGTCACATTGCGTCCCCTTGGCCACATTGCATCCGCTTGGCCACATCGCATCGCATCGCATCGCATCCCTGTTCTCGGACCGGGTGGACCTTGCGCCTGGGGACTCCGATCTTGACATTCGGCCGTGCCATCGTTGCATCCCAGGGCGCCACGATCCCTTCGTCCCGAGATCCAAGCGACTGCTCACAAACGATCGCAGCAACATCCTGGTTTTCATGACCGGCCACGGCGGCGACGAGTTCCTCAAGTTCCAGGACTCTGAGGAGATCGGTGCCTACGACATTGCCGATGCCTTTGCACAGATGTACGAGAAGCAGCGCTACCACGAGATCCTGTTCATGGTCGACACCTGCCAGGCCGCCACCCTCTACAAGCGCATCTACTCGCCCAACATTCTGGCGGCGGCCAGCTCGCTCAAGGGCGAGAGCTCGTACAGCCACCATCTGGACAGCGAGATCGGCGTGGCTGTTATCGACCGCTTCACGTATTTCAACCTCGAGACCCTCGAGCGTGTCAACCGCGGAGACCCAACCAGTATCCGATATCTGGTAAGGATCCCTTGCCGTGGTTTACCGATCGATTTCTCTCGCTCGATTTCCGGCCGCGTCCTGCTAACAGATCCACCGATGGATCCCCGTTTGTGCGGGTGGTTTTTTGGTCCCAGTTCGACTCGTACAACCCAACGTATATGCTGTCCACCCCGGGTATCCGCACCGACTTGTTCAACCGCGGGCTGCCGCAGACTCTCGTCACCGACTTTTTCGGCGGCGTGCAAAACATTGAGCTGAGCAGCAGTCGTTATACCCTGCTGTCGTCGCGCGCAGCCGCCGACTCGGCGTCAACCGAGCCACTGCCGAAGATCGAGGAGCCTGCTCGGGCCCGCGCCGATTCTGTCGAGCCGATAGCGCTGTCGAAGGAGCGCAGGGTCGAGCCAGTGCCGATGCACAGCCGCACGGCGACTTGGCTTTATCTGGGTGCCCTTGCTGCTGTCGTTGGTGCAGCATGCACCGTGTTTCAGAATGTCTAGATCTGGCGTCGCCTCGTATGGCATGAACAAACTGCACCGCCTGTGGAAGTGCACTGCACGGCGCAAAGCACAGCACCCCATGCGGTTGTCCCAAACAGAAGCAGAGGAAGAAAGCCGAGCAGTGTTTGATTAGCGGGGCCTGGTGCCATGTCTTACAGTCGACCGCATGCGCCCGCAGAGGATGCTCATCTGACTGGGGCTGCCAATCGAGATGCTCTTTGAGCAGCGCGCTCCATACACGATCTCGTTCCTCCCTTGCCAAGCGGATTAAATACGAGCATGAGTGCGTGGCATGTGCACATGGAAGGATGGGGGTGATGGTGATGGTGGTGGTGGTAGTGGTGGTCATCTTGTATTTGTCATTTATGTCAGTGAGTGCGGGCCGTCAGCGTCGGTTCTTGACAGCGAACTGTCACGGCGCTTGGCCATGTCCCTTCATTCCTTAGCGGCCGCAGGCTTGGAAGTGTTGCGTGCCTTTCCCTCCTGAGCGGGGCCATCGTGATTTCGGCGGCCACGGCTTCCGCCAGCGCTTGATGATCGGCCAGGGTATTGGCCGCCGTTCTCGCGGTTGTTGCGGTTGAAGTGCCCGTTGCGGGCATTGCCGCTGCTGCTATCTCTGGGGCCACGACCGCCGGTCTTTCGGCGCTCCTCGCAGAGAACATTGGCACCGCCGACCGTGACGGTCTTGCCGATCAGGGCGCTGGCCTCCTCGATCGTGGCAAACTCGACAAAGGCCATGTTCTGTGCAGAAGTGGAAGGGAAGCCGGGCATCGTAAGGGTAAGTCGCGGTCCAAGCCGATCTGCCAAGTCCGTGTGTTGGTTCTGGTTTCGATGGGCCGTGGTGATGAAGTCACAAAAGCTCTCTCGGGCGACATCCGTGGCCCCGCCACGTTGAGCACTGTGCATGCCATTTCTCAGCGGACTCGCAGCATCAAGCACGCACCTTGCCCGGCAAGACCTTGACGTCCTTGACCTGACCGTGCTTAGAGAAGAACTCCCTCAGGGCCTTGTTGTCCGTGGTTTCGCTGAGCCCCTTGAGGAAAATGGAGTGTCTTTCGATATCTGCATCATCGACAGGCACATGAACGCAGTCCGGGTCAGCAGAGTCAGCCAAAGGAGATCGGAGCTCGTCAAGCTGTCGTCAGGCATCTGGACCTACCCTGGGTGCGCTGCTGGCGCCGATTGTCGTTTCCGCCGCGGCGACTCTGGACGGGCTGGAAGGCCTGGCCCTGGTTCTGGGCATCGGCATTCTTGTCGGCATCGGTCTCGCGAGCGGCGGCTGCATTCGTGGACGACTGGCCGGCAGTGTTCTGGGAAGCAGCCGACCTTTGGCCCTCGTTCTTGCGGTGTGACTGGCTGGAGTTGGGGGCTTTGGAGACGGAGGCGACCTTGCCGACGACAGGGGAGACTTCGGCATCGGTCCAGCGGTTGACGTTGGTAGCAGCAAGGCCAGCCCAGGTCTTGGGCAGAGCCGGCTGCGCGGCAGCAGGGGCAGCCTCGGCATGCTGCTGCTGGTGCTGCTGCTGTTGTTGCTGCTGCTGGTGCTGCTTCTTGCCACCGGCCTTCTTGGGCTCAGGGGGAAGCTCGATTGGAGCAACCTGGGGCTTGGGCACGGCATTCCAGGCCGACTTGATGGGCTCGGGCTCAGGGACAGGAGCGGCAACCTCGGGCTCTGGGGCCGAGTCGTCCGCAACGATAATCTCCTCCTCGACGGCCTCCTCTTCTTCAACAGGGGCCTCCTCGGGCTGCTCACCGCCAGCAGGAACGGATTCCTCCTCGATTTCTCTGGTCTGGATCTCCTCCTCCTCCTCGGCGGCAGCCTCCTCGGGGACATCGACAGCGGATTCGGGCTCAGCGGCAGGCTCAACAGTTTCGTCCTGGCCAGCCGGCTCCTCAGCAGCCACCTCCTGGTCCAGCTCGGGCTCGTTGTCGACCTCGCCGACGGGGTCCTCGGCTTCCTCAAACTCGCTGTCAATGTCCTCCTTCAGGAACCGGAAGATGTCGTTTCGGACATAGTAGCCGTTGGGCTGCTCGGCCAGCACAAACGACTGCGAGAACTTGTGCGAAGGCCCGCCGTTGTTGGACATTTCACCGAGGACCTGGACAAGAATCGAGCCTTCCAAGGAGGGCTGGCTGTCGACGTTGGAGACCAGGACTTTGCAGTCCTGGAAGTTGATCTCCTTGATGCGCTCGTGGATTTCCTGGTGGTGGGAGGCGAACGGCCAGGAGAGATCGACCGAGATCAACCCGAGATCAAGACAGGCGAGATGGTGAATACGATACCAAAGGACAGGGACGAGCGATCGCGTTCGAAAGAGTGGGATACGATTGGATCGAGCAGGCAAGAAGAGAGCGGCCAGAGTGTTGGCAAGGGTACTGCTGTACCTGCTGGCCATGGGCAGCCTTGACTTCTTCGCCTTCGTGGCCGTGAATGAAGCTGGACTTTTTGTTGTAGAAGCAGTGGAGGCGCGATGGATCGCGGTTCAAGAAGGTGTAGTATTCTTGGACAAACAGCCATCCGACCTCGAAAGAGTCGACCTGGCTCCTGCTGGCAGTGGCGGCTGTCATGGTAGGCAGAGGTTTATGTGCAGGCGTGATGCAAAAGGAAAGAGATCTGTGCAGCGGAGGACGGTTGGATGTGTTGGATGTGCAGATTGACGGCGTCAGTAGGCAGTGATGAGGAGATTGAGTCGAGCCGAAGGGAGGCACACACGATCAGAGCGAGACTCAGAAGCAGAGCGAGAATCAGAATCAGAGCGGATCCGACGAGGGGGGGAGGGCAGCCGTCGGCTCTGAACCTGTCCCGACAAAGCGATGCAAACGAAGCTGAGCACACTGATCGATCGGTCGTCCCAGTTGTGGTGTGGTGGTGGTAGCATCAAGGCATCGGATCGGTCCGGTCCGGTCGGGCTCGGGCACCAGGCCAGCCCGCCCTCGGCTGGACAGCGCCAGGCGGGGGAGCGAGCCAGGGACCGGATCGAGAGCCGAGCTGCGATGCCGGACACGGACCAGGACCGGAAACAGGCCGATCGACGCAGCGGCAGGTCATGGCACAGATGCCGGCGAGCAACTGCAGTGCCGGCGCCCGAGGTAGTCCACACCAGCAGCACTTACACAGAGGGTCTCTATGGGAGGGAGGTGGCGGGAGTGATGACGCTCTCAAGATCAGGGGAATCTCGGTTGCCGATGCAGGCGGGCATCGACGGACAGCGGCCGAACCAGCGCCGGCTCGAATGGCGGATCGAGCCGGCTCCAGAGGCACGTGCCGGCAGTGCGACGCGGCACCGGGAAACGGGCACGCTCCTGTTGGTGTGTTTGGTGAGGCCGTCGATGCGCACTTGCAGCCCGGCGGGGTGGGGTGGGGTCGCTATTGAGCGCAGTGTCTATCCTGTTGAGCGGAATACAGTGGAGTGGATTGCACCTATTCGCGCTCCCGTCGCCTGTGGGATCGACATTCTTGCCAGCGGCAGTGCAGCGACCCAAGAGACACCCGCTGGTGAACGCTGCTCGGCCCTCTGCCCCGACATGGTCCGTTTTACTTTTGGATGTATTATTCATGACTCGCAAGGCGGCACGGCAGCGCCAAAACAAAATGCACGAGCAACACAGTGTCTAGGCGAGCAGACGGTTCTCGGTGCTCCGCACCGGCAGGCCCTCCCAGGCTGTATCGCGCGGGAGACTCTCGCCCTTGACGACGAGCGAAAGTGGGTTGACGTCGACGTCGTCGGCAATGACAACGTCGTAGAGCACGATCGTCTTGGTGCGGATGTTGCAGTTCTTGCCGATTTCGATCGGGCCGAGCTTCATCACGCGGTCCTCGAACAGATGCGTCTGGAAGCCGGTGAGGCTGCCGACGGTGCAGTTGTCGCCGATCGTCACGAGATCGTGCTCGGTGATGTCGGTGGTGCCCCAGAAGATGTTCTTGCCGAGCTTGCAGCCCAGGAGCCGGAAGACCGACGAGAGTATCGGCGTACCTGTGAGCTGGACGAGGAACGGCGCAATGTTCTGCTCCTGCATGCCCGTCAAGAACTCGGTGCGGCGCACAAAGTTGGAGTACATTGGCTGCTCCGTCTTCTTGTAGCGACCGATCAAGATCCACTTGAGCACGATGAAGAGCGTCAGTTCCAGGATGAACATGACAAAGGTAAACCACGGGAACAGCACCATTTTCTCATAGTGGCCGAGGGTCTGCGAGAACAGGCCAAGGGCAAAGTACTGGATCTGGAAGTACAGGAACAGGGACTGTGTCGTGGCCGGCACCAGGATACGGAAGGCCTCTGTGGAACGTGGAATCGAGAGACTGTCAGATCCACGAACTGTGTGGCGGCAACAGCACAAGCGTCGCCACGCGGCACGAACTTGCACCGAGGTACTTTGAATCGCCGAGCCGAGTTGCATTCGACAATTAATGCTTCCCTCTTCACACCTCCACCCCATGCGGCCGTATGTTGGGCCACTTACCCCAGATGTATCGCTGGATGCGCATGCCGAGGCTGGGGTTGTACGTTGCCGAGCTGCTGAAGCGGTCGTTTCCACTCTGGTTCCGGAACGGGATGCGAACGGCCTCATTGCCGAGCCAGGTCTCGCCCTCCTTGGTATAGTATCCAAACTCGAGATTGAGGGGATATCGTGGTGGGAGCGAGGCAACGCCTAGAACACCGAGAGCAGAAATATCCGATGAGAAACCAGCAGCCAGGGTGGCAGCACCAATAAAATGCGGCGTTTGCTTCCTCTGGAGCTTCATCAATACGCAAACGTCCCCCCCCCCACTTACCCAGAAGCGAGTCGGGCTCCATAAAGGTGTTGGGCGGAACCAGGGCCGAGTTGCCGACGAAGCTCTTGTCGCCGATGTGCACGGGCCCAGTGCTGTACCAGCCGCATGAGATATGCGGAGGGGCAATGATGGCGGCATCGGCAATGAAGGAGCCTTCGCCAGCCTGGAAACACCGATACCAGATAATATATGTGGCGGGTGAGAATGAGGCGCGGCGGGTGTGGGGTACCGGACGGAATGTATAAATATGTGACGAAGTGCGATGTGTATAGCGCTTGGAGAGCCAGCAGCACATGTACAACGCTCCAAGCGATCCGTTCCCAACCTGATAGCAACAACTGCGACAAAAAAAGGCGCAGACTCACCGTCAGCAGCTCGCCCGGGAAAGGGCTGAAGAAGGCCACTTCGGCATACTTGCCCAGACGGCATCCCATGACCCGAAGCCATGGCACGACGTATTGGGTGTTAAAGACCGACTTGTAGGTGACAAGCATGTCGTGGTACTGGATCGTATGGGAGTCGGGCCCAGCAAGAGAAGAGACAACGCCGTACAAGACATCAATAATCGCGCAACAAACCCCGCATCTGCGTTCTCAGGGAGAGAAGCGGCACATTGCAATGCGGCCACAGGATCGACAGTAAGACACTCACGTAGGCGTCGAAGAGGTAGTACTTGATGTACGTGAACGAGACCAACGGGATGCGTTCGGCTTCTACTCGGCCAAGCAGTATCCACTTGAGCACGACGGCAAGAAGGAGCGAGAAGACAATGTTGCTGTGTGATCATGGAGGAGTGCAAAGGTCAGTCGGATACTGGCACAGGCCCACGGAATGTGAGGTGGTTCATATGAACTGGAGTTCAATCAAAGCCAGTGATCCAAAACAGAAACACCTACATCAGGGCAACAACAGGCGCAAAGAACCACACAAAGCTAATGTTGAGCACCGAGGTGAGGTAGATGAACAGCAAGAAGCCCGGATAGTACGTCAAGCCCTTGAGGAGCTGCGCCAGGAACCAGGAAAAGACCATCGCTGTCGAATAGGCACTGGCGTAGAAGAAGCTGCAGGAAGAAAGCATCGTGGCTCGGTACTCGGGCTGCTTCTTTCCATAGTCGCGGCCAGGAGAGCCGCCCCAGTAGCGGCCGGCCTCAAGAACGTCGCCGCCCGAGAGCAGCGAACCAACCTGGACCTCCGAGTCGTCGCGCATCACGGCGCCAGCCTCGACAACTGCGCCGGCGCTGACGACACAGTTCGAACCTGTCGCAGTGGAGCGAGGAGTGCATCGGAGTGGAGGGGTGCCGCAGAGTCCGTTAATGAAGGTCTCCTCTTGAGGTTCTGGACATCGATGTGCTCCATCCAGCTCCGCCAGTAGCACTTACCAATCTTGATTTTCTTAAAGTGGACGTATCCGTTTGCGTATTCGTACGCCACCACGGTGGCATCGTTTCCGATGGTTGAGCCCTCGCCCATTTCGAGCAGGTCAAAGCCGTCGACGTGGATGCTCAGAATCTGGCAGTCACGACCGATCTTGGCACCGAGGAGGCGGTGGATGAACGGAAGCAAGAACGAGCCCTGGAAGTCCGACAGGTTCAAGCTCACAACCAGGGTCTTGACGATCCACCACCGCAGGTAACGGAGCGAGTAGATCGGCACCGAACCTTCTCGGGCGCGGCCGACGAGCAGCCATTTGAGGATGATAACCAGCACGATAGCAAGGATGCGGCCGATCGACGAGACTACCATGAACGAGAGCGCCGAGGCAGCCACATAGTGCCACTCCCAGAGGGTAATCTCGTCGTCAAAGCTGAACAAGAAGATCATGCTGATGTAGAGCGATGCACCGCTCAGGAAGGTGTTGAGATACAGGCTCGCGGTCTGCACCAGTGTGCACAGCAGCTTGGCCACAATGGACGGGTAGTGCACCTGGGCGGTCTTCCGCAGCCGACTGAAGCGCTTGCTCTTGCGGTTCTGTCCACGCAGCTCAGACTGCGCCGTTGCCAGAGTGGCGAGTTGGGCGATGGTGGGGTTCTCGTAGAGGTCGCGGACGCTGAGTCCGGCCAGTCGAGGGTGCTTACGGAGAACACCGATGGTCTTGGCCGCAAGGAACGAGTCTGGGGAGTAGAACGAGATCCATGATTAGACTCTGCTCGTCGCTCATACAGGATTGCAAGGCGGTCACAGCGAGCCGAGTGGGGCACTTACGTCCGCCAAGGTCGTGGAAGAAGTTGTCGGTCTTGGTGATCTGATCGTTGCCCAGCAGGTCCCTCCACACGGCAGTGATGACATCCTCCATCGAGCCTTGGATGAGCTCGGGGTTGTCCATAAAATTTGAGTCGCTTGGCTTCTCTGCGGTCGGTCTGCTATCAGAACTCACGGGAGCAGTGATGGGAGGCAGCTTCTTGCGGTCAATCTTGCCGCTGGTCAGGCGCGGCACGTCCTCTGGGAGCATGCGCTGGAAGACCGAGGGGATCATGTACGGTGGCAGAGTGGCACGGAGCTTCTCGCGGATCTTGCGGTCGTCGATCTCGTGGCACCAGGTCTCGAGCACCAGATAGGCAACGAGGGTCTGCTCGGTGCTGCCAGTGTCTGGGTTCGGTGCGGTCCAGACGTGAGCGATGGCGCTCTGGATTCCGTCACAATCCGAGAGATTGGACTCGATCTCACCGAGCTGGGGGGAGCGAGGGGAGAGAAACCCCAGAGTGGGTCAGTAAGATGAAGTCGCAGAGTGCGGTGCCGTGATGCAAAGTTGATGGATCGACATGCCAACCGCGGCATGGGCATGGCTCGATCATCGACGATCATCGACGAGCAGTGCGGGCAGGATGGACAGGACAGCGTGCGATGCTCACCTCGACGCGGAAGCCGCGGATCTTGACCTGGCAGTCGATGCGGCCAAAGTACTCGATGTTGCCCTCGGGAGTGTATCTGTGGACCAGAGCACACATCATGGCATGTCGATGAGACACGGAGCTCATAGCGATGTGTCGGTCATGGCCAAGGCGTACCACCCTCGACAGGGCCAAGTGGGACAGGCACATTTGCTGGAGCAATGATGGTGCACACGATCGTGACCGACAGCATACCTGACGAGATCGCCGGTCTTGTACATGCGTCCGCTGGGATCGAAGGGGTTGTGGATGAACTTTTCGGCAGTGAGGTCGTCTCTGTATGGGGAGAGAATGCAGCGTCAGCGCCACGGAAGCAGCAGCGAGCCGAGGGGCAGAATCGAGAGCAGTTCGTGGGGCGAGCAGTCGGACGCACCTGTTGATGTAGCCCTCGGCGACACTCTTGCCTCCGATGACGAGCTCGCCCATGGCGCCGATGGGAACCAGGCGGTTCTTGGAGTCGACGACGTACGACGTGTAGTTGATGAAGGGCCGGCCGATGGTCATCTTCTCAACAGGCTCGGAGATGTCGAGGTAGGTGGAGCTGCAGGTGGTCTCGGTGGGGCCGTCTGGGGCAGCGCAAGTGGGATAAGTGTGGTGAGTGTGTGATGAGTGTGTGATGAGTATGTGATGAATGTGTGGAAGATCGAGCATCGTCTGTCTCACCGGGACTCTGGTTGCCCCCAGGTTCACCGCACCATTCCACACACCACTCCACACAACAACAGCACTTACAGGTGTTGAAGATCTTGCGGCCCCTCATTCGGTAGCGCTGCACAATGTTTTCTTGGGCAGCCTCGCCGCCCAGCACAATCATCTTGACCGAGGGCATCTCGCCGACGAGGATGCCGAGTTGGCTCGGGACGCAGCAGAACACGGTGACGCTGTACTTTTGGATGTGCTTGGGCAGATCGGGGCCGGCGTAGATCATGTCCTTGGTCGGGATGACCAGCGAGGCGCCTGTCGAGTACGCCATCCAGATCTCCTCGATCGAAAAGTCAAAGCTGTGGGAAAAGTTCTGGAAGACACGATCTTTGTGTGTCAATCGGAAGAGCTCTCGTTCGGCGACGACCAGGTTGGCGATGGCGCCCTGGCTGATGAGCACGCCCTTGGGCTTGCCCGTCGTTCCACTGGTGTAGATGATGTAGGCACCATCGGAGGGCTTGCGGTTAACGGAGAGGTCGTCGATGGTGATGGCGGTGGTTTCGTTGCCCGGAGAGTTATAGATATCCAAGACGGCAGAGTACAGAACCGGCACGGTCAGGAGGATGGTGCTGCCGGAGACGCCGAGCTTGTCGAGCTCGGCCGAGACCTTGTCGCAGAGGGCGTCGTCGACGATGACAGAGACCTTGGAGGCCGAGTCCATGATGATGTAGGCGGCACGCTCGGGCGGGGTCTTTTCGTTGTCGATGGGGACATAGGCAGCGCCAGCGAGGATCACACCGAGCATGATGGCAAAGCCGACGATGGACTTTGGGAACATCAGGGCGACGCGGTCGTTGGCCTGAACGCCGCACTTTTCGATGAGATGCTGGGCGATCAGCTTGGACAGATGGAAGAGTTTCTCGTAGTTGATGGACTTTGTCTCGTGGATCAGGGCCAGAACACGCGGGTGCTTCTGGACGGTGCGGACAAAGATGTTGGCCAAGTACTGGTCGTCGCTGGGGAGGGGCTGAGGGGAGAGGTTGTTGGCGTTGCTGAGCACAAGCAGACGCTCATAGTCCTCGGGGCAGATGACGTTGAAGCTGTCGAGGGGCATCTTGCGGAAGTTGGGGTGCTGTGCCAGCGACTCGAGGAAGGCCGTGACGGAGCCCTCGATGTTGACCAGCGCCATCTCGGCGGGGGAGAGGCCGGCAAATCCGACTGCTTTCGACTGGAGATGGACGAGCTCATCGACGAAGGGCGAAAGCCCTGGACACGGAAACGGGTGTCGGTGTGCGAATCGGAATGTGGTTTGGTACATTGGGTTGCGAGGCGTTGGTGAATGCAAAAGATTGGATTCGTGAGCAGAGGGATCCATGAAGGGCCAAGGCATGTTCATGATAGGGCAGGACAGCGTGTACAAAACATGGGGTGGCGGCGTGGTTCTCACGGCAGACACAAACCTGACCCAAAGTCTCTGGACGAGAACGTAAGCGATGCAAAGTTGGACTGAAAGTCGCCGGTCTCGGACCAGGCGACGGCCATTTCATGGACATCGTTGTCGCTGAGCGGGAGGTTCATGAAGAGCGCCCCGAGCACCACCCGGTGGATCTGGGCAAAGGTCGAGGCCAGCTCCACCGAGCACACAAACGTAATGGACGAGAACGACGAGAGATTGACGATGCTGAAATGCAGATCCAGCTTCTCGGCCGAGTCGTGGTAGCGGGACACGAATGCGGCAAAGGCAATCGAGATGGAAGCGGTGTAGTCGTGGCACTTGAGGTCCTCGCCGACGACCGAGAGGCCGTCGAGCACTCGCTTGGTCAACATGTGCTGCGACGTGGTGAAGCGGAGCCGGGAAACTTGTGCCGCGGAGGGGGTTCGTGGATGCCGAGCACCAGGAGGGAATAGAGTTTGCCGGAGGAAGGAAAGGCCTGGGGCAGAGTTGTGCTGGTGCTGGGCCTGAGCGACAGGGCGGCGCCGGAAAAGACGGCGATATATATAGGACACCCGCGGCAAGGCCAGAAGCACACGCTCCCCACTGCTCCGCGCGGGGCTGCATGGTGCTCCTTGCTGAGGGCAGGTCGTCCTTGTCGAGGGTGTGGAGCCGAGCCCCTTGCTGGGCGCGTCAGCCGAAACAGCGCCTCAGCAGCAACGGCGTCGGCAGAGCGAAATCAACAACAGCAATGGTTCATCGGAAAGCACTGGATTCCTCCAGCGATTCACCCCGATCCGCCTCCCTCCTCTGGCCATCAGCTCGATGTGCCCATCGCCGGCCATCCTCCCGTCCTTCTCCCCGCAGCCCTGGCCATCTGCGAAATCCCCTCCCCACGGCCAAAGGGTGCCCTCAGGAACCCTCATTCGCGGTGCGACACTGGGCGTTCGTCAAGCCCGCCCACAAGCCGAGGCGGCCCGTCGGCGCTCTGTCGTCGCAAGGGCGTGTCCCTTGGCGCTCATACACATCGACGCCAGCGACTTCCGCCGGCCATGCACATCGGACCATGGCCAGCCCCGGCAGCCAGCCCGCATGTCCCAGACGCTCATCTCTCATGTCTCAAGCCCGTCGCCCATGTCCTGGCCGACCTGGAGGCTGCATCGTCCATCCCTCTCCTTCGCCCTCGGCGAGGCAGACCAGAAAGACCCCAAGCCAGGAAAAGCGGAAAGCAGACCACCCTTGTCGCCGCTGCAACTCGCCTCCAGCCGGCAGCTGACCACGATCCCGTCGCCTGGGAAGCATACAGCGCCGCGCGGGAGTTTGGCTCGCTGTCAGGGCCGTCTCGCCGGGCAGGTCACCAGACCGGCACAAAAAAAGAAAGGCGCGTGCCACAGCAGACACAGCCGACGCAGCGGACACAGCGGACACAGCAGACGCAGTTCAGACAGCACAACGACACAGCACACAGAAACGCGTCTGGAGTGCCACCGGCGATTCTGCCGCGATTCTGCATCGATTTCGGCCTTGCACATCAGGAATCAATGCTGCCCATGGAGGTGGATCTAAAGTTCGAGCTTGTCTGCTGTTCGCGGCCGTCCAGATCGGCCTCGTGCCCCGGCGATGTTGCGATCGCGCCGTTGCTCGATTTTGGTGGATTCCCCTCCACCACACCCGCTCTCTGAGATGCTAAGTACTTCCACCCGCATCGGAGAGGCACCATCGGTGCTCCACCCCCTTCTCATCGCGCCATATCGGCAGATGCGCCACTCGGAAGGTGGCCACATTGCCGCTTCCCCGTCCTCTCCCGCTCCGTGCTGCTCTGTTGGGACACTCCGGTCAGATGACGAGGAAAAAAAGAAGGATACGGAGAGAGAGAGAGGCGTCGCCCTCGTGTTGGTGTTCGCGGAATCGTTCGTGGGAAAGGAGCCATTGCGGCGCGAGGGCCAGCGCAGAATCATCGCATGCACGATCTCGCAAACGAAGCGGCTCCTGGAAAGAAAGGGACCAAAGAAGACGGGCGGCTCGGGAAGGCGCGTGATCTGTGCGGCGAGCCGGTGCTGAGCGAGACCCTGTCCGGCTACCGCTTGATGCAAATTGCGATGCACTGGATTCTCACCCTATGGCTGCGATCCTTCCACCGACACACGCCCCCCGCCAGTCGAGCCAAATCACGGCGGCTGTGTCTTGGCAGCATCGGGTTTGCCCTTGCCGAATGAAATCGGATTCCCCGTGTGGCGTCGCTGCTTGGCAGCACCACCCCGACTCGTGTCTGCGACGGCCGTCCCAGTGCGAAGGTCGCTCGTTCAGGTGCTCGTCTGATCTCGTGGCAGAACAGATTGCTTGGCGGGCACGAGCGCATCCGTTCACAGCTTCGAGAGATAGTTGATGGACTGAGGCCCGGCTGCCTGAAGGGATCGGATCTGGCTGATTTCTGATCCGCGAAGAGATTTCGATACGGTATCCTGTTCGACCGACCCATGGCTGCTCAGTCGATGCTCTTCCCCCTCCGTCGTCAACGACTCGGCCTTCAGTCTCCGCGCTTGGCCTGTCAGGCACTCTCGGATTTTGCTCGGGTGGGTGACAGGTCGGTGCGGGACCTGGGCAGGCTGCCTCGATCGGTCACGCATCCGTTCTCCCGGGTGGCCAACAAGATCGACGCAGATTTGGTGAGCACCTTGATTTCCGCAGAGCCGACGCTGCTCTTGGGGTCTGGCACCTCAACAATCGCCTTGGACGGAACAACGATGTAGATGATGTTGAGCAAGATCAGCTCGAACGTCGGTGGGATGTAAACCCCCATCCGTCCAAAGGCGACCGACATGTTGGGCACAGTCGACTGCAGGCAGAATCCCATCCCGAGCAGGATTGTGAACAAAAACCTATCATTCAGAGTTGCCGGGTGAGTAAGCGTGACGGGGAAATGTAGCCGTTGCGTTGATGGGTATCGACAGAATAATCTACAGACGGTCGACCTATCGACCTGTAGTGCTTTGCAGCAAATGCACACAGCTCATCGTCGTTGGTGCTCTCCGAGGATGCCTACCAGAGGAACGCCTGCAAGTACAGCAGCCGAGATACCAAGAGACAGAGCCCGATCCGTTCTCTTCTGAGTTCACTGTTTGAGCTGACGGTCGTGTCGCGAAGATTATGGGGAGACAGCAAAGTCATCGATCCGCTGAGGGCAGCGCGAAGACGGTTGAGTCGGCGGAAGAGAATGGTGGTGTATACCAACAGTGTTCCGCCGACAACAACTGAGAGCACGATCTGGATCAACGAGCGCAACGGAAACAGCGACGCTAGCTGGGTCGACACAAGAAAGAGCCCAAACACGATCGTCCAGCAGACGTAAAACACAACGTCCTGCAGGGCGACATCGGGGATGGAAGATCAAGCCCGTGTCAGCAATACTGTTGATCACACAAACAAAAGCATACCGCACGACCAGACCAATAGAGTCTCGAGTTCGTAGAGTGCCTTGCAATCTCCCCCCCCCATACTGGCTCCTCTGGCCGAAGCGTTGGGAGTCCTGCAGCTTGCATCGCTGTCCGATCCCGGCCAGCTTCAAGTGCGTAAATCATATCGGCGACGGCACGTACCCAGGCCCGTGAATATTCCGATACGCCGAGTGCCTTGAGGAGTTTCGTGTGAATCAGAAGAAAACAGCTCGCACACGCCACCGTCAGCAGAAAGTTGTACGTTTGGGAGAACTTGATAAGGACCGAGAACTGAAGGGGTTGTTGAGATCAGCGCGTGAGGCCCGCCAGTCCGAGCTCGAGGACGGGCTGGTGCAAAAGCGGATAAAGGTCGGAATCGCAAACATCATGTGGCTGCTTTCTTACCATAACATCGGCATTAATGTTGTTCAGATAGTACATGTGCGGCTCCACCTCAAAGAACTCGACGACGAACATGGCTGTGACGATCTGGGCTCCGGAAGTATCCGAGTAAGGACTCGGCCGTTTGCACAGATACGACACAGACTCCTGCTATGCCTTCCGCCCATCCCTCTCCTAACAATGACGAGTGTTGGATGAGATTTACCAGAGAAACCGACAGAACGGCGACGTTGAAAGTGGTACGGCCCGAAGGAGGCACAAGCTTGGTGATAATAAATACGAGATTGTAGACCTGGATGAGCGATGCCAGAGAGACTTCGATTCTCTGGATAAGAATACTGAGATCAACAGAGAGGTCCTGCATCCTGTGATTTGATTCCCGCTATGATGGGCCGCAAGTGGATCGTCCGAAGGCAGACAACAAGGCCGAGTGACATTCTATAACGGAAGGCCTGGGCAAAAGGAAGGGCGAAGCGCCGTTGGATGGCAGGTGGCCGAGCAATGCACCGCCGACCAATGGGTCCAAAGAAATGGTCCTACTACAGCTTCCTGACGTGCGAAATTGAACCACAATGTGACAATGGACGCAGCATATATGTAGAGGAAAATTGACGGCTGGGGGGGTGGGGACGTCATCGCCCGGATCAAGATACACGAGATTGGGATCGTACACTGAAGGAGCAGAGCGTGACCAGAAATCTGACAGTGGTTCATGGGGGCGGTTTTCGATGCAGGTGGTCGAACTTCATGAGCGACGATCGACTTGCTCGCCATGCAACTGTCACGATGTCGCTGTTTGATACGCTGATTCGACGGATTGCGGGATGCCAACGACATCCATCTGAGTATGAGCGCACCTGCGGGGTGCTGATGTCGCCAACTGAACTCGTCTTGACGGTGGGTCTGATCAAAGCACCTGGGGCACCTCAGGGCCAGGACTTGCAACACAGGAACCAGGGCGCTCTGTTTCGTTGTGCAAACTCCATGGCCAAGGCCGAACAAAGTGACGCGCAAGCCACACAGAGGAAACCGGGGCTGATGGGGGTGTGGCTCGAATGCCCCACGCCCGGCTCGATCCCGAGGGTTTGTTGCACAGGCCCGAAGCAGCCCGCGCCGCCGCTTTTGGGCAGACGACGCGAGACGCGCTGGGGCAAGCGCGTCTGTGCGACGGCGCCGGACATATGCCGGGGCGGGCTGTGTCGGTGGAGGGCGGGCCGAGGCGAGAGCGTTCTCGGCGCAAATTTCGGGCAAGCCGCTCTTTTCCTTTGGCTTTTTTTCCCTCCTCCAAAATTTGCAAAAGCCTCATAACTTGACCCCCCCCCAATTACCGCCTCTTACGAGTAACATCGCCGTTCCCCCCCTCCAGAAGGAGCACCAAGGAACTTGAAAACTAAACCCTCTATCACACACGATATAGACTGGAGCTATATTCGAAATGTACGACTCTGGCCTATCCGATGCTGCCCGGATATTCGATGCCTTGACGCCGGCGGCCCAGCAAGACCTGCTGGAGATCCTGGTGCGCAAGGCCGCGCTGAACTCCCCATCCTTCCAGAGCCATCTGGGCTCCACATCCCCGCATTCGTCGCTGACGACACAAACTTCAACGTCGGCCTCGGGGCTATCACAATCCTCTTCGACACTGATATCGAGCGCTGGCCACGACCGGTCGTTCGACAGCTCTTCGGACCAGCAGCGGCCCTCGACCGGCCCGCTGGCAGCCCCATACCAAACCTCGACCGACACATGGTCCCGGATTGTCAACACCGTCGAGTACCTGCGCCAGCAGTCGACCCTGGCGTCGACCGCAGCCTCGTCGCTGGCGCTGCTGGCCCCCTTTGCCGGCTCCGGCTCGACCTACGCCTCGCCCGAGTCCCTGACAGGCGACGCCGTCTATTTCCAGCCCCACGCCGAGATCCAGCCGATCCTGGCGACGCTGCGCATCATCCAGCGGATGGACGCTCGCCAGCTCTTTGACGATGTCCAGGTGCACCTGAACGGGACCCGCGGCAAGAACAACGCCAACAGCGTGGACTCGAAGGTGAGTCTGATGTGGATGTGGATGTGGATGTGGATGTGGATGTGGATGTGGATGTGGATGTGGATGTGGATGTGGATGTGGATGTGGATGTGGATGTGGATGTGGATGTGGATGTGGATGTGGATGTGGATGTGGATGTGGATGTGGATGTGGATGTGGATGTGGATGTGGATGTGGATGTGGATGTGGATGTGGATGTGGATGCTGGGGGTGGTGGATCCACTGCTTCAACACATCTGCTTCAACACATCTGCTTCAACACATCTGCTTCAACACATCTGCTTCAACACATCTGCTTCAACACATCCGCTTCAACACATCTGCCGCTGGCACCGTCTGTCGCTCCGGCGATCCCACATCCTCGCTCTCGTTCGCCCACTCACTCATGACCATGCTCGGTTGCTCACCTCCTCACCGCCGCTCCTCCCACCGCCGTTCCTCCCCACCGCCGTTCCTCCCAGACCCTGCCCAAGGGCGCCAATCCCTTTGCCCACGTCGAGACCGAGGTTCTCAACATCCTGCTGCAGACGCCGTACATCCTGCTGACCCCCAAGAAGCCGTCCAAGGATCCCAAGGACTCGCGGCCCAGCACGCCCCTCGGCTCCCGCGACGACGCCTCGCCGCTGGTGGCCCAGATCATCCAGGCGTCCATCTACCTGACGTCGCTGATCGAGGCCATCATCACCACCCACAACGACCAGATCCTCAAGAACATGACCGACAAGACGACCCTGACCGAGTACGAGAAGGTCTCGGTGCTGGTGTGGGAAGGCGCCTCGGGCATCCTCCGGGACGTCATCAAGCTGCGCGAGTGGGACCCCGAGCTCGGCAAGTGGCACGATGCCCGGGCCATCTACAGCTCGCTGATCTCAAACTCGCAGCTGTTTGCCAACGCGCTGCTGAACTTTGTGGAGTTTAGCTGGAAGATCCTGAAGCCGACGTTTGTCCCAAGTGAGTGCCTGGCTGGGTGCGGCGGGCGCCGTGCGGAATGCCGTGCGGAATGCAGTGTGGGAGGCATCGCCGAATCGGTGCCAGATGGGTGCAGTGCCGAATCGGTGCCGAATGGTGCAGTGCTGAACGCTGCCTGGGCCGGGACAAACATAACATTGTCTGCAGGAGAGCATCGTCGGTCGCTCGGAGGTATCCTTCCGCCAACACACCCACTCATCACTTCGCCATCATCCCACCATCTCTGCCTCCCACCTGCCTCCCGCCTGCCTCCTGACTGCAGAAAAAGCCGAAAAGCCTCCTCTCGCCGACCAGAGCTACTTTGCCATGGCCGACGCCCGAGACCAGCCGCCGCCGTCGCCCACCTCGGCCCGCAGCTCGATGGAGAGCCACCGCTCGGTCAACCTCGGCCGCGACAACAGCACATCCAACAAGCGCCGCTCCTGTGAGTGCTGGGTGTGTCGAGTGTGCTCGACCGGCTGCTGTCCATGGCACGCAGTATCGTCCGTCGCCCATTCTGGCCTGCCGCCCGCATGCTGCCTCTCTTTCTGACTCGCTCTGCCCTCCGCTCGTGCGGCTCTACTTTGCATGCTCGGCACTCTGTCCTCCGACACGCCGTCCCTGGCTGCTCCAACAGTCGGTGCCCGTCTCCTCTACAAGTTCAACCAGCTCACGCAGAGTGTTGACAAGCGCAAGTCGCTGCAGTCCATGTCCTCGGACGACGAGTCGTTCTTCTCTCGGGCCTCGTCGCGGCTGACCCACAGCACCGACTCGGAGGTGCAGCGCACCCAGCAGAGCCTCGACATGCTCCGACAGACTTCAGACTCAAACCCCGCCTCCGAATACTCGCGCGACGGCTCCGAGTCACGGCACCGACGGGTTGCCTCGGATGCACCGCCGCAGCTTCCCGAGATCGACGTGCGCATCACCAAGAAGGCACCTCTGGCGGTAAGTCAATCGGGCAGAGCCGACAGTGGTGTGCTCGGCGACATCGCGACGGCACATTTTGTGTCGATGTGGCAGCCATCGCTCGCAGGCTGACTGACAGCCAAACACGTCTCTGACATCTCGACACCACATTCATTCGACAAAGCCACCGGCTCCTGAAGCCCCGATTCCATCGACCTCATCCCAAAGCGGCTATTGTAAGTAGACGGATGGTGCTGTACAAGGTATGACATGACGATTTACAACGTTCTAACCTCCCTCCACAATCATCTCATACTCGTGATATTCAAGCCTCGCGCCCCCGCTCAAATTCTCAGATCCTCCAGAAGCCCTCCGCCACAGGCGTCCGTCTGCGCGTCGTCAGCAACGAGCCCTGGGGTGTCAATCTCCCCAGCCAGGAGCAGGAGATTCCCAACACCAACCGCTGGTCGCAGATGGTCAACGAGACCGTCCAGCCCGTTGGCCAGGTCGCCGAGGGACACCTGTCGCGCCGCCGCCGCTCCAACAACATCCAGGACTCGCTCGACATCGACCTCCCCTTCCAGATGCCGGCGGGACCTGCCGCGTCGAGTGACGAGTCGCTCCCGCAGCCCTCAGTCGACCTTGCCGATGTCGAGAGCGTCCCGTCGCCAACCACGTCGTCCAACGGCACACTGGGCCGCAGCAACAGCGCTGGCTTTGGCAACGCCGTCAAGCAGCTGTCCAAGAAAGCCAGCATCTCGGGACTGCGAGCGCTGCGGTCGTCGAGCTCGCGCCAGTCGCTGAACACCTCCGGCAATGCGGCAAATTCTGCCGGAGCAAACCAGCGCCGCTTCCTGTTCCCGAACCGGTTCAAGTCGACGGAGCGGCTCGGGGTCTTCCGCAACGCCTCGGACTCGGAGATGGAGAACGTCCGCAGCGCCAGCCAGCGCATCGAGCCGTCGGACGACGGCCTGACCGAGAGCGATGTCGAGCGACCCAGCGACTATGCGCTGTATGCCGGGCCTCGCGGGCTGGATCTCTCCCGCAAGGAAGACATCACGTCGGATGAGGAGAGCACGGTGCCGGCGACCAAGGCGTTCAAGTCGATGCGGGTGATTGGCCGCAAGGGAGCGCAGAAGATCCCGACAGTCAACAGCCGCGGCAAGCGCATCGGCATGTACAACAACGGCAAGCTGTCGTATGACACTGGTGAGCACAGCGGGGCAGCGGCGACACAGCCGACGATGGAGTGCACGAGGAGTGACCTGACCCGATGCTGATGCCTGGCTTGATGCTGATGCCTGGCCCGATGCTGATGCCTGGCCCGATGCTGATGCCTGACTCGATGCTGATGCCTGGCCCGATCCCTCCGCCACAGCCGACGACGACAAGGAAGAGTACTCTGGCGTCATCCAGGTGCGAGACAACATGCTGCATCTCAGCGAGGGAAAGCAAGACATCAAGATCATGGAGATTGTTGCCGGCAAGATTGTGATTGTCGCCGCCACGGTCGAGAAGCTCGTGGTCAGCCTCGCCGACGAGAACCTGCAGGGTAAGCAACGGGCGCAGGTTGTTGTGGGAGCGGAGGCCGGCCCGCGGATGTGTCGGCCGAGTGGGAGCCATGCGATCAATCTGCTCCAACACCAGACTGGGTCTGCTCGCCTCGCTGACACACGGCTCTCGACTGCTGACCCTCCCACGACCAGACCTCGAGTTTGTCGACTGCATGATCCACAACCACGGCTTCTTCATGAGCTCGCAGGACCTGATGGACAACCTCGAGGCTCGCTACGACATTGAGCCGCCGCCCAACGCGAGCACCGACGACATGGAGTACTTTCACCGTTGGAAGACGCCGATCCAGCGCAAGTGAGTACGGCGAGAGACAGTGGTGTGTCGCGGGAGTAGGAGGTCGAGCAAGCAGGTGGGAGGTCGAGCGAGCGGGTGGGATGGACTGCGGCCGACCGAGACGGCGGTCCCCGTGGCCCTCGCATCCTGCCTCGAAACCACCGCCGGCAACCTGTGCGCCGAAGGCTGAGACTCACGCCTGCCTCGCACTGCCATCGCTCATTCGTCCATCTGCCATCACTCATCCATCTGCCATCACTCATCCATCTGCCATCACTCATCCGTCTGCCTGCCACCCGTCTGCCAGGGTCCTGAATGTGCTCGCGCGCTGGGTCAAGCTGCAGTACGAGGACTTTGCCAACGACGCCGATCTCCGCCACAAGCTCGAAGAGTTCTTGACCATCGTCTGGGGCGACGGCTTCAAGAGCGAGGCCGACCGCATCCGCCGCACATGCATCACGCAGGCCGTCAGTCTTGCCATGAAGCGCAAGAACACGCCGTTTGCCGTCCATCTCGACATGATCGATGCGCACGGCGGCAGCGGCCTGGCGTCGATGGTCCAGCGGCTCGGCCCAACGAGCTGCCACTTTCCCCGGACCGACTCGCCCAACCTCCTGGACCTGTCGCCGATCCTGACGACGGGCGATGCACGCGACTATGCACGATATCTGACTGCGGTCGATGCGCTGTCGTTTGCGGCGATCACGTTCCCGGACTATGTGGCCAAGCTGCGCGAACCCCGACTGGTGGGCGAGGCCAAGGACGGGCTCCGGGACGGGCTGGCGAGCGGCCCCGAGGCGGTGCCGGGCAAGATCGACCTGTTTGCGCGCCGGGCCAACATGGTAAGTGGCGAGTGCGGCGAGTGCGGCGAGTGTGGGATGCGGGCAAGTGCGGAGCGACTGGGCAGCTGGGCGACACCATGCATCATGGCAGCCGAGCATCATGGACAGCGCCATGGTTCGCCGGCGCCATCGCCGCCACCCATCACCCCATCACTCCATCGCCGCCACCCTTCACCCCATCACTCCATCGCCGCCACCCTTCACTCCTCGCTCCACCCCATCGCCACCCTGCTGATCCGCGCGCACCTATTCCTCCCTCTGCAGATCCGCAACTGGGTCGCGCTCGAGATCTGCTCGATCGGCACCCTCAACGTCCGCCGCCAGGTCATCGAGCGGTTCATCCAGATCGCAAAGTACTGCATCGACTTCAACAACTTCCACACGGCCTTCTTCATCGTGAGCGGCCTCCTGACGCCGGCTGTCCAGCGGCACAAGAAGACCTGGGAGGCGGTCTCGTCCAAGCACATTGCCGCCCTCGAGACGCTCGAGAAGCTCATGGACCCCAGCGGCAACATGCGCAACTACCGCAAGGCCCTGGCGCAGGTGCGCGGACCGGCGGTGCCGTTCTTCCCGATGGTGATGAAGGACATTACCTTCCTGATGGACGGCAACCCGGCCATGACCAAGCCGCGCAGCAAGTCGTCGTCGCGGCAGCAGCAGCCGCTGATCAACTTTGAAAAGTACCGCAACATCTCCAAGATCCTGACCGAGTACCGCAGCTTTGTGGTCACCGAGAAGTACGACTTTGCGGTGTCGCTGGCGCCGCTGCTGCGGTTCATGTCGCATGGCAGCACGGGCGTGCCCGTCCTGAGCAGCACACCGCACCTGCGCAACCACCCAGAGGCGCTTGCCGGCGCGCTGGTGGAGTCCCGGCTGGTCTATGCCGACGACGAGTTTGTCTTCTGGCAGAACATTGACGTGCGGACATCCAAGGTCTCGGCTTCGGCGGTCACCGGCAGCGGTGTCATGGCTGCCACCATGGTCTTTGCCGACAGAAACGAGAATGAGGACCTCTAGTTACTTGATGAATTACCATTGGCGACGCCTTCCAATCCTCTCTTGAGCCCTCTATCCCAGCCCAAGCAGTTCTCTCTTCTCCCTTTCCCTTCTCCCAATGAGTATCTCCTTCTTTCTCTTGACTTCCTTCTCCCCGTCCCTTCCCCTTCCTTTCCCAAATTGTGAGTCGCTCCTTCTCTTTCGTCTGTTCAGGTTGCTCGCTTCCGTCCTTGCGTTCCTATCTCCTCCCTTCACTCGTGGTGCAGCCTTCCTTACCCCGGGATAGCTTCCACTGGTCTTGGACCTCATACCTCATCGCTATCGATCTTCAAGCTTTATAGAAGTTATCCCACTCATCTCCAAATAGAACTCAACGAACGAGATCAATTAATGGTGCCTCATCTAATCCGAAGATTCAGTTCCTCCGCACATTGCCAACCCGCAAGACTTGCCCCACTCACCAGCAGCCTTGTCTCTCCGACCCTCTCCCTCCCCCAATTCAAACCACTTCCCTCTCCCCCGAACCACTCTGCAATGTGTATCAATAAAAAACCAAATCACCAACCCAGCTCCTTCTGGCTCGACTCGCCATGTGCGTTGTTGTGCCATCGAGGCTCTCCCGGCACGGCCAACAACCTGACTGCCACAGCCGAGTCGATCTGGTTCATTTCGCCCACAGTATATTGCCATGAATACAGTATTGCGCTCTCCTCGCCCCTGTCTCTATATCCACATCTTGATTCCGCGGCGCTCACACAGCCTCCACCAACCCGTCCGTATCCATCGAAACACGGCGAGGACTTGCCGGCAGCGAGCCAAAGGAAAAATCGGATCCGGAGGGGCTGCTGTCAAAGTCAAAGAAGCCTGAGTCGGCTCGGTACGAGGCCAACGAGGGCTCATCCAACCGCGGCGATATTACCATTGACGGACACTCGGCCTCGATCATGATGCCGATGTCGTGGGCGTAGTTCGAGTCCTGTTTCCTCTCGCTGTTGTCAGGCGGCATCTCCAGGACAGGCTTGGACGATACTTGGTAGATCAGGCGATCGGTCCAAAAGTGAGACAGCTGTGCTTGGATCGTCGGCACAACCACAAACAGGACTGCGCCAATCGGCAGTGCTGCCCAGTCCAGCAGATTCCAGTATGTCCGCCTCGAAATGAGCTGCGGTCGCTTGCCGAGCATCCGAGCTGCACCCGAATCATCGGCTCTCCAGCGGTGGATGCCGACCCACTGGTGGTATCGCTCGTAGTAGGCCACCGTGACGAGGAACGGCAATGTGCCAGCAAACCTCATCCAACCGGCGAGCCACAGGGACAGCGTAACATATGGATGCAGCGGTTCGCTCCGTAAATACGAGGCCGCCACGGAGCCAACGCTGAAGGACCCGCTGGGCAGGGTCAGGAAGGTGATGAAGATCATCATGATGGCATGGCACAGCAGGACATGCGCCTCGAGGACCCTCTGTAGAAGAACCGCAAGCCTTGGAAGACAGAACGAGCACCCGCCCCGGATGTTGTGTCTTGGCTTGCCCTTGAATTCCGGGCAGCTCTTGCGCCGGACAGAGGCCATTATGCTTCGATAGATGGTGTAGCTTGTGTCGAGCGACCCCCACATGTGTCTTTGCCCCTGGACATAACGAGCATAGAGGGTCTTGAAATAGCCCGACTCCTGGACGTTGGACTGCGAGGCCGGCGAGTAGATTGGCTGGATGCGCACACGGCCTTCGGTCGCAAAATAGCACTTGAGGTACATGTGCATATCTTCGCCGATCGCCTCGGGTCCGCAATCCCAGAACCCGACGGCCCTGGCAAGATCCATCGACAGCGAGTATGCCGAGCAGGGGAACTTGACGGCGGAGCTGCGGTACAGATTGGACATGACGGATGTTGCCCAAACGTTGTCTCCGGCTCGGACGATGAAGGGAACATCCTTGGCATTCCTAGAGATGATGAAACCCCACTGTCTTTGTCAGCTTAGACTCCCAGGAGCCTGAGCGAGTCCACCCCAAGCGAATGCACGGAACCGAGGCAATCGAAAGTGTAATCTGGCACATCATCGAAACACTCGCGGGCAGTCCGCCAGGAGAGATTCAGGCAGCAAAGCCGCCCCATGTCGGCGTACCTGTCAAAGACAATGCAGGGAGCAAACATCATCATGGTCCGGGTCTCCTTTGGATAGGTGGCATAGTAGTAGGTCAGGGCCGTGAAGTAGTCCTCGGCAAAGCATGTGTCGGCATCCATGACGGTCACGACGACATGGGCGTGATTGCCATCGAGCGAGTAAGACATCTGGCGCGCGGCCCAGGAAACATTGCTGGATTTGCCGCGAATCTCGCCGGACAAGTTGCTCGGATGGATCGTGAAGACGATATCTTTGAACCGATCACCGAATCGCGAAATCAGCATCAGCGCCTTCTTGTCGCTGTCCTTCTCGGTCGCCTCCATGGCGAGGCAGATCTGGGCATGGCGTTGCCGACAAGGCGGTCCACATGAAAGATGAGGGATTGTCAGCGCAATATCCATAGCACAGACCACTAGGACCAGCGCAACACAGAGCAAAAACACAGAGCAAAAGCACAGAGCCTCACTTTGTACTGGGAGTACGCCATCGAGTGGCTCGAGAGAATGTCAAGAGTCTCGGCCAGGGTTTCGAGGCTCTCGCAGTAATTCGGGATGACGATCACATGCAGGATATTCTCAAACACAAGCCCGTCGGTCTTTGAAAAATCGGTTTCCTGGCAGTACTTCTGGTACCAATTGGTATACGTGTGCTTGACGGCTTCGTGATAGATGGAATAGACGCCCCAGGCAGTTCGAAAGTTGTTTGCCACGAACACAAAGTGCAGGAAAATGAACGCGATCGAGAACGCAACGGGGGTATAGAACGGACCCGCGGTCGCCAGAAAGAGCGTCGACAGCATCCATATCCCAGGTAGGCACCGGACGGCGTGCGACAGCGACCATCTGAACGAGATGCGCATGATCGGCGGAAGGTGATCTCGATCGCGGTCGTCTAGACACCAGATTGGAGAGTCAGCTGCGGCAAAAGGAATTGCGGGGCAATGAAAGCCAGCGAGGGGATCAGAGCAGCGCCGGAAGGAGGAGCAGGCGTGGACGAGGGCCGCTGGCACCGAATAACCAAAAGCAAGAGACCAAAGGGCAGGGCCAGCCGAGAGGTGCAGCGTGCATGCGGCGAGAAGTCGATGCGATCGAGGGCACTGTCGGCGAGCGAGCGGACGAGCCCTCCCCACATCCCCGCCCGCTGAGGGCGAGAACCCTGGCGAGCCAGTGTGGCATCCAAGGGACGGGCAGGCGGAGAAGAGCAAAAGGCCGGGCTTTGGCGCCGGCGGCGGTCCGCTCTCACATGGCATGCGGACCACGGCCGGCGACGAGAGTCATTCAAATCCATGCAGTATATTACGGAGCAGTCCAAGCGTCCCATTATTTTTGGAGGAACTGCAGTCATGTCTGAGCGGATAAAGTCGACAAAGCTAGCAGTGTCGGCAAGTCAAGTGCAGATCCAGCCCACTGGCGGTTGGTTCAAGTATTAGTGCGTGAGAACATCGATGGTGGCGACAGATACGGGCGCTACTGAGGGTGGAGGTAGGGTCAGATCACAAGTTCTTGAGCATCTCGGCCGAGGAGTTGCGCGAGCGAGTTCCGCTGATGGGAGTGCCCATGGCCTGAGGGGTGGTGGATGGGCCGTTGTTGATCGAAGACGGGGCGCCGTAGCGCGGGTTGTTGTCGACCCGATCGGCCTTCATCGAGAATTTGTCAATGTCTGTGGAGGAGGTGTGCATCATATTGCGCTCCGAGTTGATGCGCTTCTTTTCTCGCTGAAGCTTGGCGGTCTGGGGCTGTCCAAGAAAGCTCGTGCCCTTCTGTAGTCTGAGGGTGCGATCAGTTGCGTCGGCACAGACCGAATCAAGGACTTCGCCGAGGATGGCATCGTAGCAAAAGTAACAGTCGATCACATTGCGGACCTGATCGATGACAAACCAAGAGGCACCGAATGTGCTTTGCTGTATGGGTGCGCACGGTGTTAACAGCTGTCCAGGCCTCTCCTCGTGAGGTCGGATAAGCACCATCCTGCAACCGGCCCGGCTTGGACAGGGAACAATAGCAGAGCCATGCAAAGGTGTGGCCGCCGATAGCCTTCAAGGACAGGCACCAACAATCCGATTTGGACAGAGCCGAGGACGAGAGATACGTACACTGTACCAAAGATACGCAATGTGAATGCAGAGATTACAGGCCGAGTAATAGAGATTCTTGGGCAGGATCTGTGCCTTCTCCAATTCGGTCTCGTCGGGCTGGTATCCTGGCTTGTCGGAGATGTCGTCCATCGACGACAGCACAATGCCAGCAGACACGGGTTTGCCCCAGATGAGATAGGACGATGTAGCAAATACGACAATGTCGAGGATGAAGCTTGCCCCTGAGAAGACCGACTTGAAGGGATCGACCATCATCCACTGGCAGAGCGGAAGTACTGCGCTCTTGATCGCAACAAAGCGATAGACCCCGACCAGGACGTAGATGATGAAGAGGATCAAGACTGCCTTCTGGACGACATGCGATAGGCTTTGGCCGAAGCGAACGATTCGATATAGCAGGATTCCCTGGATTGCGAGGGTTTGAGTGGTGAAGAACAGTAGCTCCAAGCTGGCAATGGGGGTGCAGCTCGTCGCTGCGTTCTGGTTGGTAGAATCGGCAAGGAGGGCACACCGGTAAGCACAAGCATAAACACAACGATAAGCACGAGCGACGATGTACTGGAGTACTCGGTAAGCACTGGTGCCAGGACGCAATCGCATCACGAGCGCTGCGAACCATGCATCCGGCAACCATACCATCGACAGCCGCGAAATCCCTGAGAGTCGAAGGAGCACAGCGATATGGATTAGCAGGTGCATTAGCAGGTGCATTAGCAGGTGCATTAGCAGGTGCATTAGCCATCCGGGATTTCAAGTCATGTCGACGACCTCAGAGCAGATGAATGCATACCGCCAAAGAAGAGACTCGAAATCGATGTGATTGCCGCAATGAAGATCGAGTACTTTTTGACTCGGTGGACCATCGGCAGGCAGTTCATCAAGGTCACCGTTGCCACCATCAAGTTCCCTGAGGAAAGCGGTTCGCAGGGTGTTCGCATGCATTAGATGCCACCAACAGAAGCGATCAAATGTATGAGTGGTGGCAGAAGCGCCGGTAGCGAGAGATACAGGCTCGAGAGTATGGAAGCGCCCTACCGTAGGACTCGACCGCAGGACTGAACGCAAACTGGCTGCAGGCGTCTGTCATTACTTTGTATGTTGTCTATCCCAGGAAACCATGTAGTTTGTTTGTTAGTTCGGAAGCATCCACTGGCATCCACAGACATCCACAGGCATCCACTGGCTTCAACGAGGCCGTCCAAACCATCGACAGACACAAGGCAATGCCCTCACTCACGGGGCTTCAATTTCAAGCAGGCAAACTGAATCGGGTTTGTTTTGCTCCATCGAAGCAGCGTCGGGGTCGACGTTTTATTCGGTGCTGGTGTCCGATCTTGCAGCCGCTGTCGGCTTGGCCGAAACTTCCAGCCTTCGACCGGGGAGCAGAGCGAGACAAGGCCAGCAGGCTCAGTCATTGTAGCGGCATCGCAGGGCTTTTGTCCTGCCATCGACATCCTCAATCAGCCCGCTCGGCGTTGCAGATGGCATGCATTCAGCAGGCACACCTGTGCCTCAGGACCACGCAGGAGGCGTTCCCAGAGAAGTTCCCAGGCCACCCACGAACTTTCCATAGACCTTTGTGATTGGTGTGGGGCAGACGACACTGCGACATTGGCGAAAACTGAGACAGGAAGCCCCGGACTTGAGGCCGACGCCATTGAAATCGGGGCACACCGGCTTTTCGATCAGCGAGCTCGCTGTCATATCGCGTGCTGGCCATGATCTTCACCCGGAAGGTGATCAGTGTATTGGTCAGGGCAGACTACATGTTCGATTGAAATGGGGACATTGCCTCGGCTACCTTCCAGAGCCAGCCCGGCGATGGCGCTTCTTGAATCGCCAGATCTCCACCATTTTGTATCCGTCGGCTAGATTGCCTTCGTGCTCATCGGGCTCGCCGCTGTCGTCGTTGTCCTCGCCGTCGCTGGCACCGTTATCGTTCTGTGATGCTGTCTTGGAGGGCTGAGATGACTGTGCAGCAGGGACAGGATCGATCGTACGCTTCGACCTGGTCATCACCTTCTTGGAGTCGAATCCAAAACCTTTCATGAGCGACAGAAATCGATCGGCCACGAGAGGATCGCGGCGCTCGTATGCAATCCAGACGACAGTGCCCTGCTGGGAGAGGGCGTCGATTGTCTTGGCCAGGGGCTCTGCGGCAGCATAGTTGTAGACGACGTCACTGCCGAGAATGACGTCAAAGGCAGGAGGACACAGCCGTCGGATATCGTCCTGATCATCCCAATGCAGACGCTCGATGCGGACGTTGGCTTTTTGGTGTGGAATATTGGCCTCGAGATTTCGCTGCAGCAGCCCCCGGTCCAGGACAGACTGGATATCCGAAAGTACCACTTCACCAGCACCTAGATTCGAGGCCGCGAGTCCCTGGGAAGCAGAGCGTATGGATGTCAGCACTCGACCAGGACGGCGGATCAGAGTCTGCCTTTGGCCGGCCGTTGGGACAGCGAGACGAACGGGCTCTTGACCACCTACCAAGACCCCTGTTCCAGAGCCCAGATCGATGCAGCGCTTGCCGGCCAGGGACAGCTTTCCTCGAGACTGTTCGTGGCCCAGATGCCATGCCAGCTTGATGCCGCCCACCCATACGGTGGTTCCAGACTCGCCTGTCGACGAGTCTTCGTGCAAGCTGAGGGATGTGGTGGGCGTCAGCTCCAGCGAGTAGACGTTGGTGATGTCTGTGTCCTGGTCCATCTGCAGCGACCAAGACGACGGGAGGAGGCTGGCTTGTGAGGAACGGTTCCCGGGAGAATCAGCGAGGGGAAGCAGAATCGACCGATCGGGATCGATCGGGATCGATCGGGCAGCAACAGCACAGAGTGCCCACCGTGCACGACCCGAGATTTGAATCGCAGCGAGTCGGTGACGCTCTGGATGACAGCACATCCCGCCGTCCAACTCGATGGACGTCCTTTGCGCCGGCCCCGCACTCTTAGAGCGACCCGCCACGCAAGAGCGCAGAGTTTGAGGGGTCGAATCAGATGAGATCAGATGAGCATTTCTATTCTGCACCAGGATGGGGTTGTCGTCGTGCTTGCCCCTCAGTACTTGACAACCCGGAATATCCTCATGAAGCCAAACGTCAGGATGAAGGTCACGACGACAAAGATGACGACGAAAAAGATCAGCCAAAAGGTTGACCGGGACGTCGCCGAGAACTCGGCCAGCCGCTTGTTTTCGGCCTGGATGCGAACCACGTTGGCATCGAGGGCCTGGGCCGTCTCGTTCATCACCTATCCGAGAGCGGAATCGGCATATCAGTTTGTGAAATGGCAGCTAAATCGACCATCTCGCATTGGCACAACCCAGCCGCCGTTGGATCAAGCAGGATCCATTCTGCAAAAACCCGGCATTCGATACCTTCTCGTCTCGCTTGAGATATTCGCCAAAGAGCAGCGTGTTCTCCTTGAGGTTGGCAGCCAGAGTGTTCAGGTCGTCGGTCAGCTTCTCCTGCTCCTCACGCTGTTGCTGCAGGACCAGCTTGGTGTCTGGCTGGACAGATCCCGGGTCGGCCTTGGCTTTGGCTGCACTTGCAGTCGCTTCGGGGATGAGCAGGCTTCGGTTGTTTGCCCTGCAGTCCAAGCCGATTGCGTCCATCGGATCCAACACGATGATCAGCCTCTGCCATGCATGGTGATCTTCACTGGACCACTTTGCCCACCGACACCAAACTCGATGCGATGCCTATTGTGCAATCATTTTCGATGTCCTTGGTACAGGCCTGGCGAGGTTTCCGGCACTTGGAATGGATGATGGGCACTCAAGCTCTTAGCTTGCTCACCTTCGATTCCGAAACTCGCTGGCTGCTGCTGCCGGAGCAGCAGTCGGTAGTGCTCTTGCGGGCGTGGCTGTGCTCGACAGCTGTCCCTCGACTTTGGATGGTGGCTCGACTGTCGAATCGCAAACATAGCCAGTACGGCCAGCATGGCCAGAGTCGAGCGGCAAGTTCCACGCAAGTGTTAAATAGACATTCGAGCTGTCGCAGTGTCTTGGGTGCTGCTGTGCCAGTCAGTCTCGCTCTGCCGCTCGGTCGTTGGGTGTGCCTACCTGACAGAGCCGCTGAGGCTGCATTCGGGCCAGTCTGAGGGCACTCGCCGAGCAGAGCCTCCCGCTCTTCGAGCTCGTGGTTGCGGCGATGCTGCACAATCAGATTGGCTTCGATCGAGTCCTCGCCTGGTGGATGCGGATGCGTTTCGATAAAGGTTATCTGCAGAAGAGGATGAGTCAGCATCCGAGGCATGAGACCGGTGTGAGCTCTCATAGGCCGGAAGCTGCACCTTCTTCATATCGTCCATCAGATCGGCAAGAGCTTGTACTCGCCCGCGATATTTGGCGATGGTGGTGTCGTCGACGGTGTTGCCGTGGTGCTGAAGCAGGCGGTCTGCATCGAGATCACAGCGACTGCTGGACAGCTTCGATAGTGATGAGGCCTGGAGTTGCGACAGCAGCGCCTGGAGATATTGGATGTTCTGGTCGTTCCCGGAGTCGACAGGAGGATCAGGCCGATGTTAGCCGCAGCAGGCAACTCGAGATTGAGATCTTTGTAAGTACAGGGCACCTACCGATTCGATTCGGACCCGCTCGTTGTCCAACAGAGAGTCGCTTGTCTTGCCGGCCACCATCTCGTCGCACTTGAGGAGCAGCCGACGGATGTTAACCTGCATCATCGAGGGCGTCAGCGCAGAAGCGGCTGGCGACGGCATCTTGGACCGTTTCGGGCAGCGGGTGACGAGACGAGCAGATGAGGCGAGAGCCGGTGGCTAAGAGCTGGGTGGATGGGCTGGACCAGGGCCGGCTGGGGCTGGACCGATGTTGGCCGGGAATCGGCTGGCTGATGAAGGGTGAAGGGTTGGATCGGACGTGGTGGTGCGGGCGACGAAGAAACCCAGACCAGCGACGACGCAGCCGGTTGCCCCCGAGCGACATCCAACTAAACGAACAACTAAACGAACGACCCAGCGAACAACTGACCGAACCTGAACGAACCTGAACGAACGAACGAACGAACGCACATTGGGCCGTTGATACAGCCACACCGCCGTGCGGGAGGCGGTCCACCACGGAGATGCACCCCGGCTGGTGGTCCCCGTTGCGCTCTTCCCGCCTCCGCTTCTTCCCGCCAGACTCCCGCTCGTCAATGTCTGGTCTCCGATGCCTTGACGTCGTCGCCGCTTGCACTTATCCAGAAGCCCACCGTCTCGTCCTCAGCTCCTCTCTTTGCCCATTGCTCTGTCCTCCCCAGCACCAATGGATACCGTTTCGTACATGCGCTCGCTCCATCCAGTGCGAGAGCGCTCGTCCTTGATCCTTTCGAACCCGCAGTATCTGCAGCACTTTGATCTAAATCTTGCCGCCCTCGATACAGTCGTCGACCAGATCCTGGAGCTCATCCGTCGCGACTACGAGAATCTCTCAGAGATCCCTCCTCATTCGAGATGGCGTCACTTCGAAGCCAACAACATCAAGCGCATCGATCCCATCCTGGCCGACTGGGACCAGCGCTCGGTGCCCGCCATCGAGCAGACCCGACGAGTCCTCGATCTCTTCATCGTTTCGGTCTTGCTCGATGCCGGTGCCGGCGACCGCTACAAGTACCACCCAAAGGCCGAGCCTGGGATCTCTTACACGCGCTCTGAAGCCCTCGCTCTTGCTTCCCTGGACATGTTCCTGGCTGGCGGGTTCTCATCCGATCCCAAGCAGCCGTTGCAGGTCGACAGCCTCGGGCTCGCCCAGGTCACGACGCAAATGCTCGCCAACCACCTTCAGGTCAGCGACAGCAATCCTCTGAATGCTCTCGAGAACCGCTGCGAGCTGCTGCACTCGCTGGGACGAGTCATTGCCGGCAGCAACCCGTTCTTCCCCATCACCAGCGGCGTCGCCAGGCCAGGCAACCTCATCGATTACTTGGTCCAGCATCCTTCGACCCAGAACGGGCGTGTGCAGATGGCCGTGCTGTGGGACTGCATCGGCAATGGTCTCTGCCACATCTGGCCGTCCTCGCGCACTACCCTGGACGGCGTCCCGCTGGGTGATGTCTGGAAGCTGCAGAGCCTGGATCTGGCAATGAAACAGCCCAACAGCCATGGGACGGTGTGCAGCGATCCCAAATCGGCTGGGCTGGCGGCCTTCCACAAGCTCTCGCAATGGCTGGCTTATTCGTGCCTGGAGCCCATCGAGGTCATCATGAAGCTCCAAATCGAAGGCATCGAGCTGCTGACCGGGCTGGCCGAGTACCGCAACGGTGGGCTCTTTGTCGATTCAGGCGTCCTCAGCCTCAAGCCCGGCCGAGACGGCACCGTCATCAAGGGCGGCAACGGCGTCCCGCCTCGTTTCCGCGTCGATGACGATGTGGTGGTCGAGTGGCGAGCCTTGACGGTTGCTCTGCTCGATCGAGTCGCCGAGAAAGTCAGACACAGACTCGGTGCCGACAAGCACACCCTCCCGCTTGCCAAGGTTCTCGAGGCTGGTACGGGGCTCCCGCCTGACATGCGCATAAGGATGTGGGCCAGTGTGTCTGCTGATACCAGAGCATCTCCTCTATAACATCGACGAGCAAGGAGTGGGTGTCCGCGGTGCCGAGCTGAGTGGCTAACGGCTCTGTTCTCAACAGGCACATGGAAGGCCGGCCGTGAGATCGCTGCCAAGTTGCGTCCCCTGACCAAGGGTCCTCCAATCGAAATTGAATCGGATGGGACGGTTTTCTGATTGTTGGCAGTCACAAGTTGCTGGCCTGCACAACTGCCAAGAACAGCGCTGTATTGCATCAAGGGAATGGGAGTACTCCAGGTGTTGGTGCTATGATGTTGGTGCACACGCCACATGATCGATCGAGGGTCGATCGCTGAGGCTGCAGCATCACCGTCCGAGTCGCAATTCACAGAGATCTCGTTATGAGCGTCACCGAATCGTTTCGGCCATGGCTACGACAGTCCGTGTGTACCAGGGCTTCTTGAAGGAGCTGTATCGAGAGGCCCCAATAGATATGCCTCGACATTCGTGCCGGGCTCCAAGAAGGCAGCGCTGTCGGCTGCGGCCGGCAGAATGAGCAGAGCATTGGCGCTCTTCATGCTCATGACCCTACTGCTCCGCTGTCCTCCGGTGGTGTAGGCGACCAGCTTCATGCCGGTGCTGTCGTAACTTGCAGAAACGTGGGCGCGCTGAAACTCGGGTCGAGAGTCGAGCCGGACTCTCTCGGGGAGCTTTGGGGGAGAGTCGCAGAGATGTCAGTGCTTCACTAGCCGACACGACGCCGTGATCGAACCAAATGGCCATAAGACAACACTGCCAAGTGCATGGCATCGGCAGAGTCCACATCGCTTACCGTGACCAGAATCTTGGGGAGACAGGGATCAGTCGATCCCGAGAGTTTCTTGAGCGAAGGCAAAACGAACAGATAAAACGTGACTGTGAAAACGGAGCGGTGTAAATGAACCACATCATGCCAGCATTTGCCATCACATTGGATGCATTACCGGCGGCTACTGGACCTACCAAGGGCCGAGACTGGGTTCCCAGGTAGGGAGAAGATAAGCTTTGGAGGGGCAGCATCCTGGGAAGTGACTGTTGCGAACGTTGTTGGTTTTCTAGGCACATCGATGCTTGGATTGGTAAGTGTCGGTGTATCGCAGCTGTGGTGTACCAGCAGGCAATTCAAGCACTATGGATCGCATCCAGTCCTATTGCAACCCACCCTGGCCTCAGAGCCACCCTTCCAAAGTGAATACGGGCACCGATCTTATTCAGAAGCACGGGCTTGAGGAGGTCAAGCTCGCCCATGGAGACTCCGCCGGTAGTGACAAGTACATCGGATCGCTCCAGGCCCGTGCGAACAACGGCGGCAAGTTCCTCTGGGCTGTTCAGCGGGCATATTATTGGGGTTGGGGTGAGATGGCCGATTTGGGGGCAGCTGCATTAGCCAGACGATCCAACACCCACAGGCACTGGCTGGTTGAGGCAGGCAGGCACATACCTGTCAGGTGCTATACCCAGGTCAACCACCTGATAGCCACAAGACTCGATGGCCATTCTCAAGGATGGCCGATTGGTGTCGCGGATCTGTCCATATCGGAGCGGCTCCATGGAATCGTGCTGGACAAGTTCGTTTCCGGTGGACAAAATCGAGACAATCGGCTTCCGAAAAACACTCATCTGTTTGGCGATTGGGCAGAGAGGAGTCGATTAGATGCTCAGTCGGATACTCTACAGCGATACGAAAAGGTCGGGAGATTGTTGCGGACCACAAAGCAGAACCGGCGCTTTGCAGAGGATCGACAGGGATCAAGCCGAGGCCGCTGGCGGCCATATACCCACCTCTGATACTCCCACAGACGCCATTGCACCGATTTCGCCGCCGATGGGAGTGATTTGCTCGCCCTTTCGGAGGATGCGCTCGCCCATGGAAATGTCCGAGCCAATCTCTCGAATATCCTGCCCTTCGTGTGCAGCCTTGTTGATACGAACAACGTGCTCGATCTTGCCATCATCCGAAGCTGAGACCACGGTTGTGTACTCGACCATGATGACGGCAGTCGCTCCCTTGGGGACTGGCGCTCCCGTCGTCACTCGGGCTATCTTGCCAGGCGTCAACTCGAGCTCGGGGCCACTTCCAGGACCCGCGAGCAGTCCGCTGACAACGGGGAATTCGCCGACACCATCTGAAGCTGGAAACATGGGCAAAGCGCTCAGCCTTGCAAACTGACTCGACTTGGATGGACTCGGGACCGTACCCTCGCTTGTGTGCCCGCATTTGATTTCTGATCCATACTGTGATCCGTTCTCGCTCGATGGCATCCACTGCACCTGAGTCGCACCTGGCTGCACCACCGCTGCACCACCGCTGCGGCCACTCTTTGGCGCTGGGATTGCTTACCTATTACAGCATAGCCATCGACAATCGAGGCTCGGTAGCCTGGGACGGGCTCTTTGGCGTGAACGTCCTCGGCAAGATAGTACCCCGACAAGTCGACGTCGACCCTCCGCTTCTCTGCGGGGAGACGCTGGGCATGTTGCAGGACGATAGACAGTGCCTCGTCAAAGCCGATCATCGGAAAGGGAGACTCTCGGGGACGAAGGGCGACTGCGGCGACCCAAGGGCAGAGACGACGGCTATGTTAGTGTCGCTCGCGAGCACGACTATCGAGGTCAAGGAGCCAAACGTAACCGAGATCAACTTTGCAGCAAGAGTTGGCATGAAATCGACCACACCTGGCGTATCCAGCGAGAGCATCTGTTGATCTAGAGCACGACCTTGGTGATGGTGGTGGTGGTGGTGGTGATGCTGGTGATGAGTCTTGGTTTTGGCCTCGTGGTGGTGGCCGCAGTCATGATGGCCCGATGCCGCTTGCATCCGCCGATGGGTCTGCTCTCCGGCACCAGGCTCGCCCCGACAGAGCTCCAGGGCGTGAGGCAGAACCGGTAGCAGGGCTTGGAGATTCTCGACGGAGCCTTTGGTGCTGCCCGGCAGAGTGACAATGATCGAGTTCTTTCGAACACCGCAAATAGGCCGGGACAGAGCAGCCATTGGTGTGATACTCAGGGAGGCGACGAGCATTGCAGTCGATAGACCAGGGGCATTCTTGTCCAAGATCGGAGCGACTGCCTGCGAATCCGGGAATGGCGTAGCCAGTCCGGTATGGTTGATGATTACAGTTGGTGGACGATACGGCCCAGTGGATGGTGGCAGAGAGTGATCGGCAAGCGGCGGTATCAGCAGGACCCATGAACAGCGAGAATATCAATACAGCTAGGCAAGGCAATACGGCGGCCAAACGCACACCGCAGACCGGTAACGGCTCTCCCGATCGCTCTGGCTCTACTGCCTCATACCTCCGGGGTCACATCCCTGACGCCGAATCCCGTTCCTCCGGTGGTCAGAATCAAATCGGCCCTCTTCTCGTCAGCCCATCTTGAAATCCGGGCTTGGATCTCACCCACGTCGTCGGGAACGACTTCTTGGACCACAACGGTGCCGCCGAGCTTGGATTCGACAAGGTCCTTTAGAGTAGGGCCGCTCTTGTCGACTGCAGCGCCCTGCGACACTCGATCGCTCACTGCGATGGGAGGGGAGGACGTAGGAGTGCAGCCAACAGCTCAGAAGAAGGGATCACAACAGGCACATGTAAACTGCCGAGGACACAGGCCGATGAGCATATCGGCCCGCCAGCCGACGACTTACCTGTGAGAATTCCTACCGAGATCATGGATTGCGAGCCACTGTGAGGCGAGGAAAGAGCCGACCAAACTGCGTCCACCAGCAAAATGGCCCTCAGCAAAGAAGACCCTTGCAGCCCGCGTTGGTCGCAGCCACAGCCACAGCAGCCGATGGGTCGATGCCGGACTGGGTCCGGGTGATGCCATCGACGACTGCCGAAAGTTCTGAATGCCAGGATCCACAGGCCAGGCGACGCAAGACGACGGTGTACTGGGACGAAGACGCAGCGACATACGAATCAGCGGCATCCCAAGGCAGCACCAGCGATGCGATTCGTGGAGCCTTGCAGCTTCCGTGCGAAATGGCTGCTCGCAGAAACCCGCTCGGTCGCATTCGGCTTGAGGACTGAGTCCTCCTCGGATACATGGTTGCCCTGAGGACGTCCGGCGAATGCAAATGTCAGGCCGCTGTCTGCGTTGGATGGTTGCGTGGAACCGGTTCGCTGATGTCTCTCTGGCGGTCCCACCAGCAGTCATTCTCCTGCAAGGTGCTGGCTCACAGCCGTGCTCTTGCTTTGGCTGTCCCGCTGACGGCACTTGTAGTAAAAGCAGTAACAGCAGTAGCAGCAGCACCGGCGATAGCCACCCGTGGACAGAGCCTCAATCAGATCCACTGCGCAACCTCATTCCCAATCATGGCGGTGATACACATGAGCCTGCAGCGGATCGCTTAGGAGGGGTGTGGGTCTACGGTACCCCGATCAATCATCGTGGGGGAAAGGACAAAGTGTGCTCAAGAGCAACATACTTTTTTGCAGGCTTGGAAAGGGCAGTCCGGCATTGAAGGACCCGCTTCTGGTCGTCTGGTTCCGGCTGGTTTTTTTTTGTTGCTGCGTCGCTCGCGGCATCGGGTTGCTTGGCCATATCAACCGACGAAGCCTCTGAACAAAAGGATATCGCCCCTCCGTAGAGCCCCAGCGACGTCTCGTCGCCTCTCCCGAACGATTCCCTGCCATTCGCTCACGGATCCTGCCTCTCGTTGCGCTTGGCCGCCCAAGCGACATTCGCCTATCCCACGCAGCGTGTGTTGCGTGGCTGCTGGTTCCCACGAACACCGCCAGCGCCTGCCCTCCCATTCGACACCGGACTGACGCCCATAGCCGGACATCATGGGCAACTGCACGAGTTCTGAGGAGGATCGAGATGCACGACAGCGAAGCCTTGCCATCGACAAGGGCATCCGCCAAGAAAGCGATGTCATGAACACCGTTAAACTTCTGCTGCTCGGTAAGACGAGACTGTCGCGACCGTCGAGACTCGAGCGGGGAAGGCCGACAAGCCCAGAAGGGACAGGAGCGCAAACGGTGTGATAAAGGGCTCATAGGAGGCCGAGTCAAGACAATGGTCTTTGGTGGCGAAACCGCCTGCTTCCGAGAATCCTTTGGCGGCAGGAGCGTTTGGTGAGCGAGGTGCTTAGTGGGGCTGCCGAACACTTTATGCAATGAAGTCAAAGCCCCGTCTGATGTGTGTTCGTGTGTGTGCCGAGCCTGACGAACTTGATATACATCTTAGGTGCGGGGGAATCTGGAAAATCAACATTTCTGAAGCAATTCAAGCTCATCCATGGCTCTGGGTACTCGGCCGAGGAGCGATTGGCGTACCGCCCGATGGTGCTGGGCAACGTCGTCAATGCCATCCAGTCGATTGTCGATGCCATGGAGACGCTTCAAATCCCATATGAAAACAGTGAAATCAAGGTAACAGTGCGCGGGAGGCTTTGAGCTCAAAGCTGCTTGGACATGAATTACCTGGGTCGATCTCCCATCTACACGCCTACATTCGATTCATGCGCATGGCGAGTTGAACGCCGGAGTTGCGGGTCCTGCGTCGGTACAAGGGGGTTGAAATCTTGTCTGACGCTGCTTTGTCGGATTTATGGACTCTCTCTTTCAGAATCAGATCGGCACCGTTAAAGAGCTCCCAAAGACATTTGGGGAAGGAGATGTTATCAACGAAAGCACAGTTGCGTTGATCCAAACCTTGTGGACCGACAAGGGAATTCAGCAGTGCTTTCAGCGATCGAACGAGTACCAGCTTTTGGACTCAGCGTCTTAGTAGGTTGCTGCCGAAGGCTTGGGGCGCTGGAATGCCGGCTCATGTCATTTGCTGCTTCCGCGAGTGTACTGGATCGGGGGTGTGCGCTGGGCTCTCCTTCCGAGCTCAGAAAGGGAGTCGCACCTCCAAACGAAAACCAACCATCTCTGGGGGAGGGCAGCTTTCTTTCAGACCTTGCTCGAATATGCGCGCCCCAGTACGAACCGACCGTCAGCGATATGCTGAGAGTGCGCGTGATGACAACGACGATCACTGAGACCAAGTTCAAGATTGACAACGTGATATTCCGGATATTTGATGTCGGTGGCCAACGGAGCGAGCGACGCAAGTGGGCCTCGTATTTTGATGATAGCAACAGTATCATCTTTGTGGCTGCCATAAGCGCATACGACCAGACATGCTTTGAGGACAACAAGACCAACCGAGGTACGCACATATTCATGATGGATTTGACATGGAAGACGGGCTAGATGAGGGAGGCTCAGGGGTACCCGACCGGGTGCCGATATATGGCCAGTGATACTCGACATGGCCTCTGTCGCTGTCGATCTGGCGCTGGAATCGATTGAGCGAGCGAGTGGAGCACCGTGAGACCTGGGCACGGGCTCAGGCACCATCTAACCAACACATTCATATCGTTTCATACCGTTTCATACCGTTTTTCTCACATTGTCTCACTTCCTTTCGCCTCACCCCATCTCTCCTGTACCATTTCACCTCATGCCGCTTCCGTGGCCCAGTTCTCGAGTCCTTGACACTCTTCGACTCGATTTGCAACCACCCTCTTTTATGCAAAACGTCCATCATCCTCTTTCTCAACAAAATGGATCTCTTCAAAGAAAAGGTGTCTCGGCTACCGATCAAAAAGTACTTTCCGGAATACAAAGGTATGGGCAGGTTGGATGCTGCAGAGGCAGTCCGCCAGCCAGGGCCAGTGAAACAAAGCCGGAACGTCACACTAACTTTCGCCATCGCATCGCCCAGGGTCGGACAACTACAAGGAGGCGGCCGAGTTTTTTGCCAAAAAGTTCCTCGAGATCAACAAGTTCCACGAGAAGAAGATCTACGTGCACTTTACGTTTGCTACGGATACCACACAAGTCAAAACAGTGTTTGCCACCGTCACTTCGATCATTTTGAGAGCCAACTTGATGAGGTCTGGGTTCTGATGGCAGCGCCCCTCTCTTTCCGCATATTGCGTGTGCATCTTTGGTTCCTGCTGCTGTACATGTACTCTCTTCTGGTGGATGGTTGCGCCAGATGCTCTGCAAACCGCTGGATGTTGGAGCCCCTCCCCCACTTTCGCACTGTGAATATTACCGATCTCCTCAAGTATTCTTTTGCGCCTCGCTCGGCTATCCATTGCTACCAAGAGAAAAGCGCATACATGGCCATTTCTCCCCGTGGCTGCCCCCCCCATCGTCTCGCCAGGCCGAGAAACAGCCGCTCGCCGTCCGCCCACAGTCACGTGCGCGCCTGTTTGGGCAATCATTGAATTCGCTGTTGGCAAAAGCAAAATGCCTCGAACAGCCCGCACCGTTTGCAGCACCCATCTCGATCCGCCGGCCGACACCACCCCCACGCCTGCTGCTGCCAGCGAGCCGCACCCGCACCCGCACCCGCACCGGCATCGACACCCGCGATCGTAGCTGAGCCGGTACGGTACTCTCTGTGTTTTATGTGCAGGTCCTGCCCTGTCCCTCGTGCCGAGCAGGTTTCGTGACGAGGACGACTTTGGTCCTGTTGTGGCCTTGCAACCTCAGACCGGGCTGCTGCTGCTACTGCTGCAAGGGGCTCCACATAGAGCCCCACATGAAGCGGCCACCACATGCTTTGCAGATCCATGGACTTTGGTTACTGAGCATGTCAACAGCGAGCACAACCGTGCAGGCATGTGTCTGTTCAGGCAACGGCCTCCTGTCGACTCGACGAATGCAGGGCTGGTTGACCAGTGACATCCCTCAAACCCGTGCCGGAAGGCGATCCGTTGCGATCATCCCGCGTCGGGGTTCGATCACCGCCGTCTTCGATGGCTCTGGCTCTGGCTCTGGCTCTGGCTCTGGCTCTGGCTCTGGCTCTGGCTCTGGCTCTGGCTCTCGTCCTGATTCACCATGCCACAAACACTTTCTGATCCAACTCGCGCTGTATCCCGATCAGCGTCAACCCGATAGTCCATAGGGGCGTTCCATTGCAGATTCTCTTGCCCGAGGCCTTTCATCGCTGCCTGCCCGCCCGCAACCATGGCATCAACTCCACGCAACCGAAAGTCGACCGGATCCAAGGTGCTGCCTCGGACTCCTGCACTGCAGACGCCGCCGAGAAAGCAAATGGCCAGAAGCTCGACCTTGGGACGGCTTCACCCCCCTCCTCCGAAACGTATGACGCCGTCGCCGCATGACAACCTCGCATAGAGAGATCTCGTTCTCGAGGATTGCTCGCGTACACATTCCCATGATCCTCTTTGGTGGATATCCAAACCCGACTCTGGTTTCTGCACTCGGTCTGACCTTGGTTTCACTATCCGTCGTTGGATCAGCTGTTACTCCTGCGGTGACCAAGCGCCGCTTCCGGCCGGGGACGGTGGCGCTCCGAGAAATCCGGCATTACCAAAAAACCACTGATCTTCTCATCCGAAAGCTTCCGTTCGCTCGTCTGGTACGTGTGGTCTTCGTGACGGCATCTATGGAGTCCATATAGCAACCACAGTATGGCTGTCGCCCATACCGCGCTTGGAGTCAGCGGTTTCGAATTCACCGGGCCCTGCTTGTCGACAGGCTTCCAGCCTACTGCCGTCGCTGTCGCCTCCTTTCATCACGTATTTGCACTCATCTCCTCATTTGGGAAACGACTCGCAGGTGCGCGAGCTGGCGCTGCAGCATATGTCGGAGCTCATGGGAGAGCGCAGCGAAGGTATTCTGCGATGGCAAGCCACAGCCATCATGGCGCTCCAGGAGGCTACGGAGGCATTTTTGGTGCACCTTTTTGAAGATGCGTAAGTATCGCAAGTGACTGCATCAGCTGCCATCCTTGACTACAGTCGTTTGCTGCAGTCTCGGCTGTGGTCGATCGTTGCAGTCTCGGCTCATCTTCCATCATCCTTATCGGTGCTGATGCTGGACAATGAACCACCAACAGGAACCTTTGCGCGATCCATGCTAAGCGCGTGACGCTCATGACGAAGGATATCCAGCTGGCTCGACGCATCCGTGGTCCTTGGGGCGGTTTGATGTGAGCAACGGCCCACCTTCGACGGATGGGCTCGTGCGATGTGCGATCAACCTCCGTTCCGGCCTGTATTCCATGCGGCGATGCGTCTGGTCGTCGCCAGATGCCATCATGCTCGCTCGGATTGCCATCACCTCCTCCCAGCTCAGCATCCGTTGGCCAGAGGACATTGTTTGCCCGACACCAATTATCCGATGAGCGGATGGAACTCGGCCTGACTTTCCACATGTCTCGTGCACCCGACCTTCCTGCGACTGCTGTGTCTTGCCGATCTTTTGTATCTTTCTTTGCTTGGTTTTTGTTTTGCTGCGCCGTACCATGCCTTATCTAGAAGAAATGGTACATTCCAATCCTCTCAATTCCATCGGCGTGGCTCGTGCACGGATAGTCTGTGTCCTCAACTCGCCACCGCCGCTGCTCTCTGTCTCAAAGGGCAGCGTGCTTTTGATAAGCATAGTACTCGTCAGCCCACGACTAGTTGGCAGCGTATTTATTGTCGCTGTTCAGGCTGCGTAGGCTTCGATCTTTGGGCCGCGGCGTGATGACCTCGAGTCGGTCATTCTCGTTGTCGCATTGCATCAAATCCGCCTATGCACCGTACACGACACCGTAGCCACGAATGTGCTCGGCAAAGCCCCATTCTGTGGCAAGGGCGTACGGCTCCGTGACAGTGACGCCGGCGGCTGTGATAGTGGCACGTTGGATCTGCGTCCCGGTTGTCGAGCGAATGGTCAGTCAGCCACGGACAACATCCCAGCGGATACATATACAGCGCATTCTTACTCGACCTGGACCGCCTCGTGTGTCCCGCTGTGCTCGAGCTGAGCGTACGCATATCGATGGCTAGTATGCCCTACCTTGTTGGAAGATCGAGCATCTCTGTACCAGAGGACTCTCATGGCATCATCTAGGATCTTGATCGCCTCGGCTTCCGTGAGGGTGTCTTCCTTTCCTTCGACGGCCTTGCGGAGCAGAGGCTGAGCAATGTATGACCCGTATCCGGTAGCGATGGTCGAAGCTTCGTATGTCGTTCCCATCAAATCCACATATCCCAAAAACCTGATGAAGCCAAAGCAATAAGGAGAGTTATTGGGATGCTGGGTCCCAGACGAGACATCGGCCTGCCCAGCTCTTGGGATCGCAGCACCGCGGCACTCACTTGTCGCCGTTACGGTTGCCACCGATCACCAGCGAGTTCCACAGCGGGTCGATTTTTGTTCGGCGGTTGTACATGATGCGGCTCAGCAGCTCGTAGATATTGCGGGGAGAGAGCTTGTGTCCGTCGTCGTAGGTGTACTCTTCGGTGCTGCAGAGCAAAGACAGGGCCAATCCCGGTCAGTATCGTAGCGAAGCATCCAGTGCTAATCACCGCACTTGAAATCATAAGCAGAGAGGGTGGCATCGGGCTTGAGCAGACTGATGCATCTGCTACAGCCCGTTGCGGCGCTCGTCTACTTGTCGCGATCGATGTGTATCGCCGATATGAACAGGCGCCGAAACGACAGCAGCATCATGGGCTACATACGTCACGGACTGCAGAACGTGCTGGATGTGCTGAAAGTCGGAAATGTCGCCCGAGGCTCCGACGACGGTAAAGTCTCCAACCTTGACCACACGTTCGACATCCCGGAATCTGGCGAGCGAGCCATAGGAGGCTGGTGGTTGTTGGCGAGGTTAGGCACAACGCTTGTATATGTCGGACCGCCCTTGCCGCTATTCCACCGGAGGGCAGAGGATGCCAGGCCAGCAGCCCCAACTCGCCGGCATGTATGAATGGAATGCCACCCTCGGTCGATGCGACTCACCCAAGGTATCGGCCGCCAGCATCACGCCGTCCTTGTATTTGATTCCGAGGACGGAGGTTCCCGTCACGATCGGCGATCTGGCGTAAAACGGGTTTGAAGAGATGCTCGGTGAGCAATGCATCGACACACCGGCCATGGAGCCGAGGAAGGTGGATACTTGGTCGCGGGACATCATGCAAAGGCATGGGGCAGGCGAGGTGCGGGCCAGAGGCGGGGCTCGTCCCATGTCGAATCTTGTTGCGAGCAAACCAAGCGCCCCCATACGCCAGAGCCTCGGCGGAACCGAAAGTAATGCGGCGAGGGCCGAATGCAGCAACGTACTGGGTTCGGGTTGTGGGCCCATGGGCAGCGGACCGATGGGATGCTTCGGTGTGGCCAAAGTTGGAGGAGAAATCATAGGCATCGGAAACACCCGTAGCGTGTGACTGTGCCCCGGGATAGGAATACATGCTTGGCGTTGGCGGGTGCGATGGAACGGCTGTCGGGGAGATGGCCTGGGCTGGGGCGGATCGGCAGTCGGGATGTTGGAGCAGCAGGCGGCCACGACAGAGACGGAATTCCAGATCGGATGGTCGCCGTTGTCGTGCTGGAGCATCGAGAGCCCAGAGGGCCAGGGTCGAGACGATCCGCCAAGCGGACCAGAGCGACCCTGGCAGGACAACATGCACGTGGGCCCACATGGCCGGCGGCGCGCCGATCCCGCCGAGGGCGCGCACCCGTGCCGCGCAGCGCCATTGTTCCACGGCGGAGGCAGCCGGCCGTTCCCACGCCTGGATGGAACCCGCCCGCAGCATCTGCCGCTGTCGGAAGCGGAACCATCGGTATCATCGGCACCGCTGTTGCCGTCGTCGACAGTGCCGTTCAGTCTTATCGCGCACTTCGACATGGAGCTCGATCCGAGCGATACGCCGACTTCCGGTGAGCGACCTGGGACGCATCTCTCTGATTCCTCCTTCGGCTATGCTCGTGTCCGTGGCCGATGCAGCATCCGGCTTGGCTTACCATGTTGACGAGTCGATCTTCATCAATGCCATTCACCACTATCGCATGTGCCCTCAAAAGGATGCATCCCAGAGCCATCCGAAGCCGCAGAAGAGGGCGGTCTCGCCCTTACGGATCCCAGCAAGAAGGCCACAGCGAAGAAGTGGGCTCCCGTCCAGACATCGACCATCGTCCGTCCAGGCGGAGGGTTCCGACAACCGACCTCGCCCAGTAAGCAGCCATGTAAGTCCTTCTCAAGAAGTGCCGGTCTGGTCCGACCGCATGCCGGCCAACAGAGGAAAGTTTTGCGTGAGCCTCCAGCTTTCGGGTGCGAAACCGTTCAAGACGCAAGTTTTGCCGAGTCGCGATGGAGGGCGACGCTTAACGCTCTATCCTCGGCCGCAGTTGGTTTTGGAGGCTTTCCGACAGCATCGTATCTCGACAAATCGCAGGGCCTCAACAAGCCTGTCGAGAGCACCCTCAAGTCGCCGGTGCAAATGCCCACGACATCGTACTTGGACAAAGGCCCGGCCCTGAACACCCCGGGGCCAGGCATTCCCCGGGGCCCCTCCAGCGAGCAGTTTGCCAAACAGGCCCGGCTGCGGCACAAAAAGTCTGGCATTTTGGAGTATACCGACTACAGCTCTATGGAGGAGTATGTTAAAGACGGAGAGGAGATGTACCGGCCCAACTAGACGACGCAGCTCTCTTTCTCTCAAGCGTCGAGTGTCGAGCGTCGAGCGTCGAGCGGCATCACAACTGTCTGTGGCATATCGGTTGGCTCTGTCGTCTATGGCATTGGCCGCAAGGAGCGCATCCTTGCCATCCCAACAGCCGCGGTCGCATCAGAGACACCGCTCGGAAGTATCAGTGATAGAGTCCTGGAATCGGAGGCCCATCACCACCACTGGTATCTACAACATTGTGTCGATAGACTCACAGCTGTATCAGCGCTGGATCTCGCTCCAGATACAGCTCGGGTCTCTATATTCTGAGGCCGACTAGGTTTGCTGTTATTGAGTGGGGCTGAATCTGTACGTTGTTGAGTTGCACTTATTGTCGCCGACGCCGGCCACAGAGACCAAGCTGATCTCTGCAACACGGCTTAATAATGCACAGCGTCCATTCATGGTAACATGTGTTTGGACCTGTGCCATTCACATGGGCGATCAGAGGTCCCGGTAGCGCCGGGCGATGGTGCTTTCCCATCCAGCGGCATTCTCAAAACCATTCTGTCCCATCTGGTAGTCGAGCATGGCTTGGTAGATCTCTCGTGAGTCGTTCATGACGAATGGGCCGTGTCTGGACACAGAGGGAGAAGTAGAGTCAGGTATCGGCGGCAGGACATCCACGGCCGTCTTCTCGACACTCGCGAGTTGCGCCATGTTGGTTTACTATGCTGCTTGACACCACGTACTGCACGATCGGCTCGCCGATGGGCTTGCCGGCTATCAGCACAAATCGGGCGCTCTGGTCCTTGGTCTCGACACGGATAGTGCTCCCGCCCCTGGATAAGACTAGCGTCGAATGCGGCTCGCCCTTGGTGCCTTCGGATCCGAAGAGTGCTGAGCCAGAGAGTGTGTAGATGAAGCCGGTGTAATCTTCGGGGATTGCCTGCACGCCGGTAACAGGAAGGAGTTGGTGGGAGATGGACAAACACACGCCGGGCATGAGTCGCTACCGTCGACGACGATAACTCGAGTGCGGTCGCCAGCATGGCATCCGCAGACTCCGCTGGAGGTCGTAGTGTGGCTCCAGTCGTTTAGCGCATTGATGGGCCAACAGAATAAACAAAAGCCACTTGGGACCGGCGTGCGTCCCTACCTGCTCGACAGACTTGTTGGCATCCATGTCGAAATCAAGATAGTAGATCGGAATGTAGGTCGAGACCTTGGCCTTGACGCCCATGCTCTCGCCCGCAATGACCTTGACCCGAACGCCGCCGTCCTGGGAGCTGACCTTGGGCACATCCTTGTCCAAGAGCTCCTGATACTTTGGCGGCACCATCTTGGCCGACTTGGGCAGGTTGACCCACAGCTGCAGGCCCTTGGCCGCCGTATTGCCATCGGGCATCTCGGCATGAACGATGCCCCGACCGGCAGTCATCCACTGCAAGTCGCCAGGACCGATGCGGCCGCGGTGGCCGGCAAAGTCCTCATGCGCCACTGTGCCTTCAAGCATATAGGTGACTGTCTCGAATCCTCGATGCGGATGGTCGGGGAAGCCAGCGGGCTTTCTGACGCTGAACTCGTCCAGCATCAGGAAAGGATCCAGGTTGCGGAGTTGGTGGGTGCCGATGGAGCGGCGGACCCGGGCACCGTCGCCCTCGGGCTGCTCCGTCGAGACGACGACCTTGGTGATTTTCTTGGATGTGCTCATTCCTGGATGGGTCGGTGAGATGATCGAGGTGCAGCCTGGTCGAGGCTTTCGAACCTGGGCGCCGCTGATTTCCTTCTCGGCGAGAACCACGTCGCTTGCTCTCGCTCTCTCCTTGTCCCAGATGGCACTGTGGGACACATGTTTTGAGCCGGGAATGTCGCCGCTGACCACGACGAGCGAAGGCAAGAGTATCTAAATGTATTTACGCAGAGTTCGGCTGGAGCACGGATGCGTCCTGGCTATGCTGAGCCGATGTTCCCGTTCATCTCTGTTGTCGAGCTGCGAGTTCACAGGCTCCGCGATGCGTCGATATTCCCAGAGCATCTCTTGGTGCTGCTTGGTAGTGGCGATAGCCTCAACTCCATCGGCCTCGGCAGCCCAGCTTTGTGCCCCCGGAGTTCGAGCCACAGGTCGCCGCTCCCGTTCTCCAAAGGCCGTGTGAGGACAATGTCCGTGCATTTCGTGGAGATAAAGTCTTTCAGCGAACGGATGCGGTGGTTGCTGGCCTTGAGGGAGCCAAGGAGCATTGGTGAGGTGTGTGAAAGCAGCATTCAAAGCCCTCAATAGGACTCGAGCGCTGGCCAAGCTGTTGGCCGGCGGACTTTCTCGGGATCGTAGTAGCAGCCATGGCACGGCTAAGAACAGCATTACGCGAAGCGGCTCCATTCCTCAAGGTGGCCAGATGGAGCCATGACCTACTTTGATATCGGCACCGATCGAACTCAGGGTCCTTGGGCCTGCCTCCAGTGCTTGGGCGATCCTTGTCCTGGCCGACCTCTGTGCGCAAGTAATCAAAGAGACCAATCTATCAACTCACTCGCTTATCAGTCCGGCAGCTCACGAGTCGGTCGATGGGGTGGCAGGAGCCGATACTAATGTGCCCGTGATGGAAACTGACTGTGGAGGATGTTCCAGCATACAACCACTTCTGGCGCAAGCGCCGATGCGGTCAGAGTATCGCGCATATCATACCTCAGTCGAGCTCAACTCGATCGATGCTTGGGCCTCTGTCTTGCCTTTGCTCCTAGAGGCGGTGCCGTCCTTGACTACCGTTGATGAGGGTAGCTGCCCCCTATCATCCACACAGGTTGTCTTGGAGGAGAATTCAAATGTTTTGTTGTCTTTAGTCCGGGCCGTATCTCCAAGTGAGTGTATGCCCACCACTTTATCGATTCGGCGCAAGTGAGCCCCTCGACACAGCCATCCGCTGACTCATCCAGTGTACCTTGAGCAGCTCTTCCGTCTGCGCACGTGGCAGTGACCGCTCTGTGAGTAGTCCAAGTGCCGTGCCGGTCGAGACAGAAAAGTGTAATGTCGACGGAACCAGCCCGACAAGAGGGTCGAGGGCGGCGGCCTTGGGAGGGCTCGCGCGGGCAGTGGGATAGTCGCACTCTATCAGCGACTCGGCCAGCGGTGTAGCTGCAGCATGCATCTTGGATGGACCCGAGGAGATTCTGGAATGTCCGTGAGATGGCGATGTCGTTGTATCAGTGGCGCTGCGAGTGGAAACGCTTTCGACTTTGTAGTCGACCCGGGTATGGGAGATTTGCACTTCATCGCCTGCAATTCCAAACGGAGCGTTTAGAGCTTCATAGCGCATGTCCGATGCATTCATATGGCTGGGCACAATCCAATATTACAGGCTATGAGCATACCGGCATCACAACCCACCTGAGGTATCTGTAGCGCTGCATGTGGTGGTGAGCTTGGTGGTCGAGGGCACAGCGATCTCGCTCCATGGGATGAGCTCGCGGACACAGTACCGGAGCGCTGAGCCACAGCAAGTGGATGGTATCGTCAACGACTCAGTCCAGAATCGCTGTCCGTGCACATCTCCCACCTTGCAGTTCCGACCATGCTTCATCATCGGTACATCGGCGCTGTGGCTTACCATCGGATATGCGTGGAGGATGGATCAAAACAACGTGGTACTGCACCGACTCGAGGAAGCTGAGACAGCTACCAAAGTCTCGGTCTCCGCTGATGAGATAGATGGAGTGCGGCGGCTTCTGGAAGAACGATATCTTCATCAACTCGCACAGGATCGCATTGTCGGCCGCCGACTGCTCAATACGTCGCAGCATTAGTGACAGGCGAGCTGTGTTCGTGTCCAGAGTCGGAAGAGCTTGCGTCTCAACGAGCACTCACGGGTCGTCTGGACGAGACGTTTTGCAGGGCCACACCACAATCACCGAGCGCCGTCTTGACAGCTCTGTTCATGAGCTCCAGGTCCGCTGTGCAGTTCAGAGGTATTAGGAGAGAGCGAGCAAAGTCAATTTCGGTCAAGCCGCTCGGGTGTCTCTGCGTTGGCTGAGCAGATGTGTGGGCCATCAAGGGACTGGGTCTACCGATGGCAATGATGTTGATGAGGGTCTCCTTGCGGCCGAGAATCAGATTCCTCAGCTGGCGGACGACTTGTGGCGGAGAGGTGCCGCTGGGAACGGCACAGTTCTCAATGTCCCAGAGGATATGTGCACGCTGGGCCACCTCCATGCGATGCTGCAGGGGGCGGTCGGGGCCTCCGTCCGGAACTGGGATGCTGCGGTTGGGGAGAGCGGTGGCAGAGACCGGCGCAGACAGAGCCAAGCTGGAGCTGTGCTTGGCTTGAGGGATGGCGGCCGGCACGGGTCTCGGCGCAGACCAGATGGAGGACGACCTGCTTGATAGAGGCCGCGGCCTGGGGCTGTGGGAGCAAGAGGGCGAGCGGGAAAACAGCGGATGCTGTGCGGCAGGCGGCTCATGGATCCGCTGCAACACAAGCCTGGGCCGAGAGGACGGGGCAGGCCAGCGAGCCGGGCAGAACATCTGTGCAGCCAGGGCCTGTGAGCGACGCCTGCATCGACGGCATTTATATCCGCCGGCGCCGTCGAGTGCACACCGGGCCTGTCAACGGCCGTTCGTCCTGAGTGTCAACCCGGCCAAGTCGACTTCAAGTCGATTCGGCGCATCCAGCAGTCACGTGCTTTCCACACACACACACGACAGGGGCCCTCCTCGTCGCCTGTCGTTTCGGCAGCGGCCTTGCCTGTTCTTGCCTCCATCTGCCTCGAGCACACACATCTGGTCCAACCAGCCAACCAGCCAACCAGCCAACCCGCCAGCCAGCCAACCAGCCAGCGTCCTCATCACCCCAGCCCCGGCCGTATCGCACCACAAGTCTCGATCGCTGCATCTAGCCAGCATGTCCAACAACTTCTTTTCCACCCAGAAAAAGGGTACGCTCTGTTCGCGCCGACAGCCCCGCATATCGCTGTCTTCCCCTTCGCTTCCCCTTGGCTGCCCGGGCGATGGCTGGCGCTTCGCTGGGCGGATCGTCGGTGCAGATCGTCGAGGTGCACAGGCTCAGCCTCAATTTGGGACAGCAAGATGCCCGGGCTTTCTGCAAGCCAAGCCGTGCGGCGTCGCTGCCATCGGGTGGCTCGCCACTCGCCCCAAGGTAGATTGGCTCTGCGTCGATACTAACTGCATATTCGACTTTCCTATGCGCGGCAACTCGGCCGCTACATCCAGGTGAAAACTATGAGCTCCGTATGGATCTCAATAGCGAGTACCAGCACATCCGCAAAGAGGCAGTCAAAAAGGTGATCGCCAACATGACCATCGGCAAGGACGTCTCGAGCCTCTTCCCCGACGTCGTCAAGAACATGCAGACCGACGACATCAAGCTCAAGAAGCTGGTATATCTCTATCTCATCAACTATGCCAAGAGCGAGCCCGAACTGGTGATTCTTGCCGTCAACACGTTTGTCAAGGTAGGCCCATCCCCGCGACCAGGACTAGCTTTCAAGGCCGGGACACCCTGCCGCGACCGGGGGTTGCTCGGGGTATTGGATTCAGGTGCTGCCCGACTAAGTCCCGCCTTTCTCAATCTACGCAACAGGACTGCGACCACCCGACCCCGCTGATCCGTGCACTTGCCATTCGAACGATGGGCTGCCTGCAAGTCGAAAAGATCCTCGACTATCTGATGGAGCCTCTGAAGAAGGCCCTGCGGGTAAGGCTACCCAGCGATGAGCCATATCATGGGATCGCTAGGCTTGCTCTTGCTGAACCAAGATGCGATGAGCCGTGTAATGGCGCTTGTATGCAGCATGCGCGTCGATGGCCCGAATCGCGTCGGATCTATCACGGCGCATGCAATTCTCCTTCCGCTTTACCATCCTATGTTTCTCGCCTTCCCTCCTTCGTATCGACTCGCTGGCTCTCGATCTCGGAATCTTGATGGACCGAGCGTTCTTGCCACCCCGACTCCGAGCCTCCCCATCTGACACCCGAACCTGCCTGAATTTCCTGACAGGACGACGACCCATACGTCCGCAAGACCGCTGCGCTCTGCGTCGCAAAGATCTTTGACCACTCGCCTGCAGTTGCGATCGAAAATGGACTCATTACGTATCTTCAGGAGATGCTGACGGACAGGAATCCGATGGTTCGTTGCCCCATTGTCCGAGCCAAGATCGTTCGCTCGCTCGTGGCATCTTCCCGACGACACCAGCGAAGAAACCGGACCCTGGGACTCACAAAAGTGTACATGTGTGAATCTTGGCACCTTGGATGTCCTTAGGTCATTGCCAACGTCGTGACGGCTCTGATGGATATCAGCCAGTCTGCCGTGCACAAGGACGTTTTTGTGCTCAACAGCTCGGTCCTTGCCAAGCTTTTGGCTGCTCTCAACGAATGCACCGAGTAAGTTCCTGTCGCAAATCGTCGCAAGCGTTCATCCTCCAAGTACTGTCGCTTCCTGCATCCCCGTTGGTTTCAGTGGCCTTTCAAATTGTCACCCGCGACTGCAGATTGCTTATGCATCTCGGTGGACGCAATGCCTCGCACACGTTTCTGACAATGTCGTGTGTACTCTGCCCGCTGGTACGAAGGTGGGGCCAGATTGGCATCCTGTCATGTCTGTCGACCTACCGACCTGTCGACAACCGTGAAGCTGTCGATGTGATCGAGAGAGTGATCCCTAGACTGCAGCACGTCAACGCCAGTTTGGTCTTGGCTGCTCTGAAGGTAAGGCGATATCGGCGAACCATCGCCTTGGACAGCTTCTTGGATTTCAGTGCCGCTAGCCGTCTCCTTCCGAGGTCACCGTCCTTGCGTTATCGAGCCATCTAACTGACGTGGTCCGTGGCTTGGTGTCCAGGTGCTCATGGTGTTCCTCCCCTACATCACCGATCAAGAGCTCACAAAGACAGTGATCAAGAAGATGGCGCCGCCTCTCGGTGTGTATCCGGCTTGATTACTGCACGATTTTGTGGCTCGATGTGTTCTCGGCAGCCTTCGAACCACTGTGCTGACCCGCCACCTGCATAAAACCTCGGCGCCCTTGAATCGCAGTCACACTCGTGGCTACGGTCCCGGAAATTCAGTATGTCGCCCTCCGAAACATCAACCTCATCCTCCAAAAGCAGCCCACTGCCCTGACTCAGGAGATCCGAGTCTTCTTCACCAAATACGACGACCCTCCCTATGTTAAAGCCGAGAAGCTCGAGATCATCATCAAGCTCGCCTCGCCCGATAACATCGACCAAGTTCTCTCGGAGCTGAAAGAGTCAGTGTTGGCGCATCGCTCGACGTCTGCAAAGAGCAATCCGTGCGGCGCGCATATTACGTCGTGCTTGATTCACCTCGTGTGGCATGGGCCCACCACGGGCGCCAGAGCCAAAGAGCCTCATTTTCGCAAAGCCCTGACACGCCTTCCCACGATTGCTCTGCTGCCATAGATATGCCAACGAGGTCGACGTCGGCTTTGTTCGCAAGAGTGTGTCGGCAATCGGGCGCTGTGCCGTGAAGGTCGACGGAGCCGCCGATCGGTGCGTCAACGTTCTTCTCGATCTGATCAAGACCCAGGTCAACTATGTGGTCCAGGAGGCCATCATTGTGATGCGCGATATTTTCCGCAAGTACCCGCACCAATACGAAGGCATCATCTCTGCCCTGTGCCAGAACCTGGACGTTCTCGACGAACCCGAAGCCAAGGCCTCGTTGATTTGGATCATCGGCGAATATGCCGATCGCATCGAGAATGCCGAGGAGCTACTGGAGTATTTCTCAGAATCGATCACGGCCGAGAGCTCTACGGTAATGATGACCCATCCTTGGTCATTGCGTTCATATTGCTGCACCAGACACAGGGGGAGGTGTCTGGACACGCATGGCCCACTGCCGCCACTCATGACTGTCCATGCATGCTATCATCGGTAAAATAGGTTCAAATCCAGCTCATGACGGCGTGCGTCAAGTTGTTCTTGCAGAAGCCAGGCTCGGCCCAGCAGCTTGTCCATCAGATCCTCCAGAACGCCACCCAAGCCAACGAGAACCCCGACATCCGCGATCGTGCCTACGTCTACTGGCGTCTGCTCTCGTCCAACCCGCAGATCGCCAAGGTGGGCTATCCCCTGTCGGCCTGTCGTGCGATACCGCCGCTCTGTCCATATCGCAGCGGGGTCGTGTTGTCATGATCTGCCTCTACTCTGTCTCCGGCGTGTCTTGTTGATCGGATCTACATGCATCTATTCCTTTCTCGTCAATGTTCAGGCTGTTGTGCTCGCTGAAAAGCCCCCTATCCAGCTGGACACCAACACGGTCAGCGAAACACTCCTGGACGAGCTGATCTACAACATCGGCTCCCTGGCTTCGGTTTACCATAAGCCGACCATTCTTTTGGGCTCTACCCAGGGTCCAAGCACTGCCGGCGCGTACGTATTCGGCTCTTCTTGGACTCACACTCGCACTCGCATGTGTTGCTGGCATTTGGTGGCGCCGGATGGACCACTGTCTATTTCCATCGAGCCTTTGTTGCTGCCACGAGGGCTTCGCTCCCGAGAGTGCTCGACAGCCTGTGCTTTATGTCTCCTCTCGACTAAATCCTTGCATGCCATGGCTATCAGCGGTATCGACGGCGGCTTCGAGGCCGATGACGAGATGCAACTTTCGTCGGAATCCATCAACCAAATTAAGGCTGCCAGTGCCGGCAATGTGGATCTGCTCAGCTTGGACTTTGATGCCCCTGCCGCCTCTCCTGCAGCCGGCATAGCATCCACGCCCCTGGGCAGCCAGCGTCCGGCTCCTGCCAAGGGCGGAATCGACGATCTCCTTGGGTTGATGGATCTTGGCCCGGAAACCGGCGCTGCACCCCCCATGGGACCCCTAGGCTTTGGCAACCCCATTGCTGGTCTGGGTGGACTGAACAGCCTTGTGAGTGGAGCCCAGGTTTCAAAGGACGGCTACGCCTTCCCATACACCACGCTGCTGGCCGCCAGTGCTGCGCAGGGTTTGCAGCTGGAGGTGAGTTGCACACCTGCTTTCGCCATCGGTTGAGCTCTATTGATTCGGCTGTGAAGCCCGCGCCGCCAGTGGTTGATGCTGACGACTGCGGCTTTTTTCTTGTCTCTGCTCATCGGTTTCTGTATTCAGGGAACGTTCTGGCGAAGGTGAGGACGGATGAACTGCTCTTGCGTGCCGACACCCCTGCCTGTGATCTGGATGCTGCTTGAGCAAGGGTGGGAAGGGGCGGTGCTCGCCATACTGACGCTTCGGAACCTGTTGGCCCAACAGAAATTGTGTTCCCTTCCTGGGACTCAAGATCACCAACCTGGGCTCGGTTCCCATGTCTGATTTTGCTATTCAGTTCAACGTCAACAGGTACAATGCCAATCAATGTGCAAGACGCAGTCGCTCCTGTATCTCGAGCGGCCATCGTCTGTTGAGGAGCGTCTCTGCACTTGCTTTCTACAGGATCTACCTCTACAGCACCTGCTCTTTATTGATCAGCATTCTGCTTTAGTGCATCATGATGACTTGTGTCCACCATATCGATTGCTAACCCATGTCGTCTCGGGGCGCGTGTCGTCTCCCGCCCGGCCGTTTGATCCTGCTTCTACCACTTTCCAGCCTCGGAATCACCCCGTCCGCTCCTCTGATCGTGCCCAACCCTGTACCCCCCGGCCAGACATTCGAGGCCTCGATCCCGCTTTCAAATGCTGGACAAGCTCAGCCGATGGATCCATTCAACCTGATCCAAATCGCCATCAAGAACAACGTTGGCGTGTTCTACTTTGCCGTGACGGTTCCTGTGCACGTTCTCTTTGTTGAAGATCAGGGACAGGCCAGCACCAGCTTTGGCCAGGTCTGGAACGACTTTACGGCCGCTTCGTCACAGTTCCGACTGAACGGCATCAACTTCAACCTCGCCGAGTTGACCAATCGGCTGCAGGTCAACAACGTCCATGTCGTTGGCACTCCGGATCTCACTGGGGTATGGTTCGCTGCGTCGGCACTGGAGTCATGAATGTTATGAATGGAGCTTGGTAGTGACCGACAGTGCTTGCAGAGCTGCCTTTGTAACGACAGAGTCGCCTGATGTCAGCCTTGACCGCTCTATCGTCACGGTTCTGTCGTGATGGTCGGCGTGCTCTGCTGGCCCAGTACATAGTCTGTGGGAGAGGAGGATCTTCCGGCGGGCGATATTGCTTGGCAGCATCAGATGCACCTTGAGCCCACTAACGCTCTGCCTCTGCGATCGCATCGGTGAAATCCACAACGATTCTTCTCGACGCGGGCTGTATCGCATTTGCTCTCCATTATTGGAACGACTCGGTCCCTGCGGTCACTCCTGGCGCGGTGGACCTGCGGCTGTCTGCTTTCTATCCCACAACCCAGACCATCAAGACGATTGCCAAGGTCTTCAACAACGGCGAGTTTATCGCCGCAGAGCTGCTGGTTCAGGGCAACTCTGTCGCTGTCAATGTCAAGTCAAAATCAGGGGATCTGGCCAAGTTGCTCCAGCCCTCGCTGACCGGCATCCTCTCGTGAGGGACTGTGGCGGCTGTCTCCGAATGACGGTGCCCTCGGTGGGCGTGCCTTGATGGTGGTCATCGTCTCATGGCTCCTCATCGCTCTGCAGCCAGAACGAAACTACTTGGAGCGTCTGGCTTCGCTGTGGAAGGCAATGCTGTCGCTCTATTTCTTTCGGCTTTTTTTTCTTTCGCGTTATTCTGCCCTCGGGCCTTCGACCATGGCGACAACTTGCCCGGTGTGCCAAATGATGGCAGCGAATACATACAGCGTTTCCAAGAAAATTAAGGACCATCACTTGTCAGTGGCTCGCCGATGGGAGGCTGTCGATTCACCTCCACCAGCCCGCCCAGGTGGATGGCTATACTGCCCTGCGATCGCCCAACGGGCCCACACTGCCGGCGACTGCTCTCTCCCCCTCCTCTGCCCACCTATGCTTCTCTGCTCTCTGCTTCTGCTCTCTGCTTCTGCTCTCTGCTTCTCTGTCCGTTGTCCATATCCTTGGCTGCGGCATTGCACAGCCGGCAGCCACACTTGTCCAGACCCATCACGTGGCACGTCCGTTTTTTTCTCGGACCCCGGCCTCAGCTCCCCGCGGGTTGCTCTCGGTCTTGTTCTTTCCCTGCACCATCGAGACAGGGTTGCTCTAGACGATAGCAGCGTAAGCGTTTGTCCCGGCCCCCCTGCGTGGTGTGTCTGTCTCTGGATGCGGCCCTGAGTGGCCGCCGGGTGACAGCGGCAGTCCAAGATCTCCAGCACAAAGCCGTCTGCTGGCCCCCCGACTGTCTTTGGCCGACAGCCTCTCCGAGGCTGGCTGGCCGGCTGGTGTGGCTGGCCTGGGCGTCGCTTTGCAGGGCCACATCAACGTTCGGTGACTTGCTGCAGCCCTCTGATGCAACACTCCCCACTTGTCTTTGGTGGCAGCTCTGCGCCGGTCCGCTCGTATCTGTGATTGGATTGTGGCCAGCACACACCCTGCACAAGCCGACTGGGATCAACCTCAGCCTCGATATATATATCTATACACCGAGCCGTAAGTTGGCCTTGGCTCTCCTTTGCACTGGCGACATATCGCCGATCCGCCAGAATGTGTTCCCCCTCCACTGAGCGGGCATTTCCGTCGAGTCTTCGCCGAGCCGGCCATTGTTGGCCCCCCGATCAGCCTGCTTGCCCCGTGATATTACGACGGACCCGTTGACCCGAGACGATCGGCCGCGCTGTGCGTCGATCGGTTTCCAACGGTTGTAGAAACCAGCTCGATTTTGAGAGACGAGGGACAGAGCTGCCGCACGGTCTCGGTTTTCAATCGCTACAAATCAAGGCGATACTTCTACATTGCCTCGACTGACAGCCCCCCTCTCCGGCCTCGTGGTCCTGTCCAGGTTTCTCAGCAAAGTGTTCTCTCTCGGGTTCCAAGTTTCTCCAGACAAGCAGAGTACCTGAGGCTACAGCGCCGTCTCTGGTCAACTACGCTGTTCGAGACATGAACGCCTACTCTGGGGCTTTCGCCCATATCAATGGCATTCCGCCGACAAACACTTCATCGCCATTTCAGCAAAATCAACCAGTCTCGGGATACTATGCGACTCCCCAAGGCCATTTGAGCATGCAGTCCCAGTCCCAGCCCCAGCCCCAGTCTCAGTCTCAGGCTCAGGCTCAGTCTCAGCAACAGCAGCAACAGCAGCAGCAATACCAACAAGCACATGCTTTGTTGCTCCAGCAGCAGCAACAACAGCAGCAGCAACTCCAGTCTGCAGCGTATGCGTCGACGGCATTTAATCCGCCCTCGCTCGCGTCTTTCCACGGCTATCCGGCGGGCCAGACCCTTCAACCGGCGGCCCAGCTCTTCTCTGGCATACTTCCACAATCCGGTCAGCAGCCAATTCCTGCGGCCTTTCCGCAAAGTATCTTCCCTCAGCTCGGCATGAGCCCATACGGGTCGGCGCCGTTTGCGCTGGCTCCGTCGCAAGCCCAGCCGTGGCCAGGGCTGTACAATCCCTCGGTCGCCATGCCCACGGCCATTCCAACCTCGGTTGGCGGTGTATCGGCTATCGCCCAGTCGGCGTATCCTCAGACATACAATCCTGTGTCGCTCCCGCTCCCGCCTGTTACGACTGCGGCTTCCTTGGCCGGAGTGACCTCTGCCCCGCCGGCATCGAGCCAAAAGGGTATGCGACCGTTGAGCACTCCTAAAGGCCGCTCGTCTCAATCGTCCTCTCGAGCCGAGCAAGGCTACTCAAAGCCAGGATACAGTGGCCAAGGCGCATCTAGCTCGGGTACATATGGCTCGTCTTCGGCAAGCTCTGCTGGTGCTCGTGGATACAGTGGAGGCTCCGGCGCCAGTGGATTGCCCAGCAGCTCGAATGAGCGCTACGCAGGCTCAAGCGGATATGGCCATTCCTCGGGCTCGCCCTATCCGGGTGGCGGCGGCGCCGACCCAGGGTACAAGGGGTCTTCTGGGCCCCACAAGCAGCCGTACGGCTCCGATCGCCGCTTTGATGCCCCGACGTCGCAGCCGTCGCAGTCTCCGGGTGGATCCTATGGTCGCTACGGCAAGGCGGAAGAAGCCCACCGAAGCCATCCCCCGCGTAGTGATCCGGGTCGGTCCAGCCGAGATGTGGGCTATCGCGGCGAGCGTGACCCACGGCGAGCCGAGCCGCCGCCAATGTACGGCCACTACGAGCGGCGAGGACCGCCATCGCCCGAGCGCCGGGGCCTGGTCCGCAGGGAGCGTAGCCCCTTCCGAGGCGATTACGAGCGAGATCCATATCGCGAGGCGCCGCGGGACGTTGGTGGCCGCTATGATCGCCCAAGCTATTCTTATCCCGCCGATCGTCACACTGATGATCGGCGTCATGATGAGCGATGGTCAGATGATCGGCGCTATGGCCTTCGGCGCCCCGATGAGCGACGGCCTGAGGAGCGACGCTACTACGACGGGCCCTCGGATCGGCGCTATCCGTACGATTCGGACCGCGATGGTGCGGCCAGACCTCGACCCTCGCGAAGCTCGCACCCTGAGCAAGGTCCCTACTCCCCTCGGTCATTGGCGTCAGACCGTTCCGACCCCCGTGGGATGGTTCCACGGCAGCTGTCATCCCGCCCGGAGAAACGATATCCTTCCGATCGATACGATGGTCCTGGTAGCCCGCACGATGACTACAAGGTATGATAATCTGTAACCCGCTTGGTTGGCGCGGGTGTGCGAGTGTGTGAGAGTGCTTCGCTGTGAACTCTTGGGAACTGCGTTTCCTAATCCAAGTTCCCACAACTGCCTGTACGCTGGCTGATGCTGTCGATATCTTGGTCCGAAACGACTTGGCAATGGGATCGAACTCTACAGCGCCGACGAATTGACGACTATGATGCGCGCCGACCCCTGCCCGCAAGACCCGTAAGTTCGTATCCTCCTCAAGACCGCCGTTATGGTTATAGCGGCAGCCGACTCTCAGACGCACGGGACTACACGCCGCATCCACGCGTCGAAAAAGTCACCGAGTACTACCGCTCCAGTTTCATGGAAAACCCATGGGAAGAGCTAATGAAGAATCTGAGCAAGAGTAGTCCATCTGCGCCAGCGGAGAACAGCGGAGGCACAGGGTCAGATCAGAGTAGGACTGAGGCAGAGAAGAACGAGGCGAAAGCCACCGACGCCTCCGAAGGCGTCATCTTGGACAAGACGGCATCGCACGATGGGCTGTCTCAACAGGCAGACGCAGCCATGGGTCGCCCCGTCTTTGACGGAAACTTTGGCGACAGTCATCCTGGCGATTCAGACGGCCTTCTGGACAACGAGGATTTGCAGGATGATGCACCTCGTGACGACGCAGAAGAAGACAATGTATACGATGCTGAAGCAGATGCGGATGCGGATGCTGGTGCTGATGCCGATGCCGACGCTGGTGCTGCCGATGCTGGCTCTGACGATGGCGCCGACGCCCATTCCATGACTGAAGAGGCTGAGCAAGGATATGCCGATAGCCAAGGAGAAGAGTACGCCGACGGCGAGCCGAGCTTTAATGCCGGCGAACACGAATATTATGATGACGAACAAGATTATGCTGGCGACGAGCGAGCACGCTATAACGACAGCGGCCACGCCTACGATCCCGCACAATCGGACCAGCCGGCGACCCCGTCCATGGTGCCCTTGGGTTCCGACCCCGATGGCGGAGATCAGATCCTGACAGAAGTAGATGATCGCTATGCATTCGCATCTGCGGATACCAGACAGCACTATCAGACACGGACAAATGGTCTTGAGATCACTGATCCGACGGACGAGGAAGCCTATCAAGATCCCGATATGACTGACGACGGAATGGACGACCATGAGAGTCGGTCACTCAAAGTTCAGTTCGATGACGATGATGACGATGATGACGATGACCGCGACGAGCTCGGTATCGATGAAGCAGCTGCTACCCACGAAGCATAGACGGCGCTGCCGCCGACACCCAGAACAAGATGCAGTTGGCGAATACTATTGTTAATCAGGCTCAGCTCCACCAAGCGCCTCAAGCTGTTGACGATGCCCCAAGCGGCGATGCTGCAAGCGTATGCTCGGCGTGGTAGGATGAACGGCTCGCCCGACGAGAGCCCCTTGACCACGCTGCCGCTTTGGCTTACAGCCACTGAGAAGGTTCGTGATTGGTCCCTCTCCCCCCTTTCAAGCAAGAGTTTGCTGCTGTGGCTCTGCATGCAGAGCAAGCTGCACTCGAACACTATGGGCCAGTGATCGCGGCCCCCCATCAATATACATCCAGTGTCTCCTGCGTCGACGATCGGTTGTGACAGCGCTGTTGTCTGTGAGTGCGATCACCGTCGCGATTGCATCCTGCCGCTCCCATGCAAGTTTGGACGATCGCGGAGACGGCTGACAGAATCCACTGTACAGCCGTGCAACCACGCCGAGGCGGGGCACACCCGCGACCGAAGCCCGTGGGCGGCGGCCTGCTCGGCTGATCAGAAATGAGGTGTCTGCCACGGCTAAATTTTCTGGCTGCGTGGCTTCAACACCAGCCGGGGAAATCGGGCAATTGGACAGACAAGCGCACACGGGTGGGCTCGTCCAGAGAAGCAAGGCGGCGGGAGCAAGGCGGTTGGCAAGAGCGGTTGGCAAGACTGGACAGACGGCCCCAGGGTGGGGCAAGCGAAAGCCGGGCAACGGGGACAAGGCCGATGCACCCGCGCCAGAAGAATACGCACACAGGCCCAAGCACCGGCCGGTGGTGCACGGCGGCTGGCTCGGCGCCCGACCTGTGTCGATTACGAATAGGTCGCAGCATGCCGCAGCCGCACGCATCGGCCTCCCCCCCCCTCGCATGCAAGTTTCCTCTGCACCAGGCTGCCGAGACGGGCCGGTCAGCAGCGTCCGGCCAAGCACGTTGCGGACACGGCGGCCCAGTCCCCGCATTCGGCGCCTTGTTGCGGTGCCGCTGCGCAGCGCGCCCACAGCGCCGGCCCGGCGCGGGCTGCTGACTCCTCGGCCGCTGAGTGGTCCGCCGTGCGAGGATTCATCCGACGCTGGCCACTCACAGCACGAGGGTTTATCCAGTGGTGCCGCGCCGAATCTTGGTTTTGCTCTCGCGGATCTCGCGTCGCACGGCAGGGCAACCTGTGGCGACTGTGGTGACTGTGGCAGCTGTGGCGACCGGGCTATTGCTGGTCAGACCAATCACCCAGACCTCCTCGGTCGGGCACACCCATGAAACCCCCCGGGCACAGCGGCTTTCAAGCTGCATCGGACATCCACCTTGGAGAGACAACCAGTCCTCCATTGCGCTTGCAGGTCGTCGTCGTCTTGTCTGCTCGCCGCTCTCTCGTCACATCCACCCGCCGTGCACCGCTCGTCGTTGTCCCACGCCTTGCCCGTGCTTGCTGCTGACTCTCGCCGCCCCTGCATCTGTGTTCAGCAGTTGGCCCGCCCGACACAACTGCCCCGCCGGCCCTGGCAACAGGTTCGTCAACAAGGGCAGTGTCGGCAACGCTGCTCGTTTCAGCGATTCATCATTGGCCCGATCGGCGCTTTCGCTCGATATTGCGGATGCTCAGCCATCTGGCGCCCTGACTTGCCGCTCCAATCAACCGCTGGCTCGTTCTCGACCCCGACCCCTCGAGATCCAGCCGTTCCTTGGGGCTCATCGGCGTCTACTTTTATCTTTTCCCGTTGGTCTGGACTGATTTTCGGGCGACTGTCCCAGCTTCGTGCCGCGATTCCATCGGTTGCTGCCGTCGAATCCTCAACTGCTTCCCGCATTTGCTTGATCTGCGTGCGAGCCCTATCTGGTCCGCCTGGCTCCAAGTCTCCCCCCCCCCAACCTCCCGCTGGCCTCCGTTCGTTTGTCGTCATCTGGGATTCTTGCTTGGCTCTCGCGCTCGTCCATCGACTCGTCCATCGACTCGTCCTTTGGCGGATTTCTCGACTGTCTTTCTGTCTCAAGTCAAACTCGCCGCACAACACCCTCCGTGTCAGTCTTCTGGGTCGGCCGCCCGCTGTTTTCTCTTCGTGCCCTTACGCAGGGCCGTGGTGCCTTCTTGCTGCTTCCATACCGTGTTTAGCCCGGTTCTCGGTTGATTTCGTCCTCAAGCGCCGCTGAATTTTCACCCTCTTGCCCTTGCCGCCCCTTCCGCTGGTCGATCCCGGTCGCCGCTCAGACTGCCCTGAACATCCGCGTCGCTCGTGTCCATCCAAAGCCCGCGATTGTGGCTCTCATCTCGTTGCAGGAGTTTGGTTAATCTTCATCGCCCCATCCGGCACCGCTACTGCTTTCATGATCGCAAGCGACGACAGCTCTATGGTGAAGTGTCTTCCTCCCGCTGTGCTTGCATCCTTCGTCGCTATACATCGCTCAGTCAGTTACCAGAGTAGCCTACCCCTTCTTGTGCGTTGATGGTCGATCCTTTCGCCATCGAACAATCCATTGGCATCAACAGATGCCAGCCCCCGTCCCTTTGATGGCTTGGATCCCCAACAATTCCCCAGTCTTGCTTTGCCCGTTGCTTTGCCCGTTGCTTCGTCCGTTGCTCTGTCACCAACACCACGGGCGTCTTCTTGGATAGCCGCTTCGTTGTGTCAATATTTGCACTTTTCTGCAGCGCTTTTTGGAGCATGCAGGCATTTTGAATCTGTTGCATTTTGATTTGTTGCTCAGCCCGTAGTCTGTCAACTTATTTTGATCGAGCGAGCGGCAGGTTGGCTTGGGGGCCGTGTTGGTATTGCTTGGCCGCTTGGCTCGGTTATAAGCAAGCCGGCGATGCCACGCAACGATCGGATGGCTCGATCAATCGACTTGGGCACCTCGACTTTCTCGAGTTCAGCGTTCGCTTGTTGGCATACGTTAACATCCCTTATCTGCTTGCGTGCTTGTCCGTGTAGTTTTATCTCTCGATTCTGGAACACCCGTACCAAGTCCGGACCTCGGGCATGGCTGCCTCCGCAACGGGCCGTTCAATCGATCCTGTTCCGATCCTGCAGCTATGTTTCCGTGATTCCCAAGGCAACGTCTTGAAAGAGTTAGTAGAGCCTGTGACTGATCGGTTGGTGGACGACATCGGTGAAAGTGGGTGGGAGCCAGACAGCGATCATCGTCGGCTCCTTCAAGGTTGAACAACTCGTTGGATGGGACGCCACCGTGGCTATCGCAGACGTTCGACGGCCTTCACACTGGACGCTGGCTGCTTGGTCAGAGCCTCTCGGTTATCAGCGGAGGCATGATACTTTCTTGGCTCGACGCTGGCTCGACGCCGGTGATCCAGCAGCGACGAATGCGACTCGGGACTTGGAGGCGTTTCGGAATGGAGCTTGGTCTTCTCATACTGCAACAGAGTCCATATCGTGGTTCTGATGACAACGAGGCGCTTGAAATGAGTCACAGCAGACAGGGCAGCTGGGAAGTGGCATGGGATTGGTGCCCAAAACGGAGGCTCTCCAGAGAGCCACAGGAACAAGAGTTCAAAACGAGGCACAGGATTGACGCTCGGGACTGCTGCATGAGCAGAGTGGTATTGGAATCCTTGACGAGTCTTCGCTGGTCGTCGGCGGCGACAATGCTTGCAGAATCCCCCCATTCTTGACTCTATCGACACATCGTCGCTTGCTTCATAGCCCGTTATGATCCGATATTTCATCGTGAATCAGCTGTCATTGGCCCGGTGACTGCGTGCTCCAGCACTGCGGTTCCTATGGTTGCTGCCTCACGGCTTAGACCTGTGCCTGCATGGGCTCTAGTTCCCCCCCTTCCTTGATCCACCCCTTTTCACAAACTGCCTCACATCATACCTTTACTTTGCGTCGTCCTCCTTGTGCATCGCTTCTGATAGCCATCGCGGATACTCGATCATGACGCGGAAGCATTCGTGTCCGGAGGCAACCAACGCATGGCGCTGACCGGACACTGTTGAGGCATATCAAATACGAATTGGACAAGATCGACACAGCGTATCTCGACGGATGTAGAGATAGTGGCACCAACGACAGAGCGCTGGGTGCTGGGTACTGGGGTGTTGATGCTGCAGGGCGATGTTAGACCATTTTGGCTGATGGTGTTATGGTGTGGATGTGGATGTGGATGTGATAGTCGTCGCTGAAGTTGTCGCAGGTGCTGCAATTGCGGGGTCTGCGGCCCCGTTTGTCGGTGACCATCGTCTGACACTCCGTTCTCGTTCTCTTCTGCCTTGGAATAAACCCTGTCGCTGCCCTCCTTCGCCTGGCAGTGGCGATGCAGATGTCTTTTCGGCCGCGACATTCTTTGTCGTTCATGTTCGGCTCTATTCCGCCGATGGCTCTCATGAAATTGACGTTCTTCGCTCGCAACGAGGATCACACGCTCCTCGCCGAGCATCAACAACGGGAACAACATCGGCAGCAGCAGCGGCAACAGCAGCAGCAGCAGCAAATCTGACAAATCTGACGACGCCAGCAATGATGGCGATACCTCAGAACAGTTCGACATCTCACGATTCTTTCGATCGAGTCTACGGCCGTGGTCACGAGCATGATTCAAGCAGCCCAGCCAAGCTCGAGCCCAGCGGCACCACGTTTGCATCTGCGTCGGCTTCGCGGCTGCCGCATGTTCACGAGATTCGCTACCCATCGGACGCTCATAGTAAAGAGCATGCGCCGAGAGCGTCATCGCACGATCTAAATAGATTAAACGAGGGCTACGGGCCTGCTGCCAATATCAAGTTTGAAGAGGACGGCCTGTCGCAGGCTCCGTGGGACTATTCCCAGCAGCAGCAGCAACACCACCATCAGCACCGCCACCAGCAGCAACAGCACCAACACGAAGATTCTACCGTCGACCTCACGCCGCTGTTTGGCAACCTCGTTTCGCCGAGCTATGTGGCTCGAGATCTCGATCAGCGACTCGGCATCTTCTTCATCTTTGGCAATTTGTGCATCCGCCTCGAAGGATCCTTCCGACTTCGGTTTACCCTGGTTGACTTGCGTTTGTAGGTGTCCCTTCCCTTCCGGGCTTCCTTTTTTTCTCTGGTGGGCGAATGAGCAGATGGGTGGTTGGCTGCAGATTCGCATTGATGTCGGCGTCGAAGGATGTTGGTCCGAACGATATCTTGGTCACCCGATGGATACCGAGGTCCAAAGGCACCAGGTGCTGGTCGAGGTGGCGCTACCGTTGATCTCCCCAGGCCCGGTTGCCGCCAGGCTTCCGCCGCAATATCCCTCGGCTTTGGCATTTGCCTCGTACGTCTGACCCAGCCAGCACTCACGACAGAGCTCACATTGAGCTTTGCACTTGTGCTGGCGATCGATTGCGGCTCTTTTTTTCGCGTGGCCGTTGCAATTGGTTGCTCGATCTGTCCTGGAGCATGCTTGAGTGTCGGAGCGGCGGATTCGGGTCTGCAGCACAGTCGTCGCTGAGGTAGAGTTTCGACAATCAGACTCGTAGTAGCTTCCCCAGGCGCGCACTAACCTACCTCTTACCCAACCCCATTGTCGTCGGCCATGGCGTGTCCCTCCGTCCCGCTTCGACACTTTCAACGTCTCGTGTCGTCTCAACCCGGTCTCATCTCTGCTTGACGCTCTCGCGTGCACGATCATTCGGGTGTCCCAATCGTACGATGTGCTAGATCCGAGCAGCGACCCGCGCCTGTCGTGCTCTCCTCGGTGACATCCGACGTATTTACCTCCCACAACTGGAGGACATTTCCCGGCATGGCAAGTATGTACAGTTGGTTGCGATCGAGGATTGTTGTGAGTGCGTCTCGGGAGTTCGAGCTTGGTCTCTAGGCTGTGGGCAGCCACCGAAGCCCTTGCGACGGGGCCGCCGATATGGATCTGAACGAAGAGTGAAACGGGTGGTTGGGATGGGTAGGTGCAAGCTCGACCATCGACAGTCGCGTATTCAGGCCACGACATACACCGGACCGCATCGCATCGGGCTGCCTTCCGGTTTGCAAGGGTAGAAGGGCGACAGCCGGCCCGCCCGAGAGGATCGACGAAACCGGTGTATAATGGACACGGATGCAACAGAATGGGGGTGGGGTGCAGCCTGCGAGCCGAAAGTCAATATCAAGCAGCAACCGACTCCGTGGCCAAGGGATAGACAAGAGACAGTCGTGCTCACCGCAGAAGCCCCGGCCGAGCCTGCTTGGCGGGCGATGTGAATCAACGATCACTGACGACGCAACCCCAGCCAATCCACCCGGATCCCGTGGATTTGGATAGAAATGGACGACGGAGGGACGGAGGGACAGAGGGGCAGAGGGAAGGTGGGCAGCATACATACAAACCTGCTAACAGCGATGCCTCGCTCTTCTGACTTATTCGTGAATGGTCTACTCTCCGCTGCACGGGCTGGGTTCTGCCCGTTGCGGACCATGTCCTATCGGCTCCTGCATCGACGCCTGATCATCGCGATACAGAGATCACTCCGCTCACCCGGCACTTGGTCGATCAGGGGATTGTTAAGATCATTCGCAAGGCCCAGCCGGTTGGCGAAGCACGGCAAAACGGACGCAAAGACCGGCCCAAGCCGAAAGGGCATTGAGCAGGAGGGCCGTAGCCACCGACATCAGTCACTTGCAAGGACTTTGATCCTTTCTAGCCTTCCTCCCTTCTTCACCCTCCATATCTTTTTCTTCACTCAACGAGCTCCTCCACAACCTGCGCTACCAGCCATTTCTGTACCTGATCCACCTACACAACCGAGGCCACAGAGTCTGGAGCCATCAATGATACCACCCTAGCTGCACTTGGTGCCGATCTACCTTGAAGCTTCAACAGCATGTCAACCAAACTCAGAGACTCAACAGATGGCCACAACACTCTCGTCATCAGCACCACAAATCCAACTCTGCTGCATCCATCAATCAAGCGTCCGACTGTCGATTAATTCAAAGATGCCCGATCAAAGGCCGGCTCCAGCAGACGGCCGGGATCTGGTCACCCCACCTCATCACCCCTTCGCCAATATCCACAACTACTCTGACGTCCGGGATGCTGGCTGTGTTCAAGAGACCAGCAGCAGCGACACTCACCTCGAGCACAACATATGCTATCGACCCAAGGCCATCCTGACGATGTGATCGAGGTTTGCCTTGCTGGTTCGTCTATCGCTACCAGAGGCAGCGGGCAAAGCAGGCCGACCCGGAAGTCCCTCAGCGTGCCGGCGATCGAGCTTGCCCTGCCGACTGTATGGGTTGCTCCAGCCGCAAGGCGAAGATGTGGCTGCTCGGGCGCTCGAGCCTGGGGGCGGGTTTATGCAAGAGGCTCCGGGTTCTGGCACCCTCCCAAACCCTCTGGCTGATTCCACTCACGGTCAAGGTCAGTCCTCCATAGGCTATGTGTCAACTGCGCCGCTGGGCGACGGATTCTGTCGGTGCAGATGCCCCACATTGCCCAGATGAAGCACGGATCTCCTCGGGAATCTGTCCGCTCCTTCGCATTTACCTCGCCAGCACGGAGGAAACGAGACAGTCGTTGGAAAGGCAAGCGACAAAGCGACAAAGCGATATCGACAGAAGATCAGCCTCCCTCCGCAACACATATTTGCGGCCTTGACGAACTAGAGGGTATCAAGGGTACGGATCAATGCGCCCTAGCAGATTGCTCCAGCATGAACACCAACAACCGGATCCATATTCACTCGGTTGACTTATGGGTCGATGCTCCTTGTAATATAGCTTCATCCAACCTCCTCCCCCCGAGCGACGCAAGCGTTCGTCTATCAAGCCCAATCGGGCCCAGGAAGAATAGGAGGGCAGCAGCTTAGGCAAAGCGGGGACAGCACGGCGGGAAGCGATGCGGTACCGTGTGCGAGCAAACGAGTGTCAAGACTCACAAGCAGGGAAAAGTAGCGCCGCAATCGGATTCGGGCTTCATTCTTCCATCGCTTCGGGTCGCTCCATGGCTCGGCTCGGCTCGGTCAGGCAGGCCGAAACGATTTCTCCGCCATCGATTGATCCTTTGGTTCCGTCATAGTTCTTCCACCTTTCGGTCGGCGATCCGACGTGCGATAAAATACACTTGCGGGCAGTGGAATTCGACTCGATCTTGCACTCTGGCGATCAAACCACTAATCGTAGTAAAATGAAAGGGATCTCTGGGTCGAGCCGCAGCGTTTTACTCTTGTGCAGAGCTCATCCGGTGTGTAGCGCATCGTCAAGTGGGAAGTAACCGCTCAGTATATCGCAGGGTCTCGGTCCCCTGCTGCCCATCATGTCTGGTACCGTGTTGCTGCTTTGGACCACATTGCCAGTGTTCCGAAGCCTGTTCCTGTCATCTCCCACCTGTCAAATAGGAGACTGGCTGGATCGGTATCTCCATGATATTGGTAGGAATGGAGAGTAGCGCAGTGTATCGTGATGTTCAAGGAGTGGTGGCCAGTGCATCTCTATATTGACGACATGGTTGAGTTGTACGCCATATTCGCACACTTCCATATCCAACTATTCTCTATGACCCAGGATCCCACGACACAGATCCAAGGCATAAGTGATCGCAAACGAGCACCGAAAGGGCTTTCGTTCTGGGCCAACGTCATGCCGAATATCGTCGTCGTATCGACTTGGTAAGATACTCAGCAGGTTTGATCGGAACCAGACCTGGCTTTCAGTCTCTGGATCAGTGGTCCAGTCGGCATGATCCTTGACACGGAATCACGTTCTTGGTCGTCTGGCGTGTCCTCTCCCAGCGATACCATGAAGAGACTCGTCCGAGCAATCCGCCGTGTTCCGGGGAGCTTGCTGGGTCTGCTCTGGTCATGGCTGGAATCGTGTGGCCCGAAACCTTCGTCCGGGGGTTCCTGTCAGAGCCTATACTTGCAACCGAGAATGACGTCGCTTGCCAGATTCGGCCCGCAATTGCACAAGGCATGGTGGGCAGCGTGCCGAAAGACAATGGGGCACACCGTTTGTTTTGGATGAACTATGCCGCCGTTGGATATCCCGCTCGGCCAACAACGACCAAGTGGGCCGAATCGTTTCCCATGCAGTCCGCCCCATGCAGTCCGCCCATGACCCCAGTATCTCATCGGCCGAGTCCACCACAACGACCCAGACATGATGTGCATGTGTTTCCCCTGTCGCCCACGCGCCCAACCAACGCGTGCTTGTCTGCGCTTGTCGTCTGTGCCTGGTTGGTGCAACTGGCCGAGCCGAGTCGGGTCAAGTCGAGGGATGTGCGGCACCTGGACTTGGTCTGGCTGAACGAATGGTCGATCCCAGTCGATCCCAGTCGATCCCCATCGATCCCCGTCGATCCCCGTCGATCCCAACCCACACCAACCCACACATCGCACTCCAGCAGCCACACCGACAACCGCACCCGCCACCGCTGTCTCTGCTTCCGCTTGTGGCTGGGGTGGCTGCGATCCGTGTGCCCACGGGCTTGTTGGTGGTGCCCCAAAACCCGCTGTGTCGCGTCGGGTCGCTCTGTTGCCCTGCGTGCGTGCCCCACCACCACCACCACCACCCAAACAAATCCTCTGCCCGCCTTCTCCTCCCCTCGCCCTTGGGCCAAACATCTCTCGGCTCTCGCTCCATCTCCTCTGGCTGCCCCCAACAACGCTCGACTGCAAGCAGCCGTGCTCAGTCGTCGCCACAACCACCTGTCCTCTTCCTCCAACACAAACCCAGAGCCCAAGAAAACACCATGACGTCAGAGGCAACCCTTGAAGTTGTCGATGAGGGAGGCCACCAGGGCCCGCTCATCGCTACCAAGAAGGAGCTCCAAGCTTGGTATTGGTTCGGCTGGGCGGTATGGCACCTGTTGTTTGTGGATATCCGACGCTCTGTTTATCGGACGGCATCGCATCCGCCTCCATGATCGCATTTTGTCCGTGGGGATTTGTGCGCCGCCTGGGACGCTGGCCACCGTTCTATTCGGGCTCAACGGTCCTGTACCATGCTGTCTCCGGCGAGCGGGGGGAGGGATACATGCGGCCTGGACACAGACCAACCGACCCACCCGCATAGCCGCTCGTTCAGCCAGCTCACCGTTTGCCTCTGCCTCTCATCCATGCGCGGCCCTATGGGATCATGCCATCTGCTGCTGTCGCCGATGGCTCGTGCCGTCTCCAACTTTCAAACCCGAATCGTTCCCGGACTCCCGCTGTAGAGCGAGGGCTACTAGTAAGTCTACCTCCCCTTGGTCTGGCCGGGCTTGGCCGCCGCCGCTTCGGCTCCATGCTGGCTCTCCTACAAGACACTGTCGCGGCTATGCGTCGTAGCTTCTCGCCACTCGGGCCCAGGGTTTGGTTGTTCTAACAATTGGCATCGACTCTACCATGCATCATGCAGCGCTCTGGGTGTTGCAGCCCTGACTCCCTTGATCATCCGCGGCCTTGCCTCCGAGAACGGCTACGACAACAACAATCTGTCTCAGCCATGCAACATCACCGTGGCCGACTATTCCTGCTCCGTCAAGATCGGCTCGAGCTACATCAACACCGACTCGTACTACTTTTATGCCAACACCATCACCACCTTTATCCAGTTCATCCTATTCATGGGCTTTGGTGCCCTGGCTGACCATGGGGGTGAGTGCGCCTGGCCGTAGCTGCCTTACCAGCTTCAGCATGCTGTCGATCCGCCGAATCTCGAGCAAGTCCGCCGTCCGCCGTCCGCTAACAGCCCGCACCTCCCCCATACAGAGCGCCGCAAGTCTCTCATGCTGTTCTTCTCCACGATCTCGGCCATCCTTGGTCTGGGCTTCTTGGTTGTCGTCAAGGCCTGTAAGTACAGCGACTGCATATCGGCCTGCTGGGAACCACTTTTGGCTGCAATCCAGCCGACCCGCATACAGCCGCCCCACTGACTTGTTTCTGCCCTCGCTCCCTGCTGCCGCTCGCAATCGCATTGATTCTGGTCCTCTGGTGCCTACCCTGGACCTGCGCCGTACTTAGCTCTGTACTGGCTTGCTACACTCTTTTACATGTTCGGTGTGATGTTCTTCAACGGCTCGTATGTGCTGTTCTACTCGTTCGTGCCCGTCCTGGCGAAGCACCATCCCCAGGTGGTCGAGGCAAAGGCCTCGAACATGAGCGCTGACGAAATATCCAAAGTCGAGGACAAGGTCACCAACATCATCAGTGGAAACGGCCTGGCTTGGGGCTACGCTGCCGCCGTCATCAACTTGATCATCGGCATTGCGGTGCTCGTGGCATTTGCCTTCCTGGGCACCAACCTCACCCTTCCCACGTCCACTTACGCGATGCAAGTTGTCATGGCCATTCCTTCGATTTGGTGGCTCTGCTTCCAGATTCTTCCCATGCGCAACCTCCCCGCTCGCCCCGGAAGCCCTCTGCCTGAGGGTACCAACAAGTGGACCTACTCGTACAAGAAGAGTATGTTTTTGCTGCTTGCCGAGCACGCTAGCTGTCGAATCCTCGCACACGCTGCACGGCTGCTCACTCGCGCTGACAACTTCGCCATCTCATCTGATCTAGTCTTCAAGACCATTTCCAGGGCTCGCAGGCTTCCGGTTCTGTCCTGGTTCTTGTTGGGCTGGTTCATCTACTCGGATGCCTTCAACACCACGATTTCGGTTGCGGTGCTCTTTGCACAAGACGTGATCCATCTTGCGTCGTTTGAAATCCTGATCATCGCCACGATCATCCCGTGCTCCGCATTCATCGGCATCTACTTCTGGCTCTGGATCAAGAGCGTCACTGGCCTCACGACCTCCAAGATGCTTGTGCTGCAGGCCTGTCTGTACGCCCTTCTGCCAGCCTATGGACTGATCGGGATCTTTTCGACCACGATCGGCCTCCGCAACCGCTGGGAGGCGTACATGTTTGGTGTCTATCATGGCCTACTTCTCGGCAGCACTCAGAGTTTCTGCCGATCCATCTATTCGGAGATTGTGCCCCCTGGTCGCGAAGCCGAGTTCTTCTCGCTCTACAGTAAGTGCGGCCGAACCATGCTGTGCCTGATTATGTGTGCCCTGCCATCGCGCCCATGCGAACGTGCTGCTCCATGCATAGACATTGGTACATTGCGTGGAAAGCGGTCGGCAGGAATGTCTGTCCAACCTCCTGTTGAGCAGCCTCTAACGTCCTGCTCGCTTGTTTAATCGCCCTCACAGACATCACCGACAAGGGTTCCGCATGGGTTGGCCCCCTTGTTGTTGCTGCCATCATCCAAGGCACGGGCATCCGTTACAACTCAATGTACTTCCTGCTTGTGTCCTTCCTCGTGCCCATCATCGTCTTTGCGACGCTGAATATCGAGAAGGGTAAGAAGGAGGCTCTGGCCTTCGTGGAGTCCGAGAAGGCCGAGGCGGCCGAGCACTGAGCCACCGTTTCTGTTGTCGCCGGTGTGCCATAAATACGGCGGCATTTGTCGGGCTGTGCGGTCCAGTCTCCCCTCACTCCATTCTTTATGCTGCCACCGTTGTTCCTTTGGCGTATTTCTCTTGCCTCAGCGCCAGCCCATGTCCCTTCTCCCGTTGCTGGCTTTGCATCTTTGGTTTACTCGAATTGCTGCTGTGCTCAAATAGACATTACCTCGATTGTGGATGGGTTGCTGTTTCAATCGCTGCTGTGCGTGTGCCAATCCAGCAGCAGCATCCGCCGCATGTCATGGGCGCTGGAAATGCACGCCCGAGCCAGATTGTGGCCCGGTGGAAACAGAGCGATGATCAATGCAACCCAGTTGCTGATCCGCCGAGTCTGATCCATTCGCCTGCTGCTGGGGCCCGTCCTGGTTCTATTCACGTCGCGCCGAGCCTGCTCTTGCGCCTGCCTCATCACTTGCCTCATCACTTGCCTCATCGCCTGCCTCATCGCCTGCTCCCACCATTCCGCTGCGCGCTTTACCCAGCGATACTTCCTGTCGCCACCCGGTTTGCGGCCATCTATATCCCGCTACGTTCTCGCGAGTTGGCGATACTGCCTTTTGTCTTGCAACGAGTTCATCATGGCAACTCTTCAGCTCCTCCCCACCGAAGTTCTCATCAGCATCCTGGGTTACCTCCGCCAGGAGGAGATCTCCAAGCTCTCGCAGACGTGCCAGGCGCTGCACGGCGTCGGCACGTCGATCCTGTGGAAGGCACCCAAGATCGGCCCGATGGTGCACGGGGTGCCGTGGAGACGGTTCGTGAGAGCCATTCGCATACACGGACAGCACGTTGAGTGCATGGAGGACATATGGCTGGTTGTTGGAGGCGAGGACGACGATGGTATCGATGATCCCTCTGATCGGGAACAAAACCCCGCAGACGAACTCGGAGACGACTCCACGGACGACCTCCGCGATGAATGCAAAGATAACTCAATTGCAGAACACTGTGATGTCATCAATGGTTGCCTTGATTCCCGCGATGATGACGGGCACGATGCTGGTCAGGATGCACTTGATTCTCACGACGAAGACACCTACCACAGCTTGGATGGTGTCCAGGAGGCCAAGGATGCATCCGAGTGCCACAGCCCCACTGCAGCGAGAGCCAAGGAGCAGGCTCTGGACGGCACTGATACCGTTGCTGCTGTTTCCGTATTGACTGCGAGTACCGAGGCTAGCGAATGTTCTTCCATTTTGGTGGCTGAGAGCCATGACAGCGGTTCGGCAAGCTTTCATCCAGAGGCTTGGACTGGCGTTCCCCTAACTCAATCAGCCCCAGACTCAGTCACAGCGATTCCACAGCCCGCGGGAGCCGCCGATGACAATCTCCGAGAGCCCGAGTCAGTCGAGCCAGGAGTACCCCAAGATGCTTGCACCAATACCAGTATCACCGAAGCGGCAGAGTCCGTGACCGGCTCAGGCAGCCCAATTTCCTCGTTCCGAGCGATGTATGCGACCTTTGTCGACATGGTGCCTCTGCACTGTGCTGCTCCGCCTACCCAAGAAACTACTGCGACAGAGTTGGATCAACAGGAGGATATCTGCGATGTCAACGCGAGCAAACAACAGAGCCTGCACGACATGACTGATCTGCCGGACTGCGCCTGCGTCGACACACATGACTCTTACTCGATGGACGGAGCTGCTATAGTTGAGCGACACGATTCCGGCATTGTGCTAGATGAGCATATTCTCGATGCGCAATATCTCAACGAATGCAAGACATCCGAGCAGCAGAAGTCGTTGTTGCAGGCATCTGGCAGCGAGCTCTTGGCTTCCTCCAACCAGCCCGCTCTCGATCCACCAGCCAGCCATAGCGTTGCTGCAGTCGATCCTCCTTCCGACAGCGCCGATGCCGGTGCGGATATCACCAAGCCAGCCCAGTACCGCGCTACTGCCCAGCGAGATTTACTTCCAGCTGGACTACAACAGACTTTGCCACGGTACTCATCACACCATGCCATGGCTCTGTTCATGGTATATTCGCCGCGACTGAACGAGATCCGTATCCACTTTCCATCGCCGCTGATCGAGAAACTGCCTTGGGCCCTGGTTCTGCCCCGCCTCCGCATTCTCGACCTCCGCACTCGTTGTACCTCTGCCATGATCCGAGCCATCCTCGAGAACACAGCGCCAAGCCTTTTGGAGCTTCATTTGAGCTACGCAGCCGTTGACGATGCGGCCCTTGAAACGGTAGCAGCGCACTGTCCCAGTCTTACAACTCTGGCCATCGCCCAGCCAGCCGCCAGCCGCCCTTCGTCACGCCACCTCGGCTCTGTGGCTCGGCTCAGTCTCAATGCGCCGCCTGCCGTCACCGACAGCTCGGTCGTGAGAATCTTGCGCTGTTGCAGCCAGTTGAGGCACCTGTCTTTGCTAAAGACCAAAGTCAGCTCAGAGATTTATGCCGGCCTGTCTCTGGCGCCACTGAGATCACTCTCGCTTTCTCTCAATCGATCTGCTGGAATCACGCCCTCGTCCTTGATCGAACAGCTTCTGCCCAATCTGGTACATCTCGAGCGCTTCGAGTTGCATGGTGAAAAGCACAGCACCGACTACACCGGTGACCAGGTCATATCCGAAGACGCCGTGTATGAGATTGCTGCGGTCTGTCCTCACCTGAAGCAGCTCAAGCTCTTTGATCTGGATTTTTCTGGCCGCCACAACGACGTGTCGACTTACTACGGATCCTGGATGCCGTGGATGGTGGACGACCTCAAACGTAGCTTTGATCATCGACATCCCGAGGTAGACTTGGCGATCCAAATTCTGATCCACAGCCAAGGCTAGAAACAGAGGGCGGAGGCTGCGTTCATATTGTTGCAGATCATAGTCGTGTCCATTGGCAAATGTCAGCGGGTTCCTGATGCGAGAGTGCTCATCGTGATAATGAGGGGGTATGAATCCCGCGTGCAAAGTTCGACAATCGGGCATGCACACCCCGCTTGATGCAGTTGCCGGGACAAGGCGTAAGCCGTCCGATAGACCCAAAACGCCACCCGGAGACTAAGGGGTCAGGATTGTCGTTGACTTCCGGGCCTGAATACACACACTGTCCATCGCTGCTATGTCCAAACAGTGCGCCCACAGTGCCTGGAAGCCAGGCGACTCGAGAAGGCCGAAGCTCTTGATGTCGAGAAACCACACTCTGTACGGAGCTGCCCAGATGATCGAATGCATGTTGTATCTCGAGACCGTGCTCTCCAAACCAATAACAGGCAGCACTAAATTGTAAAGGGACGCGAATCGGCGTTGTCCTTTTGCTCTAAACGGGCCATAATTGGCCATAATTAGCCAGCGCGACACCTTGCGCACGCCTTCGGCTCAATCGTCGTCATCGGGGAACTTGAAACTGAAGGAGCCGGTGCTGATTGCGCCGCCTCGATAGCCTAGCGTCACAGGAAAAAAAAGCGTTAGAAGTTACCGTGGTGTTGTGCACAGAGACAATGCGACAGCGGCCCGTGGCCTTGGACACTCACTTCCTCGCTTCTTCTTGTTCTTTTCCTTTCTGAATCCATCGCCCTTGGTCTGGATCAGATCCAGATGAGCCTTGTAGCCATAGCAAGCTTCGGCGTTGCCCTGCTCCAATATCATCAGTCAGTCGGGACTCAAAATAGCGGCGTGTGAGCATTGGCAAGCGATAAGCACGTATCGATTCAGGCCTAACCTTGGACATGAAGCGATTGTCTTTGAGAGTATCATTGACGAAGGTGACTTCTTCGGCATTCACGCGACTGAAAGGCACGGGCTGGGGAGGGGTGTACGGTAGCAAGAAATTTTAGTTGAAAGTCGAGTCGAGTCGAGTCGGCGAGCAGACATCAATTCGAGGCACAAACACACACCTTGGACTTTGCCGCAGCGCTGCATTTGAAACAACAGGAAGTGTTAGCACAATGCAATGAGGTTTTTGATTTCCGTGACTCAGTGGCAACGCCAGAAATGCATGCCATGGGGCTTACTCGGCTTGCTTCTTTTTGCTTGCAGGTTCGCTGGGTTCGTCCTCGCGCTTTCGCTTTCCACTGGGCTCGGAGGATTTGGTAGGCGCTTTTGTGACCGCTTTGGGAATGGGCTTTTGAGTTTCTTCCTCCTCCTCATCCTCTTCCTCGTCGTCGTCGTCGCTATCATCGCTGTCATCGCTGTCATCGTCATCATCGCTGTCATCGCTGTCGTCACTGTCATCGCTGTCATCACTGTCGTCTTCTTCATCGCTGTCATCACTGTCGTCTTCTTCATCGTCACTGTCGTCCTTCTTTTTGCTCTTGGAGGACTTGTCTTCTTCATCATCGTCGCTTTCATCTTCGTCGCTTTCATCGTCGCTGTCGTCCTCGTCGCTGTCGTCTTCGTCACTTTCACTTTCACTTTCACCCTTCTTGGCTGGTTTATCGCTCTCATTATCGTCACTGTCGTCATCATCACTGTCGTCCTCGTCGCTGTCGTCTTCGTCATCATCAGGCTTGGAATTCTTCTTGGGTTTGGGTTCTTGCTCCTCAGACTCGTCCTCCTCGGGCTCGCTCTCCTCAGATTCGTCCTCGTCGTCCTTGTCAGAGTCCTCCTCCTCGGATGAGTCTTCCTCGGATGAGTCTTCCTCGGATGAGTCTTCCTCAGATTCGTCTTCGTCGTCCTCGTCGTCGCTATCCTTTTTGACGCTATTACATCACGAAACCCGATTGTGAGTCTATCAAGCTTTTATCATCATTCAAGTCTTCTGCGTTAGATGGCATACGTACGCTTTTATGCCTTTGATGTACAGGTCAAACAGGTTGACCTTGCTCTTGCCCAGCTTCGCGTCCGACTGCATGAATATCGTGAGCGTCAGTCGACGAAACCGTGTTCATCCAAACACACCAGAAATCAATTGTGCTGTGGTGGCCCATACGTCTCGCTCTCCAATTCAGCGGCCTATCCACCACTCGCTCATCCTTGATGCGCGCGAAGACATATCCCTTCCCAGCGCACCGGCCGTGCCGTCGAGCGTCCATTACCAGCTTGAGCTCTTTCTTCAACGCCTCTGCCGCCTTTGGCGACTTTTGCACCAGGAAATGGTGCACGATGGCGACCAGCTCCTCGTTTTCAGTGCTGTCTTTGGGCATGGCTCTCGGTCTCGGTCTCGGTCTCGCGGATGCGTCGTTGCGGATGCCGGCTGAGGCGGATCAGAACACGATTCTGGCGGAGCCTGGGCTGCCACCGTCAAAAAAAAAGCACACAGATCATCGCGACACGTGATTCATACTTGTCGGCCAGTCGTTGTTGCAGCCCAGGCGAGCGAAGACATGCGGACAACGACGACGGCCATGGAGACTCGGCGGATCGTCAGAGGACAGACCGAGACTGCCAAGGATGGCTCAGAAGGCTGGACGCTGGACGCTGGACGCTGGACGCTGGACACGGTCCGTTCCGGCGATCCCACTGCCGCTCGCATGTCTCGCGGTGGAACTCAGATACCGCCCAGGCTCCTGCTTCAACCCTCTCCGATACCATGAAGGCCACTAATTCGACGACCGGGAAAGCAGGAGAGTCGATTGAGCATTCGATGTGTTTTTGTGAATTCAAAGTATCCTGGGCCCGCCTTCAAAATAATCAGCGAGGATGCCAGCGTATCGGTTGTAGTCCACCCCACAATGGAGAGGCGAAGCGCAAGTTGGTGCGCATGCGAGCCTCGTGCACGATCCCAAAGCAGTTTCGATCGCGAGAGATGATTCTTATTAACGCAAAGTCAACGGGTCTAAGCAATGTGGATTGCCGCTGCGGTGCGGCGACTACATGAAAGGATATTCCAGCTCCAGCGCGCTGTTTGTCGAGAATGACTTGGGAGCGATCGTTTGGGCCTGGTGGTATCGATAATTGGGAAGACGGGCCCAGAGTCAGAGAGTGCAGCAGAGACACCGGGTGACGTCGCAGCTCGGTTCGTGTCGGCAGTATCGTCGAACAGGACAGCGATTCGCAGCCATCTCCAACCCACACGTAGCTGAATCGGCAGCCTGAGCCTGTGTACGAAGCACCCTCTCGCCCGGTCAGCGCGTTGGCGGATTCATCCGTCGGGCTCCCATCGACGTACCGATTGGAAGTTGACATTTCCGGTGAGTCTGCTGTCGCGCTCCATCATCTTTCGGTCCCAGTGATCGACATTGTATCGCTTGGGCTAGTGGCAGGCGATCGATGGAGTTAGGCTTCTTGCGTGAATAGAATGTACGGATTCGATTGACACCATCTCGGGAGGAAACCCGCCGGAGTCGAGAAGCCCGCTGTCGATCCGAGGCCGAGGCCAGAGCCGCCGAGCCGGTGCCAAGGCGCAGCGAACGAGCAGCGCCCTGGGCCAGAAGCATTCCAAGGCGGGCGCCATAGAGCTGCCAGTGACTTTCAAGCTTCCAGGCTTGATCGTCTCAGAGCCGCCTCCTGGCCTGGACCCGGCAAGGGCTGGCGCATATCAAGGAGAGATGCTGTGATCCCGCTGGACTGTCGAGCAGAGCCAGGGACGTGACATCACAACGCAACTAACCTTGCCCCAGTTCTCGAACTTTTGGTATTCCTTGATGGCATATCGACCGCCAATGCCAACAGCTGCGATGATGGCGAACGAAAAGACGACTTCTCCGGGAATGGGCATTCTGGTCGGGCTGTGGATCAGGCGATGGCAGAATGGCAGAATGGATGGATGGATGGTCAAGACCGGCACCAGAAGCGACGGATTTGCTGTTTGCTTTTCGCCCCATCCGGCGGCTCGATCCAAGGGCGGGTGGTTTCATTCTTTGTGGAGTCACGTGTGTGGCGTGCGTTCTAATCACGTGATTGATCCGCCCCGGTTGGTGCTCTGCGAGATCGAGATGCGACCCACCCGCCGAATTGGGGAGCGACGCAGCCGCTGCTCGAGATGGGAGGGGGGCGATGTGCGATCATTGCAATCATTGCGATCATTGCGATCATTGCGATCATTGCGATCATTGCGATATATTGAGGAACGGCAGAAGGCCAATGAAAACGGCATCACGCAGCGGCGACATCCGGTGCGTCTCACAGCCAGCCAGCCAGCGAGCTATAAAATGCCTCGGCTGGAAAGCACGATTGATGCCCTAATTTAGTCCTCCTCCATTTCGTCTTGGAGTGAAGCCTGAAGGGAGCGCGCTGTGAGTAAGTTGCCCGATAGCCCCACTTCGTTCTCCAGCTTTCGTTTGGCACAGAGCATCGACGGATACACGCGACAGCAGTGTGGGTTCGGCGTCGATTCGGCCGCTCAGCCCTACCTTAGCAAACTGCTCTGCCTCTGCCACAATGTCTGCCGGCACAATCTGGTGCCTGTTTCCTGACTCCTCGCAGATCCAGCTCAGCTCAAGCTCAAAGTCCTTGTCCTTCGCGTCGTCGTGCGCGGTGTAAATGCTGTGTATAGGGGCCAGGAGCACGATCAGTATCAGCAATCTGCGGCAAACACAGCCAGCACGAATCATCGGCAGCTGGAGAGGAGAGCGCGAGGCAAACTTACATGCGTGCACACTCCTTGACCGCCTCCCGGCAGGAGAGCTCAGCAAATTTCAGCTTTTCCAGCTCTGCCTTGGCAACTTGCTTGCCCTTGCCAATGGCGCAGCCGTTGTAGCCCTGATGTACATTCCGCAGCAAGAGAAGGATCGGCGCGGCAGGGTCAGTCGCCAAACACACAAGCAACCAATACAGTATTTAGGCTGCCGGGAGATTGGCAGTTCGCGCTCACGTACATAGTAGACGCCAGAGGGTTCGATCATGTACAATGAAGGCCCGGATCGGTCGACAATGCTAACGATGGTGCTGATTCCAAAGGGACGAAGGCCGGACGAAAGTGTGTAGGCTTGAACATAGTTGGCGACCCGGTCGATGAGATACTGTAAACAAGCACAGATGCATGCTGGGTGAGTTGTGGATAGGTGTGCGCCAGGACGTCGCATTTTCAAGCACGGCTTGCATGTTGAATGAGGCGCGCTTTTGGCAACCATCCACTGTATCAACGAGCAGAGGGCAGCTCCAGCGCTGCAACCCAAGGGAGAATATGGACGAGGAGCCGCTGAAGCTTCACTGGTTGGGCGTCTTGTCATGCTGGACCATGCCGGCAGAATGGTCTCTCGGAGACATTCACATAGTCGTCTCCCTCCAAATTACCCTGGCCGGAACTGCGGACTTGTAGGTTTCTCGGTAGTTTTGGGCCTCTTCTCTCGCAATGCTTGCCAAAGCCTTGCTATCGGCCAGCAGACCGGCAGAGGCCTATGTGGGTATCCAAAGTCAGATCAACCTTGACCAACGCCAGGGCACATTGGAGCCGTTCGCCTCGCGATCTGTTGAGGGGGGGAGCCCTCCAGAGATATGCCATACCATTCCAGCGTGCAGGTCGATCGTCATGATGCGTCGGTTGGAGCCAGAAACCAACAGCTTTGACTGGATAAGCTTTTCGACAGCAATGACCACGCCATCTTTTGCTCGGATGCCAATGACGGTGCTGGAGAAGGATACCGGAGGAGGAACGGGTTGCTGTCAGCAATGGATGCCCACAGACAGCAAGATCGACATCGCTGAGTGGCGCCGCTCAAGCGACAAGTGTCTGGCGCGAAAGCCACTAACCCGCTGTTTTCGACGGCCTTCATGGCATATTCGACTTGGAAGATCCGCCCATCCGGCGAGTATGTCGATGACGACAGATCGTACTGGTTCCAATCGAAGAGTCCGCAAGTTGGACAGCGAGCTAGCGTCAGGTTCGGTGCACCGGCGATTCGGTGGCAAATGCAGGACTGGGCGCCGCACTTGCTCGGCTGCAGCAGGCTCGCAACTTACACCCGTTCCGATGGAGCTCATCTTGGCGCTGGATTGAAGACAGATGGGCGAGACAGCGACGGGCACCGTCTCGTCCATGCTTCTGCGGCATCGGCGCCGGACCCTGGCTTGCATTCGAGCCAGTGTCGCTCAGACACCCTGGACGAAAGCGGATCACGTGTCTTATGCAGCCCTAGAAGAGCCCTAGCACAACCCTAGCAAAGCCCTAGTGCTGTGTCGGCGCGTTGATTGGTCCTCTGGCGATGCTGTTCATTGCCAGATCCATCTCGGGCGTGAGCTGGATCGGCCAGCTGCAGCAGAAGCAACGAGCCTGGAACACCGCCGGCGATATCACTGACGACACAGCATGGCATCGGTCCTGGAAATCGAGTCCCAGGAGTAAGATCGACAGCGACCGCACCGCAACAGGCCCCATATGCGAGGCTGGACATGGGAGGAAGCGATGCTAAACCTTTGCGGCTCTGGGACAGTGTTATCCGCCTGATCGAGCAGTTTCTCAAGGAAAACAACCTGCTGAGGACGCTGCAGACGTTGCAGGTGAGGTCCTCGTCGGCAAGCGCAGCTCCCGCAATGACTCGGACGGGCACAGCAAAGCACCGACTGGCAGATCGCATTCTGGCCTCGGCATGTCGCAAAGTTGCCGAGACAGCTCCAATCTCATGGCTGCCTTCTGACGGGATCTCTTTGAAATGTCGGCGCCAGGAAGAGTCATCCATCACCCTCAATACAGTCGACAGCATCCAGACCTTCACCTCCGAGATCCTCCAAGGCCACTGGGATGTCGTCCTGCGAACCATCTCGACCCTCAAGATTCCGCAAAAGAAGCTTATCGATTTACATGAGCAGGTATATCACAGCTCCATATGCTCGAGTGCATTATTGTGGCTACATCCAACCCCCAAGCTTGCCCACTGCCTGCTCGCTGCTCGATGCTCGCTCACCTCGCATGCTGCTGCCGTTTTGTTCTCAGATCGTCCTGGAACTCATCGAGATGCGGGAGATTGGCGGCGCGCGATCTCTTCTGCGGCAGACCGACCCCATGCAGCTCCTTAAGGAACAACAGCCCGATCGATATTTGCATTTGGAGCAGATGCTCTCTAGATCCTTCTTTGACGAGAAGGAGGTAAGGCCATATTCGTGTGCAGCTCAGGATCGTGCTGGCACGAGCGGACAGGGCGAATCGAAGGGGGGAGGCTTGTCAGGCTAGATTTGTGTCAGTTTACAAATCGCCAGGTGCTCTCAAACCAGAGCCGGTCGCTTGGTAGGGACCAAAGTCGATATGGCCATCCTGACACTGCACCTGCCGCCCCTATCTTGTCTATGTCGCAAGGCCTATCAGGGCTCGTCGAAAGAGAAGCGGCGACAGAAGATTGCCCAGGCGCTGGCCAACGAGGTCACCGTCGTTGCCCCATCGCGACTCATGGCGCTGCTGGGCCAGGCGATCAAGTGGCAAAACTCACAGGGGCTACTGCCCACCGACTCGGCAGCCTTTGATCTCTTCCGCGGATCTGTTCCGGTCGCGAAGGTTGAGGACGACACCCCGCCAACCCAGTCGTTCAACACCATCAAGGTAGTGGGACTTTGCGTGGCCGAGCAAATGCGGGACCGATCGCAATGCTATTTGCTACTCGTTCGCTGACCATCGCACCATCCCTGCAGTTTCCCAAGAAACAGCATCCTGAATGTGCTGCCTTTTCGCCGGACGGGCAGTACTTTGTTACCGGCACTTTGGATGGGATGATCGAGGTCTGGAACTATATGACCGGAAAGCTGCGAAAGGATCTCAAATATCAATCCGATGGGAATGTGATGCTGATGGACAAGGCTGTCCTGTGCCTGAGCTTCAGCCGCGACAGTGAATTGCTGTCGTCCGGATCGGAGGATGGATCAATCAAGGTGGGTATTACTTCTCTGTTCTTGCAAGGCGCCATGATGCTCTTTCTGCGCACTGTGTGTGCTGAACTGTTTATTCTTGATGTACACACAGGTGTGGAAGGTGCAAACAGGACAGACCGCAAAGCGATTCCCCAGCGCACACAGTCAAGGTGTGACGGCGGTGATGATGAACAAGGCCGGAACAGAGGTGCTCTCGGGATCGTTCGATGCCACTGCTAGGTCTGTACCGGACGAGCGGCACGATCACCGGTGGAGTTCCTGATATTCCTGCGGTGTGATTTATTGTACTGTCCCTGCGAGCTTGGTCTCCAGGCTGGGTGATTTGTCAGAAGCCAAAGCCACAATGTATCGCCTCTGCCTCCGATCACATCTATGTGTTTGCATGGACGGCTAGGGTGGGTCTACTCATGATCGCGGAACTGACTTTGCTGCGTCGATTGTTCCTCGCCTTTGGCTGCAGGATCCATGGAATGAAATCGGGTCGAATGATCAAGGAGTTCCGAGGCCACACGTCTTATGTGAATGACGCGATTTACTCTGTGGACGAGACTCGGATTATCACAGCAAGCAGCGACGGAACTGTCAAGGTAGGATGTCGCGACAGCAGCGCAGCAGAATGAACCGGCTGTCGAACACACTTCAGGCAGCATCGCCGTCGCGCCGTTGCGTTCTTGGTTCGTTTGCGGACCCTTGCGTACTTCCATTTAACCGCATGCTTCGTGGGGGTGGGGAACAGATATGGGACTACCGAAACTGCGAGTGCCTGTTCACCGTGACTCTCCACGATGGCAAGGCGGTGTCCAGTAAAGTGCAAGGCGCAAGCGTCACGAAGCTTTCGCAGATGCCCCAGAGCATCGACCGCTTTGTCGTGTCCAACAAGAGTGGCTTCGTCTATGTGCTGTCGCTCACTGGCCAGGTGGAGAATGCGTTTAGATACAAGAATCCAAAGGCTCTTCCCACAGGCCAGAGCGATGCGAACCCACCCGAGGTTGCCTTTGTGTCCATGACGATATCTGCCAAGGGCCAGTATGTATACTGCCTTGGTGAGGACAATCGGCTCTACGCTTTCCAGACAGACACAGGTGTTTTGGAAGCATCTTTGCAGGTAATCGGAGCAAAAGATCCTCCTGGATGACGATTGGCACCGCAATGGGCACCGGGATTGGCACCGCAGCTCCGAGCGACTTGGGTAGCGCTATTGTTTGGCATTCGAATGGTTCTGGCTAACCTTGGCCTCGTCCTTGCACGGCAGCTCTCGTCGGCGGAAGTGATCGGGATGGCACAACATCCATATTCCAACATACTCTCGGCATTCGATGATGGCGGGGTTGTGACGTTCTGGAAGTGAGAACGCTAAGTGCAGCTGTGCCATTGTTTCAGACTGGCGATAATAGAGTTGCATATGCCGCTTCCCTGGTCTGTATTTTGCGTGGCAAAAGAACCCTCCATCAACCGAGCAAGTTGTGTGAGATACCGGTGACCACAGAGTCGAAATCACATCACTCGTTGTGGTCCAACAGCGATCTTAGTGCTGGCGCTCTGGATGGTCGGCGGCGGCGGAGACGACCTTGCGCATATCGCCCTCGATCCACTTCCGCGCGAAATGAACAGTCGTCGAAGACAAAAAAATGTGTGTGTATTCAAGATATAGATGGTAAACGTCGTTCCTGAACAAAAAATCCTCACATTTGTGAACGCCGTATGTTGCACTGCTCAAGTTCACCTGGAACTCAACAGCAACGGGCCACCAATCCAGTTTCTGAGACTGTTGTTGCATCTCCATTCAATCCATCTATGGCTCTCGGAGCGATAGAGGAAAGTGGGCGAATCTGCGTTACTGAGTCTTGCGGTGGCTCTTGGAAGGCTTGCGGTGAGATGGCTTGCCATCGTGGCCACCATGTCGCCCGTGATCGCCGTGATCGCCGTGATCGCCGTGATCGCCGTGATCGCCGTGATCGCCGTGGCGTCCGTGACCACCATGACCACCATGGCCACCATGATCACCATGACCACCATGACCACCGTGACGACCATGATCACCATCGTGTGGATGGCGATGTCTGCGATGATCGTGACTGGAGATGCGATGTGTTAATCGACAGCACCGAGGAAAGCATGCGCTCTTGCTGTGTACGACGCAACGTACTCGTGATGGTGATGATCATCATCATCATCGTCATCGTCATCGTCATCGTCATCATCGTCGTCGTCATCGTCATCATCATCATCATCGTCGTCATCATCATCGTCATCGTCATCATCATCGTCGTCGTCGTCGTCGTCGTCGTCGTCGTCGTCGTCGTCGTCATCGTGATGACCGTGATGACCATGATGGCCGTGATGGTCGTCCGACTCGGACTTCTTGGAGTTGGTGTGGACAAGGCCAGAGTCCTGGAACATCAGTGCGAGTCCGCTGGCACCGCGCTTATCCAGGGCTTCAACGGCGCTCTCGCCGTTCTGCGCCGGGACAGGGGTGGCGACCACAATCTGGGCTGAGGAGCAGAGACGGAAAGAGCACCAGTCGCGTGTTATCTCGTGGTGGCTCGCAGATATACCAGAGAATGGCCAATGGCACACGTACCAGCCAGAAGAACAGTCGCAGCCAAGTGGATCAGCTTCATTTTGTGTAGGACAGATGGCTTGGTTGGTCGCGGTGCGATGGCGAAAAAACCAGTACTGCCGCCCCACCCCTGTCGTTAAATACTTGATGGAGCGTTCTCAGCGCTCAAAGCGCCGGTCCACGTTCCTGCCTCGACGGCCAATCGCGCAGGGCGGGTCTATTCAGCGTTGGCGGGAAAAAATGGATCACCACACCGAATCAAGCACGCCAGCGCCGCCGTCGTCGACTGGCCATCGCTGTGGCGAAAGTCCATCGATCCGACTCGCTCGGCTTGCCCGGGTGCGTGCTTGCAGCGGAGATCGCCCGTTCCCCGTGCGGAATTGCGCATATCGGTCGGAAAGCGCAAGGTCGAGCAGTCGATCCCGGCCATGTGTTGGCCATCCACTCCATCCCCGTGCACATGCCATCCCGCCTCTCAAGCCCATTCGCTGCTCGGCGGCTGGGGCTGCGGCTGTGGCTGCGGTTGGCCCTGACCACGGCTTCCTGAGGGTCTCGCCCTTTCCCACGGAATGCTCCATTTGGATCGAGACCTGGCGGGATTGGTGAGCTCATCGCAATCACCCATGTGCGTGCATGCTCCGCTTCTTTGTCGGGGGGAGCAGATCTCCTCGCTTGACAAGATAGCGACGTGGCTTGTGTGAATCTGAATGTGATCGTCGGTGACTCTGGAAAACAGTATACTTGCTATTTGAGGAGGGGGAAAACAAGCAATCGATCGCTGGCCGGTGCGGCAGTGAGACCGACAAAAGCACGGATGCTGCGTCCGCACAAGTGTGGAGCAACCACTCTATCGCCTTCCCCTGAGCGAGAGCCCCCGCAGTCAAAAGGCACCTCGGGGGATAGTCGTGTGTCTATGGTGAATCGGCGAGTATCTAACCAGAACGCCTTGAAGTGCTAGGCCGCAGTCGACCCAACTGCTGTGGCCAGAGCGCGGCCCCGCAAAGCCTTCAGAGATCCTTCTGAGGTAGTTGAAACGGTACCCCGGCCGTCTCGGCGTTCATATTGGCTTCTATTTGATCCCACTTTGAGTCCTTTCTTCGATGCTCTGTAAAGCCGATAAGCGTCATGTACCAAGCGATCCGACGTTGGGTGTGGTAAAACAAATGCGTTAGCACTACTGGAGATCAGCACTACTGGAGATCAGCACTCGGGCAGGAACGCTGAGCTCAATTCCGTTGGGCGTGCAGACCTTTCAAAGACTGAGGTATCGCGCAGTCGTCTGTTTTCTTGGTCGACGGTGCCGGTGCGACTGATCCACGAGGCTCAGTCGATTCCCACACAGGCTCGACGGCTTTGTTGAGTCCAAGCATTGGGGAGTCGGGCACGGCCGCCGACATTGCGATGCTGATGTGGTTGCTCGTCTGTGGCGTGAGTATTGGCTTGGAGGCCACGCAATAGTCCAGACTATCAGTCCAGAAGTGCGAAATCTGGGCTTGAATGGTCGGCATGATTATGTACAGGACGGCGCAGATCGGGAGAAAGATCCATTCGAGCGCATTCCAGAAACAGCGAGAGGACGACAGGCGCGGTCGCTTGCCCAGTTTTGGTGCCCCATTCTGGATATGGACGTTGATGAAATCGGACTGCCATCTGGCTATCCCGACCCAGTGGTGGTACTTTTCAAAGCAGACCAGCGTGCAGATGAAAGGCACGGTGGCAACCAGTCGCATCCAACCGGCAACTGCAATCGACTGCTCGACGTACGGGTGCAGCGAACGATCAAAGAGCAGCGGCATCACAAAGCTACCAATGCTTTTGGGGCCCGATGGAATCGTGACTGTGGTGATGAACACCATCAGGATCGTGTGGGTCATCAAGACGTGCGCCTCGAGGACTCGATGTAGAAGTACAAGTAGCTTGGCCATCGAAAGCGATTCGTGGGACGGATCTTTGAGCTTGTCGTGCGCGAGCTCTTCGGATGACTGCTGCTGGTTGAGAAGCCACGAAATAGCACGACGCAGGGTGTATCCCGTATCGAGCGATCCCCAGAGATGGCGCTTTCCCTGGCCGTAGCGGGCGAACATGGTGCCGAGATAGCTCGCTCCCTGAACGTTGCACTGTGACGCCGGCGAGTAGATGGGCTGAACGTGGAGCTGGCCGCCCGTGGCAAAGAAGCACTTGAGAAACATATGCATATCTTCGCCAATGGCCTCTGGTCCTGGGTCCCAGAAACCCGAGCGTCTCGCAAGGTTCATCGACACCGAGTACGCCGAACATGGGACCTTGACAGATGAGGCCTCGTACAGATTCGACATCACGGCCGTTGCCCATATGTTGTCGGATGTCCGGACGATCAAGGGCACACTACCTGCATTTCTAGGCGACGCAACCGAGTGGTCATGCCAAAGCCGAGATGCCTGTTAATGGCCAGTCGCTGTGACGCCCTCCACCTCGAATCCATTGCTCATATCAATCTCCATTTTGACGGTTGCACCTCCGTTTGGGGATCGGATGCGGTCACGTCCGCCAGCCGCCCGGCTGCCTGATCCCCTGCGACTCAAACTGGGGCTGACACTCTACCTATCGAATATTATGCTTGTCGCAAACATCATCCTGTCTCGCCGATCTTTTGGCGCAACAGCATAGTGATACGTGAGGGCGGTGAAGTAGTCTTCGGCAAAGCATGTGTCGGCATCCATTATGGTGATGATGACGTGGTCGGTGCCTTCGGTGAACTTTTCGGCCATACGTCGTGAGGCCCACGAAACATTGCTCGACTTTCCACGGATTTCGCCCGGAAGCATGGCTGGATGCATTGTATAGCATATTTCACGGAAGGACGAGTGGAACTTGAGAATCAAGTACTCAGCCTTCTTCAGGCAGCCTTGCTCGGCGCCTTCCATCGCCAGACAAACCTGCAGTGGGTATCGCCGAGTCATCAGCGAGATAAAGAAAGACGATGCCCAAAGCCAGGTGTATATTTGGGTGAACGAGGTGAGACCGAGGCCCGGTTGTCGAGCGATCTCGCTTGTGCAGCGCCAGCAGGCGAAGAAAGACACTTGCCTGATACTGCATGCGGGCGAGCGAATGACTCGCCAAAATCGAGAGCGTCTCCTTCAGGGTCTCAATATCCTCGCAGTAGTTCGGCAGGATGATAACGTGGCGGATCTGCTCAAACACCAAATCGGCGCGCTTGGTATCGATGGAGGTTTCCCGGCAGTATCGTTCGTACCAGTTGGTGGACGAGTGCAACCTGGACGCCCGATAGACCCGGTAGACTCCCCAGGCTGTTCTGACGGTGTTGCAGACAAAGAAACCGTTGAGGATGAGGAAGACCGAGGAAAATAGCGTTGGTGCGTAGAATGGCCCAAAAAGCGCAAGACCGCATGTAAGCAGCAACCAGACGCCCGGCACGCGCTGCAGGATGCCCCGCAGAGCGCTTTCGGAGAGGAGTGCTGGGCTCGACATTAGATGATGTTGGGCAGGGACCGTGGGAATCGAACACGAAGATGGCTGTTGAGGCAAGATCGAGCGTCACGCCGATATCGACGCAGGTGGTTGCAGTAGAGTTCAAGGCACTGAAGCACAGCACAATCCGATGGGGGGGGAGAACGTGGACACCAAAGCCAGGTCGCCGACAACAGCGCAGAGGACGTGATAAAGCGGGTCGGAGCAGCTCTCGGCAGATGCCCGCGATGATGTCGGCTCCAATGCCTCCGAGAGCGCGATGACTCAAAGGCAAGAAAGCGCGCGTTGCGAAGGGAACCGGAGGGTCAAATGGCGGGAGCACCGTCAAAGAAACCACATCCAAAGTGACCGGAAGAGAAGGCGATCATTCAACCCCCGGCGACCAGAGCGGAGACGGTCGAGACCGCGAAACGGAGGAGAGACCGGGCTTGGCACGGCCCGGATGCGCGAGCTCTCAGAATGGTTCATCTAGCGCAAGATTTGCAGAGTGGCCCAATCGGGGCTATTGCAGCGCCGCCAAGGAGAGCACACATATGTGATGCCCAGCACAGTTGTGTCGGATCTTTGCCTTGGGGCCCGTCGTTGCGATCGGCAGAGCCAGGGATCCTTGCCTTGGGCCGCCCTTGCGATCGTCACTCTGCAGAGCCATGTTGTTCACACGCGTCACCCATATTCCAGGTCACTCATCTCTTGATCCACACAACATCATCGTGAATGCACTGGTCGTTGACGAGGACAGTGGATCACGGATCGCCAAAAGCACACCTGCAAGAAGCCCCCCCCCACCGCCCACGGAGCGGAAGAAGCGTCCAATCGCGACGATCCCCGCTCGTCACCTACCCACTCCAGGAACACTACAATCTGAGATGGCGTTTCGGCTTGCACTTCAACACCACGGACGATATAGACATTCCTGCTCACGGCGATACTGTTGGCCCCACTCCCGAGATCCAAGCGAAGCAGATCTAGTGTATTGCAAATAGAGCCAAGAGTTTATCGACCAAAAGCCGAGCCAGTCAGGCATCGGCACCGGATGTCAGTCGTTTTCAAGCTATGGAAGAGAAGCCCCAAGTAGGGACGCCCAAAGTTGGGAGACCTGTGCAATATCTTGTACTGGACACGGCGGCGCAGTCTGTGCGGAAGGCGCATGTCACTCTAAGAAAGGATGGCGTACTCGTTGGGTGCGAGGTAGTAGTTGAGGCAGGTGCCAAAGGTGAACTTGGGCAGGCTGGCGTAGAACTGGTCATAAGTGGCATTGAGGGCGTCAGTCAAGCTGCGAACAGGAGGATCGGCGCTAGGCTGGATAGCCGACCAGGGCTGCCGGCAAGTCTTTCCCTTGCAGGTTCGGAGGACGTTCAAAAGAGCATCAAGGCGATTCAGGAGCTGAGGGCTGGTCTGGTTGAAGGCGTTGGTGAGCTGGTACGGGTCCTTTCTCATATCGTAGAACTCGTGCTCGCCAGTGCACCAGGTGGAGTAAAGCAGATCGTAATCCTTGCCGTGCAGGCGAACAGACTTGTAGGCGTTGGTGTGAGGAGGCACGACGTAGGTGGAGTTCTCGATGAAGGCATCGCTCCAAAACTCGACATCAAACGCCTCGGGCGAATGGAGGTCGGCAAAGGTGGGGCCGCACTTGTCATGGTGGGTGTAGTCACTCTCGAGAACAGGGATGGACGCGGCGTCCAGATCATCTGGAATGGGGAGACCGGCAAGTCTCAGGACGGTGGCGGCAAAGTGCGTGTGGGTAGAGACAGCATCGCGCTGCTGGTTCTTGGCAACTCCGGGGCCACGGATGATGAAGGGGATGTTGATGTCTTCCTCGTAAGGAGTTTGCTTGCCTGAAACGCAAACGGACATGTCAGTCACGGCTGTTTGTGTGGTTGATTGCTGGCAAATGAAGATCGCCACAGGAGATACATACCAGCATACAGGCGATGGGCACCCAGATGATAGCCGTTGTCGGTGGTATAGATCAAGTAAGTGTTGTCGAGCTGGCCGTTGGCTTCGAGACGGTCAATCACACGAGCAACGAGCTCATCGGTGGCCTGGAGAGAACGGAGACGGTTGCGGTAAAGCTCGTCCAGGTCATCAATCTGCTGGTCGGTGAGAAGAGGGAGATTCTGGACCCAGGAGACCTTGTCCTGGACGGCGGGATTGAAGTTGGGGCGACGAGGAACCTTGACGTCGTTAAACAGGTTGCGGTGACGCTCGGCGGGGACAGGGGGAGTGAAGATGGTGCCGTTCGGGGTGATGTAAACCTCCTGATGAGGGGCCGTGGGGGAGATGACGAACAGGAAGGGCTGGGTCGAGTTGGCAGCGAGCTGGTCGATCAGGGCAATCGACTTGTTGGAGATGACATCGGTCTGGTACTGGCCAGTCAGGCGCTCCAAGGGTCCGTTGTTCAGGGAGAAGATGGGGTCGTTGAACAGGTAGATGTTGGGAGCGACGAGGGGTTCCCAGTGATCCCATCCCTTGGGGGCTTGGTGGAGAGTGGTGCTGACACCGTTGATGAACTTGCCAATGTAGTGGTTGCGGTAGCCGGCGTTCTGCAGCCAAAGGGGGAGGTAGCTGTCATCAACCTTTTGGCTAATGAACTTGGTGTACGAGCCTGGCAGATGCGAGAGCAAGATCAGATACCGAGAATGCGATGTTGGAACAGCCACTGAGCAAAGGGTAGGCCATAGGACCGCAGCCGCAGGGGCGACTGAAGCAAAAGAGCATGCGAGAGTATGCCATTGCACAAATGCAGAGCAACGAGGGTGCTTACCGTGCGGAGGGCTCTCATCGGTGACGTTGTGGTTGTGGGCAAACTTGCCGGACCACAGCGAGACGCGCGAAGGACAGCAGGTGGCGGTGGTAGTGTAGTAGCGTGTGAACTCGGTGCCCTGCTGCAGAAGCGTCTTCTGGATGTTGGGCAAGTAGTTCAGAGAGTCGTAGTGCAAATCCTGGTCATCCGTGAGAAAGAGGATAAAGTTGGGTTTCTGCTGCTCGGCCGCGACGAGGGAGGTGGCAGCAGCGAGCAGGGCCGGAAAGGCGAGGAAGATGGTGGACTTCATTGCGAGTACAGGGCAAGAGCAGATTGCTGAGGGTCTGCGGGGCGGGTCTCGGCTGATGGATGGCTTCGACGGAGGGGCAAACGAAGAAGTATTTATCCCACTCATCGGCTTGCTCGCGTGGGATGGAACAGAACAAATCGCAAAGCCATGAGGACCCCAAGATGGCGGAATCGCAAGCAAGGTAGATGTCGCCACTACCTCGGGCTTGGTCAGGCAGGGCAGCAGGCGCTTCGCCATGAGGCTGGTTTCAGGCTCGTGCGGGAGCGGAACCGAAAGGCGGTGCCGGCTGCTCGGCACAGCAAAATCAACGCGGCAAGAGGACAAGGCCGAAATGGCGTCAGTCGAACAAGAGGATAGCGCCAGGCGACAGCCACGGGGCGGCAACAGAAGGACCAGGCGCAACGGCGACGAGCCAGAAGGAGCAATGGAAGCAACCTTGGAGAGCGAAGGACATGACGTAACCGGTCTGAGGGCAGCAAGTCCCGCCCGGTCGCATGGCAGCCACATGGCGTGGGGAATGGGAAAGGTGTCTGCCGGTGAGTCCAGTGATTGGCCTTCGAAGCAATACGGGCTGGGGACAAGCTGAATGGATGGTTGGACGCGCTGGAGTCTACACCAAGGACTGAGGAGTGGATTGAGGAATACATCGACGAGAAACGGGCAGCAGTGCCCAGCAAGCAAAACGTGGCTCACAGTCGAGGCTCGTGCTAGCGGAGAACCTGTGGAGAGGGTTCAGGCGAACCGAGCGAGACGAAAGTCTTGCCTGTGGGGGGGGGCAACATGGAGATCCGCAACGGCCGGAATAGCCATCGGGTCGAGCAGCAAGCGGGGCAGAGGATTCGGGCAACAACAAACTTGAATGTATTTGTGAGCAAAGAAAGCACAAAAAAGGAAAGGGAAGACGAAGGCATGGCCACGCATGCAGTCAAGGTTTTGATTTGGAAGATATGGAACAATGCGATGGTTGACGAATGAACAGCGGAGAAGAAACGAAAGAGAAGTGGAGAGGCTGACAGAAAGATATGAGGGATCATAGGTTGAACTGATTGCTCCAGTCAATGGAGAGATGCAATGATGACAATGTTGAGATGTGTGCTTGAAGTTGATGCATGGCTTGTGTTGAGTGAAGATTGACGGCCAGGACGTTGCTCTGGTATCAAGAGCCAGTCGCAGCTGAGAGATGCAGAGTGATATCATATCGAGTCCGGGGACTCGATAGGGAGAGGTTGTGGAAAGGGGAGGGGTGAAGCAGTTGATATGGAGTGGCACCAGGAAATCATTATGTGGCATTATTCCGGTGCTCATCCAGACGACTCGTCGCCTTCGTTTCTGTCGGCAAAGACCATGGTGGCAGCCATGACACCGCTGCCGGTGACCGCCGAAGCCGAGACCTTGGATGTCCGCACGTCAATGTTCTGCCAGAAGACAAACTCGTCGTCGGCATAGACCAGCCGGGACTCCACCAGCGCGCCGGCAAGCGCCTCTGGGTGGTTGCGCAGGTGCGGTGTGCTGCTCAGGACGGGCACGCCCGTGCTGCCATGCGACATGAACCGCAGCAGCGGCGCCAGCGACACCGCAAAGTCGTACTTCTCGGTGACCACAAAGCTGCGGTACTCGGTCAGGATCTTGGAGATGTTGCGGTACTTTTCAAAGTTGATCAGCGGCTGCTGCTGCCGCGACGACGACTTGCTGCGCGGCTTGGTCATGGCCGGGTTGCCGTCCATCAGGAAGGTAATGTCCTTCATCACCATCGGGAAGAACGGCACCGCCGGTCCGCGCACCTGCGCCAGGGCCTTGCGGTAGTTGCGCATGTTGCCGCTGGGGTCCATGAGCTTCTCGAGCGTCTCGAGGGCGGCAATGTGCTTGGACGAGACCGCCTCCCAGGTCTTCTTGTGCCGCTGGACAGCCGGTGTCAGGAGGCCGCTCACGATGAAGAAGGCCGTGTGGAAGTTGTTGAAGTCGATGCAGTACTTTGCGATCTGGATGAACCGCTCGATGACCTGGCGGCGGACGTTGAGGGTGCCGATCGAGCAGATCTCGAGCGCGACCCAGTTGCGGATCTGCAGAGGGAGGAATAGGTGCGCGCGGATCAGCAGGGTGGCGATGGGGTGGAGCGAGGAGTGAAGGGTGGCGGCGATGGAGTGATGGGGTGAAGGGTGGCGGCGATGGAGTGATGGGGTGATGGGTGGCGGCGATGGCGCCGGCGAACCATGGCGCTGTCCATGATGCTCGGCTGCCATGATGCATGGTGTCGCCCAGCTGCCCAGTCGCTCCGCACTTGCCCGCATCCCACACTCGCCGCACTTGCCGCACTCGCCACTTACCATGTTGGCCCGGCGCGCAAACAGGTCGATCTTGCCCGGCACCGCCTCGGGGCCGCTCGCCAGCCCGTCCCGGAGCCCGTCCTTGGCCTCGCCCACCAGTCGGGGTTCGCGCAGCTTGGCCACATAGTCCGGGAACGTGATCGCCGCAAACGACAGCGCATCGACCGCAGTCAGATATCGTGCATAGTCGCGTGCATCGCCCGTCGTCAGGATCGGCGACAGGTCCAGGAGGTTGGGCGAGTCGGTCCGGGGAAAGTGGCAGCTCGTTGGGCCGAGCCGCTGGACCATCGACGCCAGGCCGCTGCCGCCGTGCGCATCGATCATGTCGAGATGGACGGCAAACGGCGTGTTCTTGCGCTTCATGGCAAGACTGACGGCCTGCGTGATGCATGTGCGGCGGATGCGGTCGGCCTCGCTCTTGAAGCCGTCGCCCCAGACGATGGTCAAGAACTCTTCGAGCTTGTGGCGGAGATCGGCGTCGTTGGCAAAGTCCTCGTACTGCAGCTTGACCCAGCGCGCGAGCACATTCAGGACCCTGGCAGACGGGTGGCAGGCAGACGGATGAGTGATGGCAGATGGATGAGTGATGGCAGATGGATGAGCGATGGCAGATGGACGAATGAGCGATGGCAGTGCGAGGCAGGCGTGAGTCTCAGCCTTCGGCGCACAGGTTGCCGGCGGTGGTTTCGAGGCAGGATGCGAGGGCCACGGGGACCGCCGTCTCGGTCGGCCGCAGTCCATCCCACCCGCTCGCTCGACCTCCCACCTGCTTGCTCGACCTCCCACCTGCTCGCTCGACCTCCTACTCCCGCGACACATCACTGTCTCTCGCCGTACTCACTTGCGCTGGATCGGCGTCTTCCAACGGTGAAAGTACTCCATGTCGTCGGTGCTCGCGTTGGGCGGCGGCTCAATGTCGTAGCGAGCCTCGAGGTTGTCCATCAGGTCCTGCGAGCTCATGAAGAAGCCGTGGTTGTGGATCATGCAGTCGACAAACTCGAGGTCTGGTCGTGGGAGGGTCAGCAGTCGAGAGCCGTGTGTCAGCGAGGCGAGCAGACCCAGTCTGGTGTTGGAGCAGATTGATCGCATGGCTCCCACTCGGCCGACACATCCGCGGGCCGGCCTCCGCTCCCACAACAACCTGCGCCCGTTGCTTACCTTGCAGGTTCTCGTCGGCGAGGCTGACCACGAGCTTCTCGACCGTGGCGGCGACAATCACAATCTTGCCGGCAACAATCTCCATGATCTTGATGTCTTGCTTTCCCTCGCTGAGATGCAGCATGTTGTCTCGCACCTGGATGACGCCAGAGTACTCTTCCTTGTCGTCGTCGGCTGTGGCGGAGGGATCGGGTCAGGCATCAGCATCGAGTCAGGCATCAGCATCGGGCCAGGCATCAGCATCAAGCCAGGCATCAGCATCGGGTCAGGTCACTCCTCGTGCACTCCATCGTCGGCTGTGTCGCCGCTGCCCCGCTGTGCTCACCAGTGTCATACGACAGCTTGCCGTTGTTGTACATGCCGATGCGCTTGCCGCGGCTGTTGACTGTCGGGATCTTCTGCGCTCCCTTGCGGCCAATCACCCGCATCGACTTGAACGCCTTGGTCGCCGGCACCGTGCTCTCCTCATCCGACGTGATGTCTTCCTTGCGGGAGAGATCCAGCCCGCGAGGCCCGGCATACAGCGCATAGTCGCTGGGTCGCTCGACATCGCTCTCGGTCAGGCCGTCGTCCGACGGCTCGATGCGCTGGCTGGCGCTGCGGACGTTCTCCATCTCCGAGTCCGAGGCGTTGCGGAAGACCCCGAGCCGCTCCGTCGACTTGAACCGGTTCGGGAACAGGAAGCGGCGCTGGTTTGCTCCGGCAGCATTTGCCGCATTGCCGGAGGTGTTCAGCGACTGGCGCGAGCTCGACGACCGCAGCGCTCGCAGTCCCGAGATGCTGGCTTTCTTGGACAGCTGCTTGACGGCGTTGCCGAAGCCAGCGCTGTTGCTGCGGCCCAGTGTGCCGTTGGACGACGTGGTCGGCGACGGGACGCTCTCGACATCGGCAAGGTCGACTGAGGGCTGCGAGAGCGACTCGTCACTCGACGCGGCAGGTCCCGCCGGCATCTGGAAGGGAAGGTCGATGTCGAGCGAGTCCTGGATGTTGTTGGAGCGGCGGCGGCGCGACAGGTGTCCCTCGGCGACCTGGCCAACGGGCTGGACGGTCTCGTTGACCATCTGCGACCAGCGGTTGGTGTTGGGAATCTCCTGCTCCTGGCTGGGGAGATTGACACCCCAGGGCTCGTTGCTGACGACGCGCAGACGGACGCCTGTGGCGGAGGGCTTCTGGAGGATCTGTGATGGAGGTCGGGGACGGGAGGCTACAGGAGATGGAACATCGATAAGCCACTGTTTGTGGGGTCATAGGATTGTTACTTGTGCAAAGACACACTTACAAGAACTACTTTGAGGAGACATTGATGGCGCTTCAGGGGCCGGTGGCTTTGTCGAATGAATGTGGTGTTGAGATGTCAGAGATGTGTTTGGCTGTCAGTCAGCCTGCGAGCGATGGCTACCACATCGACACAAATGTGCCGTCGCGATGTCGCCGAGCACACCACTGTCGGCTCTGCCCGATTGACTTACCGCCAGAGGTGCCTTCTTGGTGATGCGCACGTCGATCTCGGGAAGCTGCGGCGGTGCATCCGAGGCAACCCGTCGGTGCCGTGACTCGGAGCCGTCGCGCGAGTATTCGGAGGCGGGGTTTGAGTCTGAAGTCTGTCGGAGCATGTCGAGGCTCTGCTGGGTGCGCTGCACCTCCGAGTCGGTGCTGTGGGTCAGCCGCGACGAGGCCCGAGAGAAGAACGACTCGTCGTCCGAGGACATGGACTGCAGCGACTTGCGCTTGTCAACACTCTGCGTGAGCTGGTTGAACTTGTAGAGGAGACGGGCACCGACTGTTGGAGCAGCCAGGGACGGCGTGTCGGAGGACAGAGTGCCGAGCATGCAAAGTAGAGCCGCACGAGCGGAGGGCAGAACGAGTCAGAAAGAGAGGCAGCATGCGGGCGGCAGGCCAGAATGGGCGACGGACGATACTGCGTGCCATGGACAGCAGCCGGTCGAGCACACTCGACACACCCAGCACTCACAGGAGCGGCGCTTGTTGGATGTGCTGTTGTCGCGGCCGAGGTTGACCGAGCGGTGGCTCTCCATCGAGCTGCGGGCCGAGGTGGGCGACGGCGGCGGCTGGTCTCGGGCGTCGGCCATGGCAAAGTAGCTCTGGTCGGCGAGAGGAGGCTTTTCGGCTTTTTCTGCAGTCAGGAGGCAGGCGGGAGGCAGGTGGGAGGCAGAGATGGTGGGATGATGGCAAGGTGATGAGTGGGTGTGTTGGCGGAAGGATACCTCCGAGCGACCGACGATGCTCTCCTGCAGACAATGTTATGTTTGTCCCGGCCCAGGCAGCGTTCAGCACTGCACCATTCGGCACCGATTCGGCACTGCACCCATCTGGCACCGATTCGGCGATGCCTCCCACACTGCATTCCGCACGGCATTCCGCACGGCGCCCGCCGCACCCAGCCAGGCACTCACTTGGGACAAACGTCGGCTTCAGGATCTTCCAGCTAAACTCCACAAAGTTCAGCAGCGCGTTGGCAAACAGCTGCGAGTTTGAGATCAGCGAGCTGTAGATGGCCCGGGCATCGTGCCACTTGCCGAGCTCGGGGTCCCACTCGCGCAGCTTGATGACGTCCCGGAGGATGCCCGAGGCGCCTTCCCACACCAGCACCGAGACCTTCTCGTACTCGGTCAGGGTCGTCTTGTCGGTCATGTTCTTGAGGATCTGGTCGTTGTGGGTGGTGATGATGGCCTCGATCAGCGACGTCAGGTAGATGGACGCCTGGATGATCTGGGCCACCAGCGGCGAGGCGTCGTCGCGGGAGCCGAGGGGCGTGCTGGGCCGCGAGTCCTTGGGATCCTTGGACGGCTTCTTGGGGGTCAGCAGGATGTACGGCGTCTGCAGCAGGATGTTGAGAACCTCGGTCTCGACGTGGGCAAAGGGATTGGCGCCCTTGGGCAGGGTCTGGGAGGAACGGCGGTGGGGAGGAACGGCGGTGGGGAGGAACGGCGGTGGGGAGGAACGGCGGTGGGGAGGAACGGCGGTGGGGAGGAACGGCGGTGGGGAGGAACGGCGGTGGGGAGGAACGGCGGTGGGGAGGAACGGCGGTGGGAGGAGCGGCGGTGAGGAGGTGAGCAACCGAGCATGGTCATGAGTGAGTGGGCGAACGAGAGCGAGGATGTGGGATCGCCGGAGCGACAGACGGTGCCAGCGGCAGATGTGTTGAAGCGGATGTGTTGAAGCAGATGTGTTGAAGCAGATGTGTTGAAGCAGATGTGTTGAAGCAGATGTGTTGAAGCAGATGTGTTGAAGCAGTGGATCCACCACCCCCAGCATCCACATCCACATCCACATCCACATCCACATCCACATCCACATCCACATCCACATCCACATCCACATCCACATCCACATCCACATCCACATCCACATCCACATCCACATCCACATCCACATCCACATCCACATCCACATCCACATCCACATCCACATCCACATCCACATCCACATCCACATCCACATCCACATCAGACTCACCTTCGAGTCCACGCTGTTGGCGTTGTTCTTGCCGCGGGTCCCGTTCAGGTGCACCTGGACATCGTCAAAGAGCTGGCGAGCGTCCATCCGCTGGATGATGCGCAGCGTCGCCAGGATCGGCTGGATCTCGGCGTGGGGCTGGAAATAGACGGCGTCGCCTGTCAGGGACTCGGGCGAGGCGTAGGTCGAGCCGGAGCCGGCAAAGGGGGCCAGCAGCGCCAGCGACGAGGCTGCGGTCGACGCCAGGGTCGACTGCTGGCGCAGGTACTCGACGGTGTTGACAATCCGGGACCATGTGTCGGTCGAGGTTTGGTATGGGGCTGCCAGCGGGCCGGTCGAGGGCCGCCGCTGATTGTCGCCCTGGAGGGTCTGCTTCCGCATTTCTGAGGAGAGACTCTCCCTGGAGCTGTGGGACGACTTTGACAAGAGTGTGGAGGATGAAGAGGACTTTGAGACCGACTTGGCGTATGAGGACGACGCAAAGCTCTTCAGCGATGAGAGCGAAGTCGAGGGGCTGAGGGTCCGAGGAGAAGATGCTTCTGACGAGGCCGCGGGAATAGAGGAGGGTATTGACAGCGAGGACTCTGTCGGCGCCAGGAATGAGGCGGAGTTCAGCGCGGCCTTGCGCACCAGGAGCTCCAGCAGGTCTTGCTGAGCAGCAGGGGTCAGGGTGTCGAACAGCTGCATGGTGTCCGAGATCCCCGCGTCGTAAACAAGCGCGGCGCGAGAGACCTTGCGCTTTTTTTGATGCAACATGTCGATGAGCATGGCTGTGGGGCGTGTGGTTCGGCGGGGTGGTTGTTTTTGTGGCGATGGATTTGGCGATGGATTTGGCGATGGATTTGGCAGTTGATTTAGCAATGAGATTCTGCGACTGGGCTGGCGCTTTGATGTGGCCAGATGGGAGCCTGAAATGTGGACTGTGGACTAGATTGAGAGACGGGAAAGGGGCCCTCAGCACTGATTTGAAATTTCAAAGGAAAGCAAGCGACGAAAAGTGCGAAACGAGAAAGGAGAGAAACGAAAAACAAAAGCAAGCAAACAATAGTCGACGAAGCAACTGTCTGGTGCCCGAGACAGGGATGGGGATGGACCGCAGAGATCTGCAGAGATCCGCGAGAGGGAGGGATGAGGGTGATGATGCTGCCTGGACTCGAGAGGGGGTTGGGTTCCCGCACGTTCTGGCAGAGGCCGCGGGTGCGATGGCCGGCCGATGCTGCATTTATCGGCTCGCCCGGCTTTCTCCTTTGCCTTCGCGTCGCGCATGGAGCCCTCGGACACCCCCCGGCGCCTTGTTGATGTGACACCCCGGCGGCCGCGTTGCAGCCAGAAAACGATCCCCCCCTCGTGTGACAGCCACCCTGTCCCACCCAACGCGCGCCGTCACGCGTCCGGTGGCCGCTGCGCACCTCTCCAAGTGACCCCTCGCCGATCCTTTCCTGGCCGTGCAGGGACAGGGCCTCCCGCAGACATGCTGCGAAATGCTCGCTCTGGGAGGTTTCGTGTTGGCTCTTGGGCGTCCGAAGCCGTCCGGGCTGCTTGTGCGGGCCGCTCGTCCTCGTCGGCCGCTGGCACGGATCTGTCCCCACCACCACCCAGCGCACCCCATCCCGGCCGGCCTCCTGCTCGGCAGCCAGCTGTTACTTTGTTGCTTTGGCTGCTCCTGTCCTTGGCGGGACGGGTGGACAGCGACGCAGAACCAATCGCCGTTGGACACCCACCGGGAGGCACTGCCGCTCAGGCTGACTCGAAGGCCACATGGGGCACAAGTGGCATTGAAAATGGCCCCTGCTTGACGTATTGCCGGAACTGGCCGAGGACTGCCGGATCAAACAGCGTCTGGACAGCGTTGTGGGCGACGACCGTTTGAGCGATGGCAAACCGCCATTCCTGCGAGCAGAGAGCAGAGAGCAAAGAGCAGACGAGCGGTGTGGGTCAGGGCTCGATGCACTCGGTGGGCTCGCCAAAGCGCATCATCTCTCACTCACCTTTCCGCTGTGGGAGGTGTCCATTGATCTGTCAAGCAGGAACGTGAGAAAGTCGGGATGCTGGCTCAGCTCCTGCCCGGCCAGCAAAGAAACACAGCCGGTTGGCTCTGGGTTAGCGTTGCCAGGCTCTGTCGTCGGGCTCTGTCTCCCCATGCCTGGCAGTGCCAGTCTCTTGTTGTCGAGGTCAAGCCGGCAGATCTTGTTTCGCAATCATGAGTCACCCTACCTCCAGCCCCCAGCGGTGGGCGGCAATGCTTTTTGTGAGTGCATAGGCCGGGATGCGTGTCTCGTCAAAAGCGCTCCGCAGGTCGGCCTGCAGTGTCTTGACCATGTCGAGCAAGGCCCGCACTTCTCGATAAACAGCATGGGTGCTGGCATCGTCGCTATGAATCCCATGAGAAAGGCGGGTGGCGAATCGGAATGGATCAGAACGGGCCGCATCGTCATCGACTGCGGATGGGTCTGAGTGTCTGTGGGTCCCTGGGTCTGGAGATCTTTCTCACTCTCCTTCCTTTCGATGCAGCCGAGCACGGAGCGTTCTCGTTTTCCAGCTGCTGAGCACGCAGACAGTGCTCCTCGGCGGAATGCACGGCCTTATAGTCTGCGGTATCCCGATTGTCAGCGGCAGCGACAGCGGCCCATCACCAACTGCAGGCGTTGGTTGCAGGTGTCGGCGGCCATCCTGACAACGAGCGACCCTCCTTCGGCGCCGACGCAGAGCCGATATGCACCAGGATCATCCGGTACTCTCGAGGACCCCCTCCTGCACAGGCCAGGCCAGGGGACCATGTGTCGTGCTTCTCGCCCTCCGCAAACCTGACCCCTCGCCGCAAGAGCTCCACTTACGTCGCCGAAAGTATGCATGACAGGGCCTTGATGCAATGGATCCGAAGTGAGCCGCTGGATCGCTTGACGGTGTACGCAAAGTTGCCGAGCAGCGACGGGCGAGCAACCAGCAGCCGGATGCCGGCCTCGGTGCTCACCGCATTGCCAAGAAAGACCACTGCCGATTCCTGCAGCTCAAGGCGATCGCAGTCAAGATACTTCTCGATCGAGTCCAGGAGCCGGTATTCGCTCTCGAACGACTCGATAAGATTCTCCTGGAACGATGCAGCACCGACGGGCAGCCCGAAAGGTCGTGTAGATAGGGTTTTCAATCGAGATGTGAGATGTGATTCGATATCCGGGAGATGCGATTCGATATCAGGGAGATGCGATTCGATCTCTTGAGAACGGAGCTGTATGGGCAAGGCAGACCCCGCAAGCATCACCCGCCCGTCAAGCTCTCAGATCATTACACCGGACGACAGTTTACCTGCTCCGCAGCAATTGCCGAGAAAAACTTCAAGATGGCCGACTTGAGCAGCACAGCATCAATGTCATCGAAATTGCCGTCCTGGACCGCCAAGGCCAGCCGTGCGAGCGCACCCGATCGTCGCAAAAAGACGAGAGAATGGCCCGCCATGGCCGTAAAGAGTTCCAGCACGGCCATCTGCGACAGAACATCATCCGAGCCCAGCTCCTCGATGAGCTGGAGCAGGACCCCGCTCTGGTTGATTCGCTCGTAGGCCTCCGACGAGACCGCCGAAAGCTGTGCGGCCAGGTCGTAGACACGGAACTTGATCGTCTCGCTGCACGTTAGCAATTGCTCAAAGGGCTCGGCAATGCATCCAAATAGCCTCTCGGATCCTTGGGGATGTGCGCAGATCTGCTTGGCGATGTGGTTTAAGCGACTGACTCAGACTCTTTGTCCAGACCCAATGGCGGCATATCTTCCAGCGCAGGCCACACAACCAGGACAATTTAGAACTCAGAGAGGGACGGGACAGACGATTACCTTGACCAGATAGCCGGCGATCTTGGAGGCAACTCGGAGCTCCGAGAACTCGAGCGAGTACAAAATCAGGGTCATGAGATCGACCGAAGGCAGGTATGGCTCCTGGGCCCCGGCCGCTGTTCTGTCAAAGAGAACCTCCAGCGCTTGGAGCACCAGAATCCGAACCGAGGCCTGGGGATGCTGGATGCCGGTGAGGAACAGAGCCTGGGTATTCGAATGCAGTCGATCAGCAGCGATACGGGCAAAAGTGGAGTGGAGGGGAGGCATTGGGCATCATAGCGCAACGATACCGTTCAACGATACCGTTCGATGGGAAGCAGATTGTCCGTGGTGGCTCGTTCGGGAGCCCAAGCAATTTTCAGATCGTCCCTCTCTGTACCTCAAACTGTGAGACGATCTGGTCGGTGCTCATGACATCCAGAAAGTGCGCAAGGATCTTGCAGATGTCGTCATGAAAGCCCGGCGAGCCCGACTGGCCCAGCAGATCCACGATCGGTCCGCTCGACAGACCCAGTTGGGCAGTGAGCTGGCGCTTGCGCTCAACGCCAGATGTTCCTGGTTCATCAGCAAGGGCAAGTGGTAGCAGATGTTGGAACGAGTTAACGGCGGCTCGATAATGGGGGGCGGCTCCGGTTTGGTGGCGATCGACTCATGGCAGGCGGAGGGAAAGTGCTCACCATCCAGAGCAGAGGCGATGGTGCGGATAGCATTGGCTAAGACATCGGGTTCAGGCGAGGAGGCGAGGACGACAGCAGCGGCCTCGTCGAGCGACATGGTGGCAGAGGGACTGAGGGTCATGGTGGAAGTCGAGAGATGGTGGACAGAGCCGGGGGGGGGGAGAATTGGCGGGGGCTGGGTCCTTGGCCGATTCGGAGCCAGAAAGCCAACCCAAGAGCCAGGGTGCCCTGGCTTCGTCGCGGATTTGTCCTGGCCCAAGCGGATGCTTGAAGCCATGGGCCCGGACAGAAACGACGGCGATACCGCCCACCAAGTGTCCGCCAGTAGCCGCACCCACCAGTGTCGAACCGTTCGGCTCACGACCAGTCCTTGGAGTCTTGGACGGACTCCATGCAGCAAACCAACACCATGAGACAGACTGATATGCAGAATACTGATTTCATGAACCAGGCTGATTCCGTGGGACGAACACCCAGGGCGATGATGACCCACTTGATCGCTGTTGGCCAAGTATGATATGATCCGACCACGGCGTGCTAAGTCCGAAAGAAACGGTGTGTTCTAACACGCTGAATCTGCTTGTATTGGTACACTACAACTTGCGAGGACGGCTCGCCGGCCCCAAGACCCCAAGATTCCCCGACATTGGCCGGATGCCCAGTCCCAGGCCGTACCGGCCCTGTCCAAAGGCCGGATATGAAAAGGCACCGGAGCCGGAGCCGGAGCCGGAGCCAGGGGACTGCGACAGGTGAGCAGCACCATTGACGTCGTTGCTTCCGGGCTTCCGGGCTGCCGCATCCGCGGCGTCGCTGTTGCTAGAGATGACTTGCTCCTTGTCGTCGTCGTCGTCGTCGTCGTCGTCGGTCTGATCAATGCTGATGTCATCGATCATGTCAATATCGCTGTCGGCATCGGGGACAGCGGCGGGGGTATCTGCTTCAAGAGGTCGTGCTGTGTGCGTGAGATGGATGGTATCGCCGCGAGGATCCAGGAGGGGCGACTCAAACGCCACGTCGGATCTGTCGGTTTGAACTGCTTGCTCGGTGGTCGTAAGCCCGGCGGGCAACGCAAGCGGTACCGGTTGTCCGCCTTTGAGAGCATCGCCGTCGTCATCGATCTCATCGTGGTTGCCCTGAGCAGCGGACTCGGGCTCATGAGTCGGCAGAGGCTTCTCACTCCCCAGAGACCGAGGACGAGGCGAGGTATCCGGTCGAACCAGAGGAGCGAGCCCAGTTTCATGAGGAGGCGGGTCGGTTCCTTGGGCCGCCCGGGTCAAACGCAATGAGGGATGTTCTGACTGTACTTGTGCCTGAGCTGGTGCTGAGGAAGCAAGCTCGGCCGCATTCGGCGGCGGCCGTCGCCACTGCAGGAGTCCCGGCGGACCGGTGTCGTCCATGGATACTGAGTTGACCGGGGAGAGACCGTCTCCAAACGAGCCAGGGCCGAGGCCACCGGGATCGGCGGGATAGGGACCGATCTCATTGTCGTCGCGGGAGGCGACAGCGTTTTGGAAGCACTTTGACCAGGCAATGCGCTGCTTCTGGCTCGAGGCGCTCTGATGGTGATCTGCGAGGGGCAAGAACAAGTACCCATTAGTTTCAGCAGTGCCGATCCATGAAAGCAACAACAACGCCAGGGACGGGAGGAGGAAGAGCAGCAGATATCGGCTGTGCCTGGATGTCCAGACACCAAGGTTCAGGCCCCAGAAGAGACAACATACCATCCCGCAGATCCGGTCCCAGCTCCGGACCCGTGATGAGCGATATCTCGCATTGGTCGATCAGACGGTTGACCGTCAGACAGATGCGCTCCAGCGACTCGCTCATCTGCCTGGCCCGCTCCATTTCCTCCTGGACGATCTGAAAGAGCGGATATTCGCCGCTGTCCTGCGCGGGTGCCAGCCTGAGGTACTCGTCCCAAGACTCTGGATGCGCCTCGGCGACAGATTTGAGGTGGCTCCACGAGAGATTGGTTTGGGTTTCCGCAGTCTGGTGCGCTGGCAGGGGCTCGAGGTGGACGAGTGTATCGTCGTCGGTGCCTGTGGATTCATCGACCGAGGGTGCTATCGAAGCCGGAGCCGGGGCAAGCTATTCCGGGAGCATCGAACAGAGCGCATAGTAGAATTGAGCAAAGGAAGGGGAGGGAGTTAAGAAAGCTGGTCCCAAGGGACCGAGAGAGTTGTGATTCAGGTCAGCGAGATGTGGACATCAGCATCATCGCCAGGCAAATGATAGCCGGAGATAGGGGTGGTAACCGATGCATTCGGAATGCATGCGCCAGGTAACGACCATTGGCCATTCCAGCGTGCAGGAGGAGTCAGCGTCGCTTGCCTCGACAGGATGCTGGTGCCTTTTCTTGAGGGAGAAGGGGCCGAAGCTCGTCCGCTTGGACTGTTTCTGTCCCGACCGAGAGGAGAATGGCAGGGGCGGCGTCGACAGAGACATTGCTGCTGCATAGGTGGTTCGAGAGCAAGTGGGAGGGTGAGGGTGAGAGAGAGAGAGAGAGGCAGAAAGGGGAAGCCAGATGAAGGATGCGAGCAAGCCTCCCAGAGGAAGAGAGAACTGCAGTCCCCTCCTCAAAAACGGGGTGAAATGGGGCAAGCCTGATTTCGAGGCGATTGGCAACTTTGTTCATGCCCCTCCCCCCTCCTCGAACATGGCCAAACCTTACAGCGGCCGACTTTACTATAAGCCAACCTCGCCAACCTCGCCAAGACGAAAGGGGGATGAGTCGCCGTTCGGATATATTATCAAATCGCTCGCACTCGGAGTGCGGCGCTGACCTCGGACAGGAACTTCAGACCATATTCACTTTCCTGGGTAGAACCTTGTATACCAGCAGCAACACCATTGTTTCGAGCGCAAGTACAGAGAGAATTGCTGATCGCTGAAGAGCCATGCCTAGATTCACATAGATTTTGATGACTGCCAGGCTGCTGATAAAGATGGCTGTAAAGACAACCCTGGGTGGCAATCGACAGGTCATCAACAACATGGTCCGGCCAAGTGGGATTGTGGTCCGGCAAGAAAGTCGGTGCAGCGAGCCCGGCCCTGAAGTCGGCCCAGAAACCAAGTACAAAACGCAGACATACCAAAGAACAATTTGGGCGTAGAGCAAGCGATGGGCAAGGAGCGAGATTTCGGCCTTGGTCAGGTATTGGCTATCGCACTTGCTCTCGGTCTGTTGAGGCTTGACATCGTCGTTGAAGGGCAGCTCGCCAATGAGTTTTGGCGGACTCAAGGCTGCCAGCAGCTTATCGAGGCGAACCAGGATACCGAATGTGAGGGCAAAGACTGATCCAGCGTAGATGAGCGACAGCAAAGCCTGGAACGCTGGTCGCCACGAATACAGTAACGGGAATTGTGTCGAGGCCATAAAGGCAACGAGAACCGCTGCCCAGACAACGTAGAAGATGTAATCCTGCATCGATTGTGACGGTGGATGCAGAAGGCAGTCAGCACCATCCTGGGCGAAGCAGAGGAGCTGAGAGGACGAATGTGCTTTCGGAGACTTTGAGAATGACTGCCGATATAGCCGCTTACACACACCGACCGCTTACACCACGATGCTCATCAACTTGTCCTACCAGTATCGTTGCATATCCCAGAATGTGTCTGATGTTTCGCAGCCTTGAGTGAATCACAAAGGTAGAAACGCCAACCGAGATGCCCAGCATTGCGTTGTAGATGCGCGAGATGTTGTTGATTTTTTGTGTCTGAAGTAACAGCGTCCGTGAGTGAATCGTCGTTTTGGATGGTTCGGCGAGTGGTAAGCCATGTGCAAGGGTCTGGAAGGCTATGATGCAGCTTCATCAAAGGTGCTGCTCTGAAGCAAGACACAATCCAGACGCAGCCCGATTCCACCGAGCAAAATCTGGATCTGTCAGTGGCTATTGGACCACGCAGTCTTGTGGAGATGGGCTACGACTCAGTCGCGGGGCGTGGAACAGGAACAGACACGAATCGGCCGAACGAACGAGCAGACGCACCAGGTCCGGATCCGAGTCGCCGTTGAGGGATTGCATTTGCGATTCGACGTTGTAGCTCTCGAGCACAATGAAGAGCGTTTGGGTCTAGAGGGACGGGCGGCGGTCAAAGTAGTTAGGTGGAAGGATGCTCGGGGCCGGACCAGTGTGTGGAGCCAGATCAGTCAGCATTGCGATCAACGAACCACCCAAACGACAAAGAGGATGGCCCAGTTGAATACCGTCCGGCCGGCCGCCGCGGTAACTCGTAGCGCGATGAAGTACATGTTGTATATATGGTTGACCCCGGCTATGCCCAGGGCCACGTACTGGACGATCACGCTTGTCGTGATGTCGATGTCCTGAAACATGGCGGGCCGTTGGTTACGAGAGCAAGGAGCGCAACAAGCCGCCAGCGAGAGCTACCCCGTTCGGTCGGATGTGGCCATCATCCACAACGATGCTGTACAGATGTGCGCCGGAGGAGGTTTGCTGAGAATGGGAGCACTGCCTTGAATTGCCGCCCCCCTCCTCGATTGGCAGAGTCTGGTCGGTGACATCACCCGCCCAGATTGGGATGGGAAATCCAGACCAACATGTGAATGGGTTGGACTTGCGGCAGAGCGACATGCCGGTTGAGATACAGGACGTCCAGAGGGAACACATCATCCAACGGCAGTGGTCGATGTGCACATCGATGTGCACTCGTTCTTTGCACACCCCATTGATCTTTGCACACCCCATCGATCTTTGTACACCCCATCGTTCATTGCACACCACATCGTTTCGAACACACCGTAATTGGATCCACCCAACCGCACACCGACTTCTCGCCTCGATCCGCCACCGCCGCCAAGCCCTTGTCTCCCGCCGGCCGGGGCCCCTTGTCGCCCTTGTCCCCAGGCCGTTTCGTCCACTCGATCGTCCGCCCATTCATTCCGTTCCCCCGCCTTATTTTTCAAGAGCTCGGTCCACCCCCCGCCTCCAGCGATCCGTTTTCTTCCCACCGACCCATCGCCCCAGCCTTCGTCTCTCGTCCTTCGCCCCCCTCCTCATCTCGTCGCTGCTGCCATCGCTACTCCGTTCGTCCGTCATGTCTGGCTACACCCTCGTCGACACCTTCCCCTCTGGCTCGGGCTTCTTCGATCGCTTCACCTTCCTCAACGGCCGCACCAACGGCGAGGACGACTTTGCCCTGTACCAGAGCCGCGCCAATGCCACTATGCTCGGGCTCATCTCCAGCGACCCAAACTCGCCCACGATCATCCGGGTCGACAACTCTTCGGTCCTGGCCGCCGATGCCATTGGCCGCCCCAGCATCCGCATCCACTCGATCCAGACCGTCACCACGGGTCTGTACGTCTTCGACATTGGCCATGTCCCCGTTGCCTGCGGCACCTGGCCTGCTCTGTGGTTCAAAAAGACCTCTGTCCAAGACCCCACTGCCACCGAGATCGACGTTTACGAGACCATCGACTTCCGAAAGACCAACGGCATCGGCTTCTATTCCAACGGCAATTGCTCGGCCTCGACCCAGTCCAGCCAGCTCCTCAACCTCACCCAGACCACTCTCAACTGTGGAATCGACCCCAAGAACCGCGCCGCCCTCAGCGGATGCAACTACAATGACCTGCCTATCAGCTCCGCCGGCACCGGCTTCAACCAGCAGGGCGGCGGTGTCTACGCCATGGAAATGACGTCCAACTACATGAACTATTACTACTGGCCCCGCTCACAGATCCCCAGCGATCTCACCAGCGGAAACCCCAACCCCTCCGGCTGGGGCAAGCCCTATATCAACTTCCAGTTTGACTGCTGCTCCCCGGATCTGTTCCAGGGCCTGAACTTGATCATCAACACCAATATCTGCGGCGAGTGGGCCGGCACCGCCAAGGATGCCGAATGCGCCAGCCTCTGGTCGGGCGAAAAGGCCTGCAACAGCTACATCGCCGCCCACCCCGAGACCCTGAGCGAGGCCTACTGGGCCTTCAACTCGGTCAAGATCTACCAAAAGGCCCAGGACCCCTTTGCTCCCAACCCGTCCGTCACCTGCCCCGCCGGCTCTGTCGTCACCGCGACCTTGAAGCAGTCCTCGATCGTTCCACCGACCCCTGCTGCCACCCGCCTCGCTACCACCGTCATCCCCATCATAGCCTCGTCCCGGACCATCGGCATGATGACCACTGTCGTGCCCGTCAAGAGCACCAGCAAAAGCGCCGCTGCCTCGCTGGCCCCAGCCCAGAGCTCCATGCTCGTTGGCGCCCTTCTGTTCTGGATGCTGCTGCGAAGGCTCTTCTAAGGCCGGACACGGCCATATTTGGCTGTCGAGTCTTGCTTGGCGGTAGAGGCGACTGCAGTTCATCTGATCGGCGCCGTTGGCCATCCAAGAGGCCGGACACACAACTCAAGATCTATGCTATTTGGGCTTCATCATGTCCCCCTCATTTACTTTTGCATATTCTCGTTCCAATGCGATTCTGCTTTTCTCTTTCTGCTTTGTTTCCCCCCCCCCAAACATCAAGTTAGGTCCGTCTCGGTTGACTCCGAGCCTCCTAACCCGCTCAAAATTGCATCGCGAGCGTATAGTGCACATTGAATCCGCATATGTTCCATTCCGCAATACTAGCTGCACTCTCATTGAGATATAGAATTCCTTTGAATAAAAGCAACCTTCGTTTCATATGAACCCTGTCTATCTCGACCAACTTGCCAATGCCATGTTTCAGTTTCGCACGATCTCGCTGAGATATGGCTCATGGCATGAAAGGACACGGCATGACATGACATGACATGACATGGCATGAAATGGGTGGCCATTGATGCCGACGGTCAAAGCAGATGTATTCAGAGGCCAGAAGCAGGTTGCCGTAGACCACAATTGCATCCACATACGCGGCCGTGCGAGGGCAGGCGGAGGAGGACGAGGACGAGGACGAGGGAGGCTTCGGCCAGCCGAATGCAGCACACGGAGCTGCTGTGGATCATAGCTGGCTGTCCTTGGCCAAGTCTCCCACCAACTCGAGCGAGCCGCAGCTACTGCCATCTTCGTCGCCAAGCTCCGCCTCCGCGCCGTGTTCATCCGACAGCGGCTCTTGCTCCTCGCCGGCATTGCCGTCGGCGGGCTCATCACTGCCGTAGTTAATGTACCTGTCGTGCCCGAGCTTGCGCGAGGTGAAGTTTCGCTCTGGGTTGCGGCGGTAGTAGCTCTGGATGACATCAAAGTTGACCTTGAAATAGAATAGGAGGTTGTCGTAGCGGCCATCGTACGGCCCAGCCGTGGACTCGAGAAAGGCTGAGTAGTAGTCGCGGTAAAAGTAGTAGATGGCCTCGATGGTAGCTAGATGGAAGTCGTCGTGCGGCTGGTATCGCCAGAAGAGCGTCTTGCGGGCAGCGATTCGCACCGGACGGAATCCGCACCCCGAAAGCACATTGGCCATGTTTCTGCTCTGCTTCCAGGTTCCATCGATGACCACAAGCTTGTCGAACGAGCCAGGCTCGACTTGGTCCAGGGTGACTGAATCCTGAAGGGTTGAGTTGTTGTTATCAGCAAGAGAGACAAGTACATCTGAACCAAACCTTGGACATGAAGGCCGTCGTTTCAAAGTGCACGACGAGTGCGAGCCGTCGCTCTCCATGACGAAAGCCGAATCATGAATCTGCAGTCCCGTCCAGAAAGGACGTGGCGGACTGTCTCTGTGATGCCAGAGTTGGAGGCTAGTCCGATTAGGAGCCTCGGCCCGACGATCGGTGCGACGAGCTTTGATGCCATGGCGATGGAAGAATATGCCTACCCATGAGGGATACAGGAGCAGCACCCGTTTTGGGTCTGGGTAGCGCTGGGCCAGGGATTTATGGTCGCCCTTGGCGAGCCGGTCGACATAGATCTCGGTTTGGTCGTCAGCGACAAGCTTTGCGTGGGTCGACGTCGTTTTGCCAATCAGTTCCGAAGGATGGCGGTAACTGGATGGGATCGCCGAGGATGAGGATGAGGATGAGGATGAGGATGAGGATGAGGATGAGGATGAGGATGAGGATGAGGATGAGGATGAGGATGAGGATGGTAAATGAGCAGGCAGCCTGCTCCAAACACACTTTTGTCAACGACATGGGCCAGGGCGGTCACAGGGACATACATATCCAGGCTCACAGGCAGATCGACATGTGGAGGTGTGTGGCCCAAGGGGACGTTGCACTTTGGGCAGATCAGCTTGAAGCTGCGGAGACAGTTGCCGCACTTGAAGCGGCCGCCAAGAGCCACATCGTGGGCCGAGTCGATTTTGAACTGGTCAAAGGGCGATGCCTCTGGCAGGTCCAGAGATCCCGCTGGGAGGGCCCATGGACAGTGGCATCAGTCGAAATGGCCCGGAGCATTGCCTGGCGAGGCTCTGATACAGGCACGACCAGGACTCCAACCGTGGGACGTGCAATTGGCCGAGGTGATCATGCTGCCCACACTCGATTGTGCCCTGGAATACTGCTCAGAGTTCATCTTCCTTCGTACCTGTGTTGCATTCCAATGCAATCGATTCAGTGACGCCATGGCTGTCGGCAAGGATGTCCGAGTCCAGACTCAGACCGAGAGCATCGATTTCGTTGCTTGGATCGGCTTATATACGGGAACATGGACAGTCGAGACAGTCGAGATAGTCGAGAGAGGCATCAGGAGCAGCGCCGGAGCTGGAGCACGGTTGTGTGGCCACCAAAGATGCGCGAGCGGATGCGAACGACGCTGGGGATCGAGAAGCACACATCGGCATGCGGGCTATGGAGTGCGAACGGGAGGCAGCATACCGCTGTGAGACATGGCTGGCGCAGACGGTTGTGGAGGGGCCGGTGTGTTCGCGATGAGTACCCGAGGCGATCAAACCTCAGCGGATCGGAGCAATCGATTCGCAGCGCCGGCGAAACGATTCCCAGAGCCCAAAAAAAACGCTCGCTCTGCCACCGACGCCGCCGATTGGCCGGCTGTGTGGGCGTGACTCCCACATGACTGGCCATGCCCAAGAAACCGCTTCGGTTTTCTGGGCCGGTTGCCGCGGGCGGCCCTTGTCGCCGGAACTGTCCATCTCGCCCCACCCGCATCCCCGAGCCCGGCATGCCCAGCGACTACGTTCCGCCGCCCCAGGTTGTGGTTCTGCCCACCACGAACGAGCTCAAGGCCCTCCTGGCTATCATCCGCTGTCGCGAAACCAACCGGGGCGATTTCATTTTCTACAGTAGGCGCAACGAGCATCTCTGCTGCCGGCGGCTCAGAATCGGGCCGATGGATGCTCCGGGCTCGTCGGTCCTGGGACTATCGCATGCATACGTGGCTTGGTCCCGGCGCTCCTCACGCTGTATTTTACGGCCCCACAGGTGACCGCATCATTCGCCTGCTGGTCGAAGAAGGTGGGTCGCAAATATACCCTTGCCCAGACAGCGCTGATCGCTTTGCCTCCATGAGTGTCCGTCGGAGAGATTGTCTATCCTCGCCTGATCCTCCACCAAGCGCATGCCTCTTCGCCAGCCAATAGCCGCCCACTGACCTGGCGATCTCGTTTGTTTCGTCGACGCTAACAACCTCTGTCTCCGCAATGGGCTTTCAGCGCTGAACCACCTGCCATTCGTCCCAAAAATCGTCAAGACCCCAACAGGTGACTGCTCTGGACGCCGCAGATGTTCGCCACGAGTTTCGATTCGGATGGCCCTGTTTAGCGCGGCCGCAACAACACCGTGCTCGGGTCTTCGTATGCAAGCCACCCAGCCACCAGCCTTGGATGGTGCATCGGCAGCCCCGAAACCATGACCCCCGGGGAATCGCCTCAGCAACGGAACCTCACTCTGGCCGCCGCGTCGCTTCTTCCATTCGCTCGCTTTGTCTGAAGGCTCGGATTACCATGGCCTGGCGTTCAAGCAAAAGATCTGCGGTGTTTCAATCATGAGAGCCGGCGAGGCCATGGAGCAGGGCCTCCGCGACTGCTGTCGGTAGGCAGTGCATGCCGTTCGGGCGCTGGACCCGCAAGGACGCCGTGAACCCCCCCCCACACCGCATCTGCGACAACCAGCCGCCCAAGACCCCGCTGCTGACGCGTCTCCGGTTCCCCAGGAGCGTCCGCATCGGCAAGATCCTGATTCAGAGAGACGAAGAGACTGCTCTGCCTAAAGTGAGCGAGATCGACCAGCTTGGCACCGTCCCGTTGCTCTATCGTCGCCAAAAGTGTCGCCTCCTCATCGTGCTCGCCTGACACCATCCTGTCTGCGTTTCGATAGCTGTTTTACTCAAAGTTGCCTCCAGATATCAGCGAGCGCTACTGCCTCCTTCTCGACCCCATGCTTGGTAGGGGATGGTGGGATTGTTCCTTGTTTTCACCAGTTGCGTCGCCAACCAGGGCTCGACGTCCGAAACGTTCTGACAACGGCTGTGTCGCGATCACTGTCCAGCCACAGGAGGATCCGCCATCAAGGCCATCGAGGTTCTGCTGGAGACCGGCGTCCCGCAGGAGCGCATCATCTTTGTGAACCTGCTCTGCGCGCCCGAAGGAATCGCCAAGGTGCTCGCGGCCTATCCCAAGCTCAAGATTGTGACTGCCGAGATCGACGACGGTCTGGACGAGCACAAGTACATCATCCCAGGGCTGGGAGACTTTGGCTGGTGAGACGGATGTGCTGCTTCACCCCCCCCCTCCATCTCCTGTGCTCGAGATGATTGTCCATGCAGTCGCTGCAAGTGCTTTGAGCATGACCATTGGCCGCTCTGCCACCGGACCTGAGATCGATGCGCCACTCCAGCCAGCCGATTTGACTATTGTTCTGAACCGCTGCTCTCGACTCTATCCCATCGACTCCAATCGTTGATCTCGCCACCCGCCGGCCAATCCTCAACAACTCCAGCCGCTACTTTGGCACTGATGCCCCCTGAGCGTCTCACTGCACGGGGCTCCTCCTACGCGCTCGACTTGGCCAGAGCAACCCCGATCCTGGGAACTTGTCCTTGCATGATGGTTGTGGAAGGAGAATATGGGTTTGGCTGAAATCGAATATTGAATAAAGCACATGCGATATCCACACATCTCACGCGCCGCATTGGCACTGAAGCCCGAGCGAAGACAAGCCACAACTCGGGCTGTGATCTGCACCGACGGCGTCGCATGTGCCAATCGAGGCGACGTATGCTCCCATTCGAAGAATCGTCCAGGAAATTATCCAACAATCGATTTGGATATCAGAATCTGCACCAGCCAAGTTAACGAGCCGGATGGCACAGGCGGAAGAGAGACATAGAGGTGAGTTCGACCGGCAACAATGAGCCCGGCATTGTTCACGGTTGCGAGCAGGACACAGGCGGCCGAAAGCCCACGCAACAGACACAGCATCCGCGATTTGCACAGAGTGTAACGCACCAGCCAGGCAATGATGAAGTAGAACAAGATCATGGGATAGAGAGCCAGCGCACGGCGGTTGCTCAGATTCAGGTCGCCCAGAAAGCCGACAGATGCTATTCATGGTGATTCCGGTTGGGCCAGAAGGATAGACTAGTCAGCTTTGAATTCTTTAGCACTAGTTCCCCTCCCGCCACAGACACTGCAGGGGCTATGCGCTGCACTTACCATAGCACGACCAGACAAAGGCAAGCCCAGTCAGGATGGCCCGGATCAAGAAATACGGCAGAAAGAGCGATGCAATCGAGCCAGCCACCAGCGGGAAGATGCAGTATCCCAGAACGCAGACGCTCTGGAAAAACGAGCTGTATCGCCCGAGCGGAGTGAGGACACGGGTGAGTGCATGCGTGGGCAAGTGAGTGCATGCGTGTGAGAGCCAGATAATCAGAGCACCAATGGTCATCGATCAGCAGGGCGCTATGGCATGAACTCGTCCTCAACGATCGATCCATCGCTTGTCTGCTATCCACACATTGTCATGACGGCGCGCAGTGTACGTCCCAAAGAACTTACAGTTTGCCGCCCAGGAGCTTGGAGTTGAGCGTGACGACGCCGGCACCGCACCAGATGATCACAAAGATACCAGTGAATACCGTCGCAGATTGCTCCTTGGGGGCCGTGAGGCTCAGGCGGCTTTACCAAAACGAGATGCGAGGATGGTTATCGATTGGGCCGCCGATAATTCAAAGAGCCAGCGCCGCCCTGTATCACGCCCGATATCCGCCCACCGCACAATCGCGGGATACTACGCGGCCCCACAGTGTCGAAAGCCGAGCCGAGCCGAGCCGAAGATCCGATTGCAGGTAGGAGACCGTCGCTGTGTCGGTCAGCGTCGCACTTACATCGAAAGGACCAGGCACAAGAGCAGCGGGCCCCAGAGATCCCCTGGAGAGTGGAGCGAGACCCATGGTCAGCGGTCCGATCAACGAAGCAAAGAGGCGGCTGCAGATGGATTCGCGTCTGTTTCAGATGCGGCTCGAACTCACAGTCTCGGAGAATGTTGGCATTGGCCTTGTGCGGAACAATCACCAGTTTCATTTTCTCCCAGATGTTCTTGAGATCGCGCATCTGATGGCCAACGGAGGCGAGAGCCACAGCAAGTGCATCGGCGGATGTTGTTAGCGACCTTGCCTGTCAGTGCATCACAGTTCCATACGGTCTCGATCATGTGGCAAGATGGCGAAGATTGACCCGACAACGGGACATAGTCCGTCGACACTTGGATATCTGCCTTGCCGCAGCGAGACACAGGGCCGTCCAGAATACTGGCGGGCAGCAAGCCAAAGTCGTTCCGAGGGACTGGCCAGGGCTCTACTGCGACCTCGTCATTATACTATGTCGCTGGATCCGACGAGCCGCTCTGGGCGCTCAAGCAGCTACAGCAGCTGCCCTTGGCCCTTGGCGGCCGATGCGTGCCAGTCGAGCTGCCGAGACCTTTGGGCCTGATGTTTCGAGAGAAGGCAGAGAGGCTGGCTCCCGACAGACCTCTCGAAGACGCCAGAGGACAATCAAAGTGACCGGCAGAGCAATCAGTAGCCACAGTAGCACTTACGATGGTAACGGATACGGGCTCGTCAAGGGTGTCTTCGTTGACCCTGGAGGTCTGCCCGGCGCCGCCGTAGCTTCCGCTGCTGCCGGCGGTTGGATTTTGGCCAATTCGGCCCTCAAGCGAGTCTGAGACCTGGATCGTTACGGAGGCCGCTGCGAGATCATCGTTGCCGTAGCTCGGCGCCTGTGTCGGAACAGAGGAGTACGAGGCCATCGTCTTGGGCGGCAGGCGGAGGGCGAGTAAGATGCAGGGCAAGCCGGCAGGTGGATGGAGGCAAAAGGGCTGGGCGGAGCGCGCCAGGTCGTTCCTTGGCGAGCCCTCGCGGCTGCTCGTCTCGAATATGAATACACGCTGTAGACCAAAGGTGCAGCAAAAGTTGGAATGGATCCGCGGTCGGTTGACGGACGGTGTCAACAACCAGGATCGTCTCTGGCGCAGTTGCTTCAAGCTGCGTAGCTCCCTCTTCCGTGACCGGGATATCAATCACAAGCTGTTCAACTACGAGATCAGCACCGATGGCATTGGATGCACCATCGGTCTCGTCAAGTTTGTGCCTCGAACCGATCGCACCGAGACCTCCGAGCCTCCTCCGACTGCCGAGCAGCGCATCCAGGCCCACATCGGCGACCCAGACCCCAACCGTACCACTTGGATTGGCATCGATCCTGGAGTCGGCTCCATCTTCACGGCGGCCATCCAAGCACCGGGCCAACAAGACGAGGTGGTCTCATTCTCCAATGGTCACTATCAGCACATGTATGGCCACAAGTCCAACACCAAGTGGCACAATGCCAAGAAGAAGCAACTCGGCATCGAGACCTGGATGTCGACCACCCCCTCGCCCAAGGTGCAGTCCTCGGAGGCCTTCAAGGTCCATCTCACCCATGTCCTGCGACCGGAGCTGCGAGTGCAGCTCGACTTTCACCTTGGCAAGAAGGCCCGTCACCATCGCTTCACGGGCCACAAGAGGCGCCAAGTGGCCGTCGACAGGATGTGCAAGGCCGTCCTGAAGCACGCCCCGAGGGAGAAGGATGTGGTGATCGCCTTTGGCAATGCATCATGGCGACAGGGCAAGGGCTATGCATCCAGCCCTCGGAGGCAGCGGTTTGCTCGGTACTTTGAGCAGTTCGAGCACCACCGACGCCGTCCCAATCACCATCATGGAAGCGTCAAGGTAGTCTCGACGAACGAGTTCAACACCTCGCAGGTGTGCTCCAAGTGCCTGGAGCCAGTTCGGTTGGAAGGACTCGATGCGCCCAGTGTTGCGAATTCCCACTTTGTCAGGAGCTGCAAGAATCCCAGCTGCCGGACAGTGTGGAATCGCGACGTCAATGCGGCGCGCAACATGATCACAGTGTGCAGGTCGATTGTGGAGACCGGAGGGCGACCGGCGGTCTTCACTCGGAGGCTGCCAAAGTGATCTGTTATATTTCTTATGGCATAGTTAGACGCATGCCATCACATACTACGCTATCAATTGCGGGTTTCCCGTTGTCAGGGCCGATATTAATAGTTTAGTGCAGGTCGATTGCCCTCCCAGCAACCGACGAGCAGCCCAGCTCATTGCATGGGCGATCCAGAGGATGCGGCTCTCGCTCGCAGGCGGCCACTGGCATCATGGTCGCAGTGCGCCCAGACAAATGCAATCGAGTATACCGGAGAGAGCAGCCCACTGGTTCTTGCATGCACATCGATGGCCAGGGCCAACCTCATCACACTCGCCCAAGGACCGAGCTGTTGCTCAATCATCACAGCCCACACCGTGGACAGAGCGTTGCTAACAGATGCGGATGGGGTGTCGCGACCCATCGCCGGTGTGAATGCAGCCAAGAAAGACGACTGCAGGGAGTGCAGATCGAAGATCACATCGTATCGGTCGTCCGTGTTCAAATCGAATTGGATGTCTGTTTGGCTACATCGCTGGTGGCAAGCAGTCGTTGGCGACAGACCGGTGGAGGATCGGCGGGCCACTCAGAATGTGCATGCAGACATTTGTTGTTCGTCCCAGGGTTGTGTCGATCGTCAGGGCCTGGTCATTCACTGTCGGTATTCTTCGAGGATAGATGCCATTCGACGACCTCGGTGTCAAACAACAACGTCTCTGGCTGTCCACAGGCTCATATCAAAACAGCCGCTGCAAATCAAACACGCCTCTGGTCTTCGGGCCACCATATCCAGACTTTCGATCGGGTCAGTCGCTGGTCTGGAGCTTGATCTTTTTCGCTTCCGTATCGGCACGCTCCTCTGCCTCGTCGTCGCTCTGGTTGGCTTTGGCATCTTGGGCGCCGTTGCCTTCGTCTTGACTCTTTCCGGTCTGCTTCTGCTTGTGGCGCTGATTCTGCTTGCGTCTGTTTCGCTTCTCTCGGTTCTTGGCCGTCTTTTCGTCTTCTTTCTGTCGGATGGAGTCCCATTGTTCGTGAAACTCTTTATTCTCCAGCTCCTGTGTCGTCGAGAGAAGGAGTCGAGGATCGAATCGGTCAAGAATGGGGTCGGATTGATACGGAACGGGGCCAGATCGCTCGGCGGTCAGGCTCGGTCGCATTCGATAGGATACACTTTGGAAGAGCCGCTCCTTCAGACCATGCATTTCTCACCCACCTGTCGCTCCTTCTCGTCGAGAAGCTTCATCCGAAACTGCTCCTTTCTTCGCAACGCTCGGTAGACATGGAATTCGCCACTGCCTGCACCGGCGCTGGATCCTGGGTGGCAGATGCGGTTCAAATATATGCGTGAGCGATCCCGCTGGCCTCATCCGATCCATAGATCTTTGTGTCTGGTACCAGAATGCGCCGTGCAGCATCGATCGCTTGGGGATTGTGGAGAGGGGCATCGTTACCGGTGACGTTTCTGACAAAGTCCTTGGGGCCCTTGTATTCCTTTTCTTTGGAAACTTTGATCTCAATGTCCCTATCGACCCGCTTCATCAGCCTCTCGATCTGATCCTTCTGGGCGTCGACGGCGCTCTTGGCTTTGTAGCCGCCGGTGCCCTCAGCGTCGTTTTCTGTGGCTGTCGACATGCGGTGAGACGGCTCTGGGGGGGGGGTGCTTGGAAGAGTGTGAGCAGCAGGGGCAGGTTGATCAGCAGAGGCAGCGGTTGATGGATCGGATTCGATGTGCAGGCGTCGCCGAGGCCAAAGTCGGATTTTGGAGGCCGCTGTGGATGCTGGCGCTTTCTCGCCAATCTCGCTCGGCTTCCCGTCCTCCTCCCAGGACCAACCCAGGACCGGCCATGAGCGGCCTGCTCGGACTCGCATACAACAGCGACAGCGACAGCGACGACGACGGCCGGCCACGGAGCCCCAAGAGTGAGTATCGCTGCCGTGTCCAGCTTGCAGTCAAACATGAGGCCGCCGCTGATGGCTCTGCCCTCTCGAATGCACAGCGCTCGGGGGACTGGTTGACTATTCAGACGCCGAAGATGCCGAGGTCGCCGAAGATGCTGAAGATGCCAAAGATGCCGATGATACCAAAGATGCCGATGGTGGCGGGCATCAAGCCAGGGCACCATTGCCAGTAGGTGGAATGCATCAAAATCGACCGATCTTGCTGCCATTGGGTCGATCTCGGTGCAGTCACGTCGAGATCTCAAGCATCATGCCTCTCCCTCCCCCGACACCGGCTCGTCTGGGTGGACTTGATGGCCAGCTGGTGTCTGTCGAGTGAGGCCGCTGAATGAGGATCCCACTCAATCCCTCATCTCTGGCTTGCTGCGTATATGCCTGTCCGATGCGTGCTGATTTGATTCAATACTTTTCCATCGACAGATGCACGATGGTCTGAGTTTGTTCCCGATTTCGTCCTTCATTGGCTCGTTGATATCCAAGTGATCCTGGTCTGCGGTGTGATATAGATCCATAAACCAGCAACTCTGAATGATGGCTCACCTTAACCGCATCTCTCTTCGTTTCCATCATCACAATGATCTTCCTGGGTAAACAACTGGAATACCGGCAATGCTGCCCTTGGGAACATGTTGGAATGATAGAATCCATCAACGGCGATCACTCCAAACCGTATGCCATTTCTGCCGATGCCAGTGAAAACGTCGAGACTGATGCGACAAAGGAAGCAAATCAGCAAATGACAGACACACGAAGCACCAAGGACCAAATACATGGCCAGATGCCGGCTCTCGAGCTTGAAACTGAGCACTGCGATCCTGGAGCGACAGGGCATCCACTCCACACACAAAGCGATCCAGCCGCATCCGGGGACGAGATCAAGCCAGAGGCCGTCACAGAGCTCGAAGTGATCCGGGCAGTCCTGAAACCCGATCCAATCGAGGGCTTGGACAACTACGGTATTCCGCCAGAGCCCGAAGGAGAATGTGACCCCGAAATCCAGGTAGACTCAAGAACACAGGCTTGGCACCTTAATTCGTTTGCTGGCTCTGGTACTTTGGCACATCATGGAGAGCCAAATCATGCCTATTACTTACCAAAGTTCCTCTGTGGCTCAGGCCAAAATCGCCCACTTCATTGAGCTCAAGGAACGAGGCACCCGGCTCAACGACACATTGACCAAGATGCACTCATTTCGTAATCCGTCGATCATGAGTAAGCTGATAGAATATCTGGATCTCGATGAATATGGCTCAAACTATCCCAAGGATATGTATGACCCGCATGGCTTTCCTCCAGAAACCTACCATGATGAGCTTGGTGAGCTGCCCAATACCTGGGCCAGAAGGCCAGGCGCATGTCATTATCGCTTTGTATGCAATTGGACAGGCACTGAGCACTCGCCCATCTACGAGCGTCCTTCATAGCGGTGCACTCATCCGATCGACTCTCCAGTCAAAGCGGCCTATCTTCGAGCCGCGAATGTCTCTGCAGCCTCCGCAGTACCCATAACCTTTGCCACATCGGCAACGGGTCTGCCAGGAACTCCCGGAGGCTCAGCCACTGGGGCCCCGGCATCTGCTGCCCCTTTCAACGTTGCTGCGGCCATTCAGCAAGCGCAACGGAAAGCAGCTCAATTCACGTCTCTGAAGCGAATGAAGGACGAGCAGGGTTCCCAGAATCCTCATGGCGGCCAAAATCCAACCTCTGGCGGACCCGCGATAGGGGCCGGTGCGCTGGCTGCAGTCGCCAATCTCAGCAAACGTAAGCTCTGCGACACCGCTGTTCTGCTATGCCTTGTGACTATCATCAAGCAGCTCTCTGATTGATGTCATCAAATCGATTTGCTGATGCGTCTCTGAATGCTTTCCGTGACACGCTTCTCTTGGCAACCATACCTCCCCTTGACAACCATGGCAATCATGGCAATCATGGCAATCATGGCAGTCCAAGGCACCAGCTCGTCAGCACCACCCAAGCAGAAAAAGACCAAATGGGACAGCGAGAGCCGCCGACCACCACGTCTGTAAGCCTATGAGCTTTGGTAATGGTATCTGACCAGCACCTTTGCTGCCGACAGAGGGAGAGAGAGGGGAGGGATACGCCGGTAATGCCCGGAATGTCGAAAGAATGAGCTTTACTTTCCAACACTGCTCCGACAGCGACCCTTGCTCTATCAGCCCGCAACGGCGGGGGTGTTGGCGAGTGCTTTGGCATATAAAATCCACATTCGATGGGGCACAGGGGCCGCTCTTGATCAGAAGGTCATGGTTTTCTCCTCGGCTTCTCTCTTAAGCCGCAACATGACAAGGTTTTCTTCGCCAAGATCCTTGACCCATGTCTTGAAGTAGTCTGTGTACGACTTGAGGCTGGTTTTTTCGTAGTCTGGGGCGCATAGCACGGGTACAGTCAATAGGCCAAGCGGATGAACACATGGTTGCGCGAGACACCACCCATGTCTAACTCATAGATAGTTGTCATTGCCGGGTGGAAAGATGGATATCGGGCAAGTCCATTGCCGGAGAGTATGCCATGTGTCGGTGCCGGTCTCGTTTGGCTGTTCCTGGCTGTTCCTGATGCCAGGTCCGGGGCCATCACGAGCTACGGCATCGGCGACACATCATTTGAGCACGCACACAGTCCCCTGTCAGCGCCTGTCGATCTGCCTGCCGCGAGCACGATCGATCATGTCGTCTAGGCGAGACATCAGACCGTCCAGCCAGCATGCTGCCATCTACTGACCGGGAACACGGCTGTCATCCGCAGAGCCTTCGTCTTTCCTTTGCTTTTGATACTCGGTCAGCTCCACAATCAAATCATCGACAGTGGGCACCTTGGCAGGGTCAAAGTTTTCGCACTCCGCTGCGTTGATGGGGACACAAACTCGGCCTGCATCGTTGGCATCACGCTGGCTTAGGTCATATCGGACAAAGGGGCACAAGCGGGTCCAAGCCATACCACCCGATGCAAAAAGGGCCCGAAAGATACGCACCTGTCTTGGGATGGACACAAAAGGGGCTCTTCAACAAGTGATTTAGACCCACGGAAACGTTCGAATCGAGGCGCGGATACAGGAATTGGAACATGATTTCTCGCTCCAGCCACGGTTCGGCCTTCAGCTTGGGCTGTATAAATGACCGAGCAGCAAGGGATCAGTATATCGGTGATGCGGGACAGCACTTCGAGGAGGTCAGATAAAGACGTGTCGCGAATCTGGCTCCATGATCGATAGAGCGCCGCCCGGACAGTTTGTTTGTACATTTTTGATTGCGCTGACGAGATCGGCCCATCGGTCATATCCAGTCTTGTTTGAGTTGCTCCATTTGCTCACGAGCTCCGCACGGATTTCTGCTCAAAGATGGCGCGTTAGCAACCCTCAATCGTCTTGGTGTGCTCCATGAACCTGCCGAACCTGGCCGCTCAAGTCTGGGCTTACGTTCGTTGGAAATCATGTCGAGAATCTTGGTCCATGTGTTTGGGCCGTCCAAGATTCCCATGTCCTCGAGAACCGTTTGCTCAAAGTGCCGCTCGAGGACCTTTTGCGCTCGGCTTTCGATCAGCAGGCAGTCGCACATGTGAAATCGAGGAGAACAGTCAGTCTCGCCCATTGTCTGCTCAACGCGATCGGCATATCAGAGTCGAGCTCACTCACACAGTGGGAGCCATGCTAATCCGGGATGCACGAAGAGCTACCTGAGTGAGGGATGGCCGTTGCGCAGATTGACTTTCTTCCCGGCTTTATCGCCGCCCTGAGCGTGGTGATGAGTTCAACAAAGTATTCGCACTGTGTCATGTGGCCATATAGCCCACCGCCCTGGGAGCAGAGACAGAGGGCGTTCACAGGCTGTACAGAGAGGTACCTTGACGACTTCCAAGTAGGATACAATCGATCGCCGCTGTTCGGCCGTGAGCTTCCGCGCACGCGCATCGCACACCCAGCAGTGGACACCACGACGACCACTATACACCCAGAGTCGATGACTGAAGCCAAAGTCGTCTGTAGATCGGATAAGGAAATCAGAACACAACGCCCGGCAGCGGTTGTTGTAACACCCCAGCGTATATGTGGCATTGCAACTTACCTTCGAGTGCGCGGTCAATGATTTTGATGGCAATTGTCATGAAGCTCCAACACTTGTGACAGATATCGGCACCACTGACAGCGGTGAAGAGAGGGGACACATGGTTTCGTGTGAGATAGTCGGTGACACGGGAGATGCGAAGCTCTGTTCTATCTCACAGCGTACTGATGAACCATATTGATAAGCAGAATCGTCGCCACAAGCAGAGTCCGTGTGTGGTCAAGCATACCTGCAACAGGTGCGAATGTCATCGTAATCCGTCATATCGATATCAAACACAAGCTCGTGTTCGAGGGGCTGAAGCGCACCCGGCTTGACAAGCTTTCGGTCCGAAGGCTAGTGGTGATATGCAACCACAGTTGATGATGAGTATACACAGCGAATGCATTCCCTCCAAGCGGACCGGCGGTCTGAGCGGGCCAATACGAGTGCTCTCTTCGCCACACACAACGGTAGCCTGGCCCAGCAAGTTTCATCCAGCTCGCTCTGCTCCCCAGCAATTCCCAACCTTCATATTATACACCGCGCCCAAGTCGATCTTTTCGGGGCATTTGCTGATGATGTTGTTTCGGAGGTCGGCCTCATCCTTGAACGACTGGAAGCGAATGTAGACGTCGTTGGCGAGGGTAAAGCTGAACTCGCGGTTGGGAAAGTAGTGCTTGTAGACTGGTCATGGTGGATCAAATCGCTCCAATCAGCGGCCGAGCAGAGGAGCGGGGACTGAGTCGAGACATATACTGGACCATGGGCAGGCTTGGGCAGAGCCGCTTCACGGCGCGCGCCGAGATGTATACGCTCGGGAGACCGTACCGTTTCCGTAAGAGATCCATTTGTAGTAGTCTTTGAAAGGGAACATCCGCATATAAAAGAACTTGAGTGCGGAGCCTCCAAGGGTGCCCGGAGCTGAGAAGGAGGTCGGCGAACCGAAGCTGATCGACAGGGGGTGTATACATACAGAGCCGTCAGTGTTTTGGGAGTGGGGTGCTGAGTGTACAAGTTAAAATAGTATTTATATAATGACGGTACAAATCTAATACCGGCGCTGAAGCCACAGGAGCACACATATAGGCACGAGAGTCGATTGGCGGATGGGCAGTATGATCTGGCTACGCCGGCGGGGAGAGGTTTGATCTAATCGGACGATACCGCTCCCTCAGCCCGGAATCGATCCATCGAAGGCGTGCCCAGACTCACCTTTTTATCACCTTCTGCTCCTTTTGTGCATTGATGATGGCGTCTAAGTCGATATTTCCGAGCATCTCGTCGTCGAGGCCGTCGTCGAGGTCGTCGTCGAGTAGGAATGTCGCTGTGGGCGGCAGATCAGCCGCCGCTTCTGTGGAGGGTGCAGGGACATCCGTGGCCCCAAGATGACTCTGCTCTGTTGGATCTGCTGACTCGGACATTTGGATTTCGGTCGTATCGCCTTGGTTCCCGATCATCGCTGACGTTGTCTTGGCTTTGGTGGTATAGATCAGCCGAGAGAGAGAAAAGCCCCGACCGCTCTCTTGCGGAGCACCTTCCAAACTGGGCAAATGAGGTCACGTGGGTAGTTGGCGATGCAGATCGGCTGGGTTCCTGGACAAACAGATGCCTGTTCACGCCGCAACGAGCGATCTCGCTCTGCGCTGCGGGGCCAACCAGCATAGCCGCTCAGTACGCCTTGAATCGACGTGTGTGTATATTTCAGGACTTATGGACATGGATGCCGGTGTACTCGAGTGTGACGTATTTGGGCAACACTGGGTGCAGCATGCCTCGGCCGTGCTCCGTTGGCCCACACTTGCCTTCTCGGCTTGAGGGCAGCCAGTCTCTTTGGGGCGTCATGAGTTATATTTTGAGCGACGATGAAAAAAGTGTGTCCAGAAACCCAAGCACCTCGGTGATCTTCTCCTGGACGTTCAGCTCGTCTCTCATCTTTTGCTTCATAGACGAGAGCAGCTCGTCGATTATGATGGACTGACCGATGACTGAGCCATACATATCTGCAAGGGTCGGGGCAGCAACACCCAAGTTGGTGAACGACACCGCGGGCAAGAAGATGTCGAGTGAGTGTGAGCCGGACGCCTGCACCTTGGTCATCCTTGCGAGAGATTCCGAAGGCTCCGGAGCCGGCGTCAAAAGCCAACACGAATGACTCACCCAGAATAAGATTTGAGATGTCAATCAGGAGCGACGAGTATCTTGGATTGGTGAGGTTCTTCATCAAGAATCGCACCGTGGGCTCGAGGGAATCCTCATCTCGTCCTCCCAATGCAATCTTCAAGCCATCGCGGTGAATGAGCTCCTCCAACAAGCTAATGATCAGCACCGGTTGGTTCTGAATGAAGATATCAGCCAAAGTTAGTAGGGAAGGGGCTGTGGTGAACAGTCCGACTTGGGGCTGTTGTGGTGGACGCGAGAACCACAGCTCCCAATAAAACGTTTGACGAGGCAGGGTAGGCATCAGTCGCGCACTACACGAGTGTCTTACCGTGGCGAGCACGGCATCTAGCGCGCTGCCGTACTGGAAGGTTTTGAGATATTTGTCGTAGCTGCGGAGCCGCTTCTTTCGCCGCGATTCGATTTTCAGGTCATCGCTTCCAGGCAGATTCTTTGAGCCACGGATAAAGTATTTGTAGGTTCCGCCTCGCAGCTCCTCAGTCTGGCGCTGGGCATTGACGAGCTCCTGGGTTTTTACAACGCGTTGTCGAATCGACAACAGGCCCGATGTCATACCCACAACCAAATGAGTGTCGTCCGGCTGAGGGTTGGGTTCGTTGGGTAGAGTTCGTTGTGCATGGGGGGAGGTCGAGAGTGTGAAGATGTGAAAGTGTAAGTGCCCAATCTGTTGATCGATCGCAGCTTGGCATGCCAATATATTGGCGTCGGTCTCGAGCAAGGGCGATGTGCATGCACTTACCGATAGACCAATACTCAGGATAGGAGCGGGGTATTTGACGCTGTGTGTGATTTTGTAGTCCTGAACGTTATAGATCTTGACATGCTGATCCAGAGACGCCGTGAGAATTCGAGAGTAGCTTCCATCAAAGCACATGGATGTGATCGTCTTTTGATGATTCGATAGAGACTGGATCAGGCGGCCACCGCCAAGTATGTCCCAAATCTTCAGATGGGCCCCGCCTACGTGAGTTTTGAGCACGATGAGCTTTCCGGGACAGAGTTGTAGCAAGGAGATCGGGTTTGACATCAAGGGCATGTGCACGGGTGTGGGAGGGGGATACCATCGCCTGACAAACATGGGTCGAACGTACCAGCTGAGGCTACAAGGCCACCGCCCGGGAACATCAGCACCGATTCGACCGGGAATCCGTGGTTCATCGTAGCCACACAGACCTTGGCTCTGGCGTCCCAGAGCTTGACGGTGTGATCATATGAGCCCGTGAGAACCAAGTTGCTGTTCTCTTGCGACACCATGCCGCATCGAACATAGTCTTCGTGCTCGTCAAAGGTGACAATGTTCTCGCCAACAGGGACATCCCAGAGCTTGACCGTTTTGTCGTCCGAGGCCGAGAGCACTTGCGTCTTTAGGGAGGAGAATTTGGCGACTCGTACGCCACTGGATTACAGCCGAACCATGACAGAGCGATCGAGAGGCCAGAATCGACAGAGTTGATGGAACAACCAAGGACAAACATGCCAGGCGACCGAGGGTTGCCGAAAGCGGCAGAATTCGGGCGAATACCCCAATGGGGTGGTCGAGGCGAATCAGGAGTTAGTTGTGAGGAATCGCCACTTTGAACGTGAATGGCGCTGGCCGCAGACATGCCGAGATGCCGACATGCTGACATGCCGAGTGTCAGGATGCTCTGATCATTGCCCAAGCACGTCTGGCTGCCTCGCTGCCTCGCCGGTTGGCTGCCTTGCTGCCGTGGTGCTCGAGATCGACACTCACTCTTTGTGTCCCTCCAGCGTTCTCAGGATAGCTCGGCTGTTGAGGTCAAAGACCTGGACGAGGCCACTGGCATCGCCCGCAACCAAGAGCTTCCCGTCATCACGAATCGTTCCAGAATATGCCGTATCCTTGAATCGTGAGATGGACTTTTTGACAGAGTGCGTTGTTTGGCTGTAGATCTGGACTCGCGCTGAGCTCGTCACGGCAAAGTCAAAGGGAGCGACTGGCGAAAAGTGGATTCCAGTAACCGCGGCGTACTCTTTGACCAGGATAGGACTCTGGAGTCACCGGTACAGGTACAGGCGAAAGGAGGCGACGATGCATCAGAGGGAGATTGGGTCAGCGGCCTGTCTGTCACTCATCGAGTGGCAGCTGATGGCGTCTGCGACGTGGACGATCCTCAGACAGCGAGCTGGACCGAGATGCACCTTGAACTTTCTCCAGTACCGGGTCTCGGCCGTCTGTCGGGTCTGCAGGCGGGGATACTTTTTGATGCCGAGCTTCTTGTAGTCGGACGACATGTCGGGCTGTTGATCTTGCTGTTCGTGCCAGACGGCGGACCGGCTGGGCGCGGGTCAAAGGTCGTTCCCAAAAAAAAGGTGCTCGGCGGCCGAAATGAAATTAATCATCTCACAGTCCCCGCACTCGAACCAGCGCAGGCCGGCTCCTTGGCCGCAATTGGCTGGCTGCCGCCGCGCAGCAAGGTGCAAAATTTTGATCGCCAACAGCCTCTGCGTCCTGCACATCATCATCATCACCATCATCATCGCCAGCAGCAACCAGCAGCAGCCAGCAGCAGCCAGCATCCGACGCCGTCAGCCATCGACATCACCGCGCCAGCAGTGACGACGCCCCAAAAACGACATCCGCTCACGATCCTGGACTCACGCCTGAAACATCACACATCATGCCGTTCCCTTTGCCTCGTAAGTCGACCGAGCTCTGTGACGATGGGACGAGAAGCTGCAACCTACTCGCTAGAGCAAACTCCTGAGCAAATCAGAAATACCGCCGCCCAGATCTTTGACTGCTAACCGTATCATCGCCTCCGTATTCTGCCGATGTCAAACGTCCGCTCAATCGCCTCCGTCACGGGCCGATCGCGATGGCCGGCGCTCTCCCGCCCTGGCGATGGCTCCTCTGCCAATGTCCCCGACACTCTCGATCGACAGCCGCCTCCAAGCTGTACTTTCCGTCCTTTAGCATCAAGCTGATCCGGTCAAATCTGCCGCCGCACCAAGCCGTCTTCAAGGTCCCCCCTCAGCTGAACAAACTGGACATCTCCTCATATCTGCAGGCTCTTTACAATGTCAACGTGACGGATGTGCGTACCATGAACTACCTTGCCCGGAGCTGGAAGGACCGAAAGGGCCGTGAGAAGAATGTGGCAGCCTACAAGAAGGTCATCATCACCATGGAGGACGACTTTTACTTCCCTCCTCTGGCAACGGCCGATGATGGCGTCCAGAAGCTCCCAACACGAGCAGACATTGTCCCGACCCGACACCATCCCAAGAGCAAGGCATTTGCAGACATGAAGCTCGATAAGAAGACCAAAGCTGAGGCCGCGGCCGCATCGTCAGAGTAGATTGCCTCTAGAGTGCACTGGCGATTTGCAATCGGTCCCGTTGACCAGCCAAGATGAAGGGGACGGTTGTTGCTGAGTTGGGTGCTGTGGGCCATGTGCTGCTGGTTTTGGTTGCTATGGCATTTCGTTGCCAAGGCCATTCAAAGGCCGTCCCATTCATCATTCGCCCATGGCACCTCCCGTTTGCTAGCACTCCCACGATGTCGCGCGGTTTGTTCAATACCAATTTCCTTGGACACGCTGTTTGGTCATGGTGGATGAGGGTGTATTCGGGACCCGGAGAAATTCACTCGCCGAGCCCGATAACAGGCCTCCACCCCTCATTTCAGTTTCCTGTAAATATGCGGTCAGTGACATACGGCGTAGGGCGCCTCGTGGGCGTGTTGTGGCTCTACAGCTTGCTGCCCACCAAGTGGCCTAGAAGCTCTCCTCGAATAGCTCAGTCGATCTGGGAACAAAGCCATCGATGGTATTAGCACGTCTTGTCACGATGTGCACTGGTGTGTGGCTCTCGGTGGTCAGATGCAATCCGCTGTGATGACTTGTATTGCGTTCCGGTGATACATACCTTCACGTTGGTGTAAATTCTGCGGATGAAACGCTCGGCAACGAGGTGGCCGATTGTACCGAGCAAAACAAACATACCAAAGCATGCCAGGCCCGTATATCCAAAGTACCAGATGATCTGAAAGGCGCCATACATCCTGTGGACCGGCCGGAGTGAGTCGTGGCGACAGGATGAAACTCAAAAGGCCGACCCATTGCCAATCAAGCGCAGGCCGGGCTGGGGGAGGGGTCGACATGCTGCGACGCTTACTTGGACTTGACTTGGAAATAGTAGATCGAATACAAAAATATGTAGAATGCGGTCGATCCGCCCGCAAAGAAACTGGTCCAGTGCCATCGATGGTCTTCAGAGTTCAAAAACAGGTCTGGTGGGCAGATGGAGTCAGTCCTATACGCGATCATCGACAGCCTCCTACGAAGACACAGCCGGATGGCCCGGACCCGGATTTGCTCTCTTGGCTTACATGTCGAGACGACAGCCACACAAGCAGTCACAATGCCGAGGATAACGAATACACCCTGTCGCAAAGATCGGGACGGCGGTTAAAGCCACGATTGATTCACCAGATGAGTATAGATCGGCGACATATCTGACATTTGCACAAACGTATCCAGGCCCATCCGAGCCTGCGACCCGAGTCGACACCTGCATTTCTCAGTCCACTTCGGTGACTGCTCATTCGATCGCCTTACCAGCATGAATCCATATACATAGTAGATTTTGTATCCCCAAAATGAGGAGAAGATAAAGTACATCTCGATGAAGATCGAGCCAAATGGAAGAATGCCAGAAGCCATGATGATAAACGATGGCTCGGCATACCAGGGCTTCTCCGGAATCGGCCGAGGGATCTGAGCGGCGAGGCAAGTGAGTATGAGCAAGCATTGCATCGATGCCATGTGGTGAGTCCCGGATCGAGGACGTCGCTCTCAGCCTTTGACTGGAGTCGCCTGTCTTCCGATAGCAAGCCCATCGCAAGAGACAAGCGATCGGATTTCCTGCCTACCGGGTTGACTCGACAGGGGAAGTTGGGTTCGCTTGACCAGTTGCGACCCATGATGGCTCCCAGCAAGGTGAGTGGAAACACAATAAAGCACCAAATGGCTGTAATCGCGAGCATTGTCGTGAAAGGGATAGCCTTGGACGACGAATACGAGATCGACACAAAGTTGACCAGAAAGGACACGATGCCGACCGAGCCTGGCCACAGGCCGGCCGTGACCAGCATCGTCAAGGTCCAATTTTTGCCTACAGACCACAGACGGTAGCGGTGATCAGCAGCGACTCTGGAGCTTCCGCCGAAAAGCGCAACAATCGTAGTTGCTCGCCCGCATACCTCCGTATTTGGCAAAGTAGCTTCCGCTGAAGAAGCCCGAGATAAGTGCCGTGAGCGCATACAAAAATATGCCCACGGTGAGCAGCGTCGCGCGCCTGGTTGGAGACAAAGTTTGGTGTCGTTAGTACAGATGGTGAAGCACAAAGGGCAGAGCGGCATTCGCACACCGGATGCCGATGCTGTTGTGCCACAACCAGGACCAACGGCGCCCCTCCCCGACGGAAATCTTACTCCGTATATAGATCTCCGACGATCGCATACGTCAGCAGGACAAGGATCAAACATCCCATTTGGATGCCCGTCCCCACGAGCGCCGATAGGATGCTCAGATGGGCAGGGCGGCGAAAAACATCGCCGTGAACCTGCTTCCATCCATACTCATCGCCAAGATCGCGATCCTGTTATACCCAGACCAAAAAAATCACTGGTTAGATGTTGATCCAACGAGAGCGCGGTGTACTTGGCTGAAACCGACAGACTGCAAAAAGTTCCTGGCCGCATCTCTCCAGTCGCTCGCAAGCCAGTTGAACCCACCAGATCGAGAAGATTGTCCTCGATGTTGTATCGCGAATAGTCGTGTTTGAGGGTCCGCATCAATATCAGAATGACCAGTCCAGCGAGGAATATCACCATCATGAAGGAGTTGAAGATAGAGAACCAATGAATCTGGAATCATTTGCAGCCGAAGATGGTCGGTGTGAGCCACATGAGTCGGGCCAGCAGCGGCGTCTAATCCCGGCTGTGTTGCCGCTCCAGCGCACACATAACGGATCAAAAGTCTTCAAATCGTGAGCATCGTTCGTGCTCCCTGTCGATATCTTACAGCCCTGCCTCAGCGTACCTTGTGCTCGAAAAAGTCACTGTCCAGATATCTTGAGAAGCGGGTAGAGTATGGGTCCGATGTTTCGGTCCATTCAACCGAATACGTAAAATCAATGGACAAGGTCCCATCGAGATGGCTCGGCAGCAACACCGGATTCGAGCTGTGCAGCCATCGGGAAACACAGGGTTAGCACCTCGACACAGGCACGGACTGAGGCACGTGGGATGGCTGTTGCTCACCTTGCCACCTCTGCATGGATGATCTTGACAGCGCATCGATTGGGACATCAGTATATCCGTCAGCCAAAGAAAACGGGCATGGGACCGTGGATCCAGGGGCACTCGTGCATAAGTCCCGTGCCTGATAAGTGAATTTGGGCGAATGGAAGGCTACCTGATCACCATTGTACGAAAGTTGGAAGGTCTTGTGGGTGTAAAGATACAAGTCGGGTGTCGGCTTCTGGTCATCGATATGCCCAACATAGTCTAGCACGGTGACGTTGTTAGGGTCATTTGCGACGATCGATGATGGCCAACGAAGGGAGCCTCTGATTATACAGCTGCTCTCCGTCTGCAGCAGAGTCTGGCTGCTCATAATGCTTAGGATCGGATTGCTTGCTACAGATCAAATTTGAACACGCCACTGTATCGCCGATCGCCTCGAGCTCGATCATATGAAACCAGCTTACCCCATATCGGCAAATCGTCTGGAGCCGCAGAAGCAAGATGAATTGGTGGAGTAGGAGCACATTGCGAGTCAGTTCGAGCCGGTTGGGCGAAAACAAGCGACCCAGGCGCTGCTCTCGTCTGTCCCGACTGGACGATGCTTCAGGAGACAACAACCTCGGCCTCACCAATGAACATCTGGTACCAGTAGTTGTTTCGGACAGAGTAGCGAAAGAGATTGATTTCCTTGCTGTGAAGTATCGTCGAGCAAAGGGTGGTGTTCTGACGATCCTCTGGGACGAGCGCGGCCAGGGTCGGATGGTTGGATGGTTGGATGAGATGGAGTGGTGCATGGGATGGAGTATTCAAAGGAACGGCGGCAGATTGAGCCACAACGCCCGGCGAGTTGGGAGGGCTCGATTGCGGGCTGGATGCAGGCAGGACCTCAGACACTGATGCAATCAACCCCACTCCCAAATCTATACGCCGCTCCAAGCGTGAGCGGACTCGGACTACATACGTGCAAACTTGATGTCTGCACCAAGCCCGATCAGCTCGACGCCGAGAAGAGCCTCGCCCAGGGTTTCGTGGTAATGCTCGACGTCCTTGGAGCCGAGGCAGAAGGGTAGTTGGGTGTATTCATACGTCTCTTGGCTATTTGCATAGGGACCGACGGTATTCATCCATACGACGACCTCTTCACTGTCTCGATACTGGATGACAGTGATGTACCAGCATTAGATCAAGGCAAGGCAAGGCAAGGGGGAGACCAAGGGCCAGATGCTTCCGCGGAATATGCCAGGACAATGACAACATCACAAGCACATGGCACGGCAACACATGGCTCCAACGGCACCGCTGGTCGGTTCGGCCCCAGGGTAAAAGTCGATATCGTCGGCAGTGCCGATCCAGAAGTAGCCTCTGGCAGCAGACTTACCCTGTGCGAATGCTCGTCGGCCCATGCCGCCTGGATCCAACACAGAATCACAAGCAGAGCCACGAGAGCGATCCTCGGGCACCGCATGGAATCAAAGGACATGGCTTTGCCGGTTTCGAGGATCGATGATGGCAGCAAGCGCTGTGTCGGCGAAGGGTTATGCGCAGAGATGGCGGCCAAGGAGCAAGCCGATGTGGGCTGCTGGATCAGGGAGCAGCGCGGCCTTGTCGCCGACGCAAGAGGCAAGGCGCAAGGAGCAAGGAGCAAGGAGCAAGGAGCAGGAGCAAGGCACAAGGAGCAAGTGCATCTATTAAATTAATTACCGGCTTCCCTCGGCTCGAACCGCACCGGCCAGCCGGATCTCCTCGCCGGCTCTCGGTCGCGCCTCGCTCCCCGCCTCGCTCCTCGCCTCGCTCATTTTTTTTCGTTTTGCGTGAGGCGACTTGTCAAAGCATTCCTCGACAGCCCGAGAATCGGTTTGCTTGCGCTTCTTCCTCGATCTGCCTTTTCGCACAAGCCTCGGTCTCGACACACGTCTGCCATGTTCCGCGCTGCCCGCTCTGCCATCGCCCCCATCAAGGTACCGCTGTCCGTTCGCTGCGTCTCGGCCGTGCTCCTTCCAGGCAACCAGGCGCCCTCTCGTTGCTCGGCTTGCGACTCGACCCGGCCTCGTCGTCACCAAGATATGCATTATGGATCGCGCATCTGGCGTCGCTCTCCGGCGGCCACGTATGCATCAGCGGCATGGGGAGTACCACTCACCCGTATATCCACTGCCCGTCTCTTCTTTGCCGGCATTTCAGGCCGCCGTCGCTTTCCGCGTGGCTCCGACCCCCATCCGCGCCATGTCCACCCAGGCCCCCGGTATAGAACTGTTGCATCCGACTTGTGACTCAGCTGTCCATGTGCAGCCCATGCTGCCCGATGGCCCGATCCCCCTCCATCCTAATCAATTCTCTTCTGCTTGATGTCCGAACGATGCGTTTCGTCGACGATATGATTCTGGATATGGCTCATGTCCAAACGGCTGTGCTGCTGGACTCTCCTCCTCGATGTCGACCTGAATGCGTGTCATCTGCGACGGAACACTTGATGGAATTGCCGACACCTACCGAACCTGGGACTGGATGATTGTTACGGCTACTTTGCTGGAACCATATCATGGGCGGCATGGACAATGGACTCGGATATGCGCCTTGGGACCAACGCTGTGCTATATCGGTCGATATGCTCAATGATGTTTGGTTCGGCAACTCGTCTATTAGACTTCATCCAGAAGCTGTACCTGGATGCCATCCGTGGCTACGTGCCCAAGGAGGTTAGATTCTGAGTGTTGCATGCGGCTCTGGTGCGGAACGATACAGAACCAAGATGCGACCGACTTCCAGCTCAACTTTAGCTGATCAGCTCGTTGTCTTGAATTTGTCAACTCGATCTAGACCACCGAGAAGGTTGCCATCCCCGATAAGTTCACCGTTCCTGCCCCCCCTCCCAAGGTAATGTTTGATTACTCGTTGGACACCACCAGAAGCAATGTCTTTGGTTGTGGTATCGTGGAGCTCTCTTCTCGTAGACGTGCATTGTCTGCGAATGGCCTCATGGACAACGGACACAGATAAACTGTGCTGTTTGCTGACATTGCTGGATGATACTCTAGCCCGAGCTGGAGACTGCCCCCGCCCGCGCTGTTCAGGGTGAGGAGGCCTTTGCCGAAGAAGAGTGGCCCGCTCTGTACAACGCCATCGATGATCCCCACAACTACAACGGTAGGTGCTTCCCGACGACAAGAATCATGGCAACGTCAAAGTGCCGGTGTGTCGGGCGTCGTTGGCTGTGCTCCTTCCCGTATCAGACTCTCGCCGCCCATGGATGTGGTGCTTGCACTGTTATGTTTCGCTGACAACCGATCACTACCATCTCCATCTCCATCTCCATCTCCATCTCCATCTCCATCTCCATCTCCATCTCCATCTCCATCTCCATCTCCATCTCCATCTCCATCTCCATCTCCATCTCCATCTCCATCGCCATCGCCATCGCCATCTCCATCGCCATCGCCATCGCCATCTTTCCTCTGCAATTGTCCAGATGAGTGGGACTTCACCACCGACAATGACGACGGTGCTCTGCTCCCCCAGCGTCTGAAGCCCGTCGACTACGACGCCCACCACTAAACTGCCTCGGCCCAACCCGACGGACAAGCTCGATGTCGAACCGATTGATTCGCTAATGTAGTTTTTGTCGAGCCCGACCTCCTTCCAGCCTGCGCGCGCACGAGCGAGGTATCCAGGAATTGCCACCTGATAGCCCTCATTGCGGCGTCCGCAAATATACATTCACAACACAGCTGCAGTTCCGCATCGTGCTGGCGCATGAGCACGGATTCTGGTGACAACGTACGTCCCTTGCAACCACCATGAATCGAGGTGGTCCGGAGGGCACGGCCAGTGGGATGTGCTTCATGGTGTGGGAAAGGAGCACTATGCGGGCAGCCTCCCGCCAACACCGACATCCATACATCCCGTCGGTGACCATCCTGCCGGTGACCATCCCTCGATGACCATCTGCCGGAATCCGCATCCTTCTGGAAGCGCTCGTGTCCGCCATCCCCAGAGTGCCCCCACATGACCAAGCGAACCCTGACATGGCGTGACACCACAGCGACGCGGGCCAACAAAAGGGCGGGGCTGCTGGACGCCGACCCCGCCTTCTCCAAACGCATCTCGACCCCACCGGCCAGTCCTCTCTGCGTCTGCCCAGCAACAAGCAAAGCTCGAATATCCCTTGGTAAGATCCACGCCCGTTCGTCTCTCCTTCGGCCAACATTGCAGATCATCCGTCGCTGCATTCTTCTCGCTGCAGCATCTGGATCGAGCTACCGGATCAGTATCTGCGGCCTTCCCTCGCTCTCCCGCTCGATTGAGCATGATCCAGATCTGCACCTTTCACGCGCCTCTTACCCTCTTGTCTATACTCCAACCCAGCTTCAACCAATCCCTTCCATCGAATCACTACACATTCGCTCTGCGACTCCGAAGCCTGCGTTAGCATTCCATAGTCCTCTCCAAGCGTCCGAATGAACCCAGGTGCGATGAGATGTCATGAGGTGTTGTGTGGCGGATATGATCCTTGCCGGGCGGACTCGTTTGATGCACGGGTTACCATCCTTGGTGGTCATCTCTGTCATGCCATGTCGTATCATGCCATGTCATAGCGGCGATTGCTCTACATCGGGCCTGTGTATGTCCGGATGTGCATGCACTCCAATGCTGGGTCCGGTGCTGCTGCTGCATGACCGATACTCATTGCAGCCGACTGTGATGTCCAGAAGCGCCTCTACGGATGTATTGCGTCTAATTGTTTGATTCGCTGTGGATCGGTGCACTAGCAACCATCGATCGCATTGATCTTCCCGTTGAGGAACTAAAGTGGCGCCTCAATGTGAGTGGGGCCAATGAAGCCTTCAATTACTACCTCACGATGGACGAGGGCCACGTCGCATGTATTCAGGTAGGAGCAATCGCCCGTCCTCTCGACTGAGTCGAAACGAAGCCTGGTTTTATAGTATCACGAGCAGAGCTTGCACAAGCGCTTTCATATGCCTGTTATATACTCACCCGATCTGCATTTCCCACTTCCTCGTCTCGGTCGCTGGCTGTGGCTGCCCTCGTGTACACTCGTACTGCTTGGCACTCGAAATCACAGATAATCTACTCGACTCTTGGGTATGTCGATTGATTTTGCTTCGAATCTGATATGAAGAAGGGTGCACTGCTATTGAAACTGACGATGGAGGGAAAGGCGATGGCCAAGAGCGGAGATATCATGAGACGAGTGTTGCCCCAAGTTCGTGATGCCATGCGATCGGTGCTCAGAGATCCGTTTTGGCTAATGCTGACCCCATATGCCCGTTTGATCTGGGACACCAGCTGGAGCCCCTCTGTCCAGGTAAGCTGTTGCGATTCAGTTGTGATAGCACGCCATATCGCATATCGCACATCGCACAAATTGAGCATGCGTCGGCTGCAATGCCCCCCGGAACTCAATTTCCCTTGCACTCCGCGGCCATGCTTCTACATCTTATGCATCATGTGCCAACCTAATAGGTCTCGGGGCGATTTTATCATGCCAACGGCCAAAACTACACCAAAACCGCATCATTTGCTGGCACAGCCATGGTGCTGTCTCCTGATCGACACTCTGCCACCTGTGAAAAGTCGACGTTCTTCTTCAATCCAGACACCTGGACATGGACCATCTCTTACCAGAGCAGCGCGCCTGACGAGCTGTCGATGGAACTTGAGTTTGTTGCCACCGATCAAGGCTGCCAAATTAACGGCGGACAGAAGAATTTCTTCATAGACAAACCCGCCAACGGCTACGTGCTTAGCCAGTTTATACCCAAGGCCAAGGTCAACGCTACCATCAAGGTGGATGGCCAGACTCTGACGGCGCCGCATGCTCAAGGCGCCATCCTGCGTTACATTCACAACAAGCCCACACTCCCTGGTCGATGGAACTGGGTCAACTTCCAGACGAACCAAGATTCACTTTTGTTGCTCCAGGTGAGTTCTCGAGCCGATTTGCTGCTTGAAGGTGTGTCGATTGAGCGGTGGAAGCCGTCATGGCCTCCTGAGGACCCAAAGTCATTCTGATCCATCCAATCTGCGGCCGTATCCAGTTTGAGATGCCCGATGGCTATGAATACGACATTGACGTGTCGAGCGAAGGCATCTTGGTCCTGAACGACAAGACCGTCGCGGTCACTCTCGAAAATTGCGCCACTCACATCGATCCCGAGCCCGACAGCACCAACGGATATCTAGTCCCTTCGCGTCTGCACTACGAGTGGATTGGGAAAACAAAGGATGGCCAAGAACTCAAAGTCCTCCTCGAGACCCCGGCCGCACACATGCGCGGCCGTATCGATGTGCTGAGCGAGCTGCCTTACTTTTTGCGAGTCTTTCTCCAAACATTCGTGATGGCCCCATACATCTACCATTGGGTGGAAAAAGCCAAAGTTTCGGTCAAAATCGGCGATGAAGTACGCATTCTCGAAGGTTCTGCTTTCTTGGAGACGACGTTTACGTACAAAATGGATGAATGAGCCCGCCAACTTTAAGGCGCAAGGTTTTGCTCGATCAATTTACGTAAATATAGTTCTTTAAAACGTAAACGGGGACACCGAGCGATGGTCATGGTTGAGAAAGAGAGTGGTGGCTAGTGAGCGGCATCCATAATGGGGTCTCATCCAACGATTACGCCGCCGTTGCTGTCGCCAGCGTCGCCAGCAATTTCAAGTCGGAAGCCGCGTCCGTAGATCCTGCGTGCTCGAGTGAAACCGTCTGTGATCATCGTCAAAGCTCATTCAGAATGAAATAGACAGCATCAACTGTGATGGAGGCACTTCCCAACCCAGCGCCAGTGCTTCTATAGGGTGCGCAATCTGCATTTGAGCAGCGGTCGAGGGGACACGTCTTGCAAGACTCTCCCTTCCAGCACTGCCAATATGAAGCCCAAGACGAGCTCGCCGTCGGGTCGTTGTTGCAGGTGCGTGGCTAGCATTGCTGATCGACCCAGAGTATGGGATCTCGCCACAAAATGCTCAAAGAGATGGCTGAAAACGGTCTTATCTATTGTAGATTCACGGAGGGGGGGAGTTGGACCGGCGGTATCGCCAAGCAAAGGATGGATTTTAGAGCTGAACGGCCTTCTCGAGAGCCTGCTTGATATCGGCAACCAGATCGTCGCCATCCTCAATCCCAACCGACATTCTAATCAGACTATCAGTCACCCCGAGGGCTGCACGGGCCTCAGGAGTGAGCGAGGCGTGGGTCATGACCGCCGGCAGCTCGGCAAGACTCTCGACACCGCCCAGGGACTCGGCAAGGGCAAAGAGGTTGAGGGCCGAGAGGAACTTGTTTGAAGTCTCGAGGTTGCCGTTCTTGAGGCGGAACGAGAGCATGCCGCCAAAGCCCTTTTGCTGGCGCTTGGCGAGCTCGTGCTGCTTGTGCGAAGGAAGGCCTGGATAGATGACTTCGGAGACCAGTGGCGAGGCCTCCAGGAAGTGCGCGATTCTGATGGCGTTCGCCTCGTGCTGCTTCATGCCTATATTCGATGCGTACCCCACCACCGAAACCATCAGTTCTACGGAATCATGTCGCCAGGAGATTTAGCTGTGAGACACAGTTCATCACGACGGGCGGCTTACGGAGGTGAAGGGTCTTCAAACCACGGTTGGCAAGGAAGCAGTCAAACACGCTTGGGACACCGCCGATCGAGTTTTGAAGGAATCGGAGGCGAGCGTAAAGATCCTCCCTGTTGGTGATGGCGACGCCCATGACGCAGTCGGAATGGCCATTGATGTACTGCGAAAGCACATTGACGGATTATTACAGTGCTCGCACGGGGCATCGCCATTTACAGAAGAGTGAACACCGCCATGCTCCTGTAGCTGGGGTAGCACTCACCTTGGTAACAGAGTGAACAACAACGTCGGCACCGAGTTCAAGAGGATTCTGCAAACATCAAGGGCATTCGGGTTAGCAGAGGATGTCATCGAGAAACAGCACAGGACCTCGACGGGAGCCTCGAGGAAGGTAGCTCATCTTCCATCTAGAATCGCGCAGTACAAGATCGCCAGCAGTGTACCTGGAAGAAAGGGCTCATGAAAGTGTTGTCGACAACAAGGAAGACGTTGGGATAGGAGTGGGCAATCTCGGCGACAGCCTTGATGTCAACCAAACGCAGGGTGGGGTTGGCTGCCGCAACGCGAGCAAAATTGGCAGTCGTTAGCAATCAAGGGGCAGTGCTGCTGGCTCCCATCCGCCTGAGCGTGTTTTCATCGCTTCTGTTCAAGCAATCGTAAGCGCTGCTCTCAACAGTGTGTAGAGTCGATCGCAATCTCCTCCTCCCTCCTTTTACTCACTGGGAGACTCGACCCAGATCATCTTGGTGTTGGGCTTGATGGCCGATCGGAGATTTTCGGGGTTGTAAAGGTCCACAAAGGTGACGTCGATGCCGTTGTTGCTGGCGACCTTGGTGAAGTACCGGAAGGTGCCGCCATAGACATCGTTGACGCTAACGACATGATCGCCGGAGGCGAGCAGACCCGTGACGTTGGCGGTAGTGACGGATCCCGAAGCATAAGCCAGACAGTGCTTGCCGTTCTCAAGAGCAGCAACGGCGGTCTCGAAAGCCGTGCGGGTGGGGTTGCCAGCACGGGAATAGTCGTAGCCCTTGTGGACACCCGCGGCCTCCTGGGCAAAGGTGGTGGAGAGCGAGATCGGAGGAATGACGGCGCCGGTAACGGGGTCTGTGCAAGGCGGCGAGAGGGGAATAGGGAGATGCGGGGTCAGAGAAGATGCGGGGTCAGAAAAGATGCGGGGTCAGAAAATGCACATTCCACTGAGGAGTTTGCAGGGCAACCGCTTGGCCACTCCCGAGGCATCAGAGATGCGATTGCGGTGCGTGTCGCCAAGCCAGATGTGTGTGGATGCGACAGCAACTCGCTTGCAGACCGGTAAGCGCATACCGGGCTCCTGGCCGGCGTGAATCGCGCGGGTAGCGAACTTGAAGTCGGAGTAGTCCTGCTGGTGGTGGGCCATTGCGACGGGAGTGGACAGTGCGGAAGGTGCGATGGGCTTTGGAGTGAGGCGAGCGCAGATCTGATCGGCGAGGGCGACAGAGGTCGAGACGAGGCCGCAGGGATTTATATCCCAACTGGGGTCGTTTGCTTTTTGTCAGCGGCCTTGTGGATGCAGCGACGCGCAATCCAGCCCCACAGCGTTGCGACACAGAGCAAGCACGCCGGCACCGCCGTGCGGCTGTCTTGCGCAAGTCCGCCCCGGAGTGAGGCCACTGCGGGCTGCGGCGACGCTGATTGGCCCCGGAGGGTGTGGGGGCGGCCACGGGGCGGATGGCCATCCGGCCCTGGACGGGAGGGCCGGCACGCCGGGACTCGGTGCTGGCGGTGCTGGCGGTGCAGATCAGCAGCCGGTGGCGTCGCTGGGCGGCCTCCTGGTGCTGAGGCAGTGGCGGCGGCTTTCATACTCCTGTGTCGGTGCAGTGCCATTCCGGAGTGAACTCGATGAACGCTGGGGCAGCGTGGCTGTGGGCCGACTCTGCACAGCCAGCTCCAGCCAGCTCCAGCCAGCTCCAGCCAGTCCAAGCGTCAATGCTGTTGGTTGACATATCGCAGCTGGCCACGGAGTGCTCAGACGCCCTCGGTTTGACCCTCCCAGCCTATCACCTTCCGCCCTTGCACTCTGGCGCTGAAGCAGCCGCTTGAGCCCAGGCGGTGTGACGAGTGAGAACTCTAACACATCCGAGCATGGTCTGCGAGACGTGCGTGGGAGATAGGGAGGGCAGACGTTGGTCGACTATTTTCAGAAACCCGGGGCTCCCACACAGTGAACAAAGCGAGAAGGCTTCACTGTTCGAAGCCAGTTGATGATATTGCACTTACAGGGTGGATCCGGTGGCTCATGATTACAACATAACTGCAAATCGGTCTCATGGCTGAGTCTGAGCGATTGAGTCTGGACCACACCTTAAATGCCGGTATTGCAGTTGAATAATGATGGCGGATAGATCTGCCCCAGAAGCCCACACGATGACTCAACGGATACGCTGTATATATGTGTGTGTGTGCGCATCGGCTGTGACAAACAGCAAAAGGTATGCACGAAATAGGGCAGGTTGAGTGCGATAACAAATATCCAAACAGAGTCATTGAATATACTTCCCGGCTCGCCCAGCTTCGGACCCGCACCTAGGTCTGCTGAGGAGCTGGGCGACTAAGGTATGGGTTAATGACTCAGCTTGCCCTTATACCTGGATGCCTCAAGGACAGCTTCGGTCCGCTACCTCAGCCGATACGAAGCTTCTTCAGCACCGAGCACTCAAAGCAGATGAAATCCAAGTCCATTTTCAGCCCAAACAGCGGTCTGCCCAGAGGTCGCCCTGACCCGCTGTACTCCCCGTCGCCATGCAGCTCTTGAAAGCCCACACCCGATACCGATCGTCCGCTCCACTCCACTCCACCCCACTCCACCCCACTTTGGTCAAGCTCGGCTTGCTCCAACACCCTGCCTATCACCCCTCCTCTGACTCAACTTTTTTTTTCCGTATTGGCCTCTACATTGATCGGGTTGGTATTGGTACTGGCCGTGCTCCTGTCGGCCAATCTCCGCCTCCTGCGCCACACCGACCCTCTCTACCCTTCGGTGCAGGCCCCGAGCCTGACTCGGCCATGTCTCCTCCCACCGCTCGCATCTGAAAAATGGCGCGGGATTTTGGTCCTGCGCTGGGCTCCAAATTCAGCGCATCACCCATGTCCCCCGAGGCTGCCCTTGAGTCGAGCTGGGAGCTAGTGGCCTTTCCAGAGACGCTGGAGGCAGGAGCGAAAGAAACCAAAGGAGCGATAACAGCGAGTAACCGTGATCGCTGTTACTGCACAGCGAGCACAAATAATACTTTACTAGTGGTTGTGATGTGGCAACAATACTCCAGAAAGCATAGGGGAGCTTCAAAACCGGTAGTGTATTGGTGTTCGCCTGGAACACTAACGCATCTGTGTCGGTCACACCATCGACACTCCTCAAACTACCACCCCGAAGCACCGAAGCTCAGAAATCAGTAATATCAGTATCGTGTTTATTTCTTTATCGCCATCGTCCTTGGAGTCGCGTTGGTCCAAGCATAAACTGACTCATCGGCGGTTTCGCCCCGGAGCATCAGATCTCGCGATTGCTGGGTTGAAACCCTCGTTGCGAGCGTGACTCAGTGCCGTAGCACCCAAACATATTATTCGCCTTTCGTTCCCAAAATTCCACACCCCCCCAATACCCACTCTCTCCCCTCACTCGCTCACTCCCTCTCTCCACCTTCGCCCTCCTCCTAATCTCTTCCTCTGGACGGGCAGCCGCTCACCTGACACTCGGACTGGCTTCACCCGTGACCATATCGTTTGTCTCTCCTTACCCGCGCATAAAGGGTGCACTCCCCAGCTCATTCCGCCATTTTCAGCGTGTCTTACACTTGCAGTAGCGATCGCAAGTATTTTGCCCTGCTGTGTGGCTCATTGGGTTCTTCGCGGGCGCGGCCATCCGCAGCCAAAAACCACTGTCTCCCTGTCCTTATCGGCAGTCTCTGTGAGGGTAAATTCACTTGCACATACTCATTTCCGAGCAGCAATCCGCTGCAATTTGGTGGTACAGTCGAGACTGGCGGGACTGAGGTTCGTTCCCCCATCGCTTGGAAAGGGCGGGATGGCGACGGTCTGGTCGTATATATAGCCCGCTACATTTCTCCTGGGGTCGAGCACCATCGGCCCCGTAGTCCGAATGATTTCAGTCAGTCTTAAAGTCAGAATGAAGTTCCTTGAAATTTTGCTGCTCTTGATCTTGATCATGAAACTCCTCCAACAGCCATGCGTTATCGAGACGGTAGGCAGTGCAGCGGCCTGAGTGCCCGTTGCTCACTCGTACTGAGTCTCGGCTTTACGTCAGATCTGAGTCTCTGGTTCAGTTTCCTGTTTTTAGACTCAACCCCTTTGTGTGCTCAACCTTTTCTGCTAGATCCATGTTATCGAGGCTTCCCTGAGCTCAGCGATGCCGATCGGCACTCTTGCTGGAAGCGTGGTAGGCCCTTGCTGTTCATCAAGCCCTTGCCTCATGCACATACACATCTCCAGCATCTCTCGCCGGGAGCTTGCAACCATGCTAACGCTCAACCTTTGTCCTATTAAAGCGATACCATGCCACCGACAGCAACAACCTCGAGGCTACGACGTCTGGCAAGGCATGTCAATTGAGAGTCAGCGGCGCGCCAGGGTGCTAAGGGATGTGGCGTCTGAATGAGTCATTCTCGCACGATGCATCCTTTGTGTCTATGACTTGATAGAAAAGAGACTCGTCATGTTCAGCCGGTGATAGCTTGCTTTCATCGAGATCGGTATACCCGCCTCTCGGACACTCTCGATCATCGACCCTTAACATGCCCTGACTCTCTCCAGTCCGATATTGGAGTCACAAGCACCCAAAGCCGACCCTGTCAAATTGCCGCTCACCTCCGCAAGGTAAAGTAGCCTTATGTTTTGCTAGCGATGATCGAGGTTAGAAGCACTGTCGGCTCTACCGGCCCAGTGAATGAACATCGCTGTTTCGATTGCGCTGCATCTCTAGGAGCTCGAAGCTCAAGAGGACCAGACCCCATACATCACTACAGAGTCGACCAGGATCCTCCAAATGGTAGGGCGAGTTCGCTATCATCCACGCCTTGTGGTATTTTTGTCCTTTTGCACAGTCGCAGTGCCGATTTGACCGAGATGACCGCAGCTCTCCCTTGGTGCTGATGCTTCTGGGTGCTGATGCTTCTGGGTGCTGGGGCTTTTGGGGTGCTGGGGCTTTTGGGGTGCTGGAGGCTCGGCTCTGACTGTTTTCATTGTGGCTATAGGCAATGTACCTATCCAATGGAATCCAGCCCCCAACCACGCAGGTTCGCCGCAGGACTGTTCATAAACGTGCTTGCTGTCGTAGATAGAAGATCTGATGCGTTCTGTTTTCCAGACCATCGCCCACGGCGCAAGTGTGGCTTATGTTGCCGAAAGCAACCTGACTCTGAAGGTTATTGAAGCTGTATGTAGAATTGCTCTTGCTCGACACAGAGCGGCTGGCTTTGTCCACAGTGATCGGCGCGGGACGTCCGCGCGAGTTTGCATCGTTGATTGCGAACATCGAGCATGGCCATTGCCCTAACTCCTATATCGATTGGTAACAGCTCGCAATCATCTTCCAGCTGATGTTCATTATGGTCATCTCACTGCTCGCCATTGCATACTGCACTGGCTACATGGACCTCTTCAGCATCGTGTCCTGTTGCTCAGACGATATACAGGTGGGCGTGGATATATTGAACTACAGAATTTACGGCCGCTTTTATTCATCTCCTGCGATACGTGCATCCACGGCTCTCGATCTGGCTAACCAATGTGCGATTCTGCATAAACTCTGCTGGACAGGCGACCGCCGATACTACGGAGCAGAATAATGCGCAATCTTGTAACTGTTTCGATGGACCCGACTCTTCTTTGGAAAGCCATTCCGACCAGTCAGACAGCGCCTCGACTCTTGATGCCGAATTAGAATCCAAGCCAGAAGTGACCAAGAAATCCAAGAACGAAGATTCGATGGAGCAGGGTAGCGAACATAGCCAACCACCCAGTCCCGAGCCCATGTGCGATGCTGCTCAATATGACAATGATACTCAAAGCCGGGAGCCAGCCCCGGAGCAGCTCGCTGGTGGCTCTGTTAACTCTCCTTCCGTGGATGCCAACCCGACATGGAGTTTTGAGGCCACCACGAGTGAAGTTCTCAGACAATATGACATTCTTATCGAGAAGGCCAACGAATCTGTTGACTACGAAGAAATAGCCCGCCTATGCGGCCTTGCTAGCATGCTCATGGTGATGTACACCGCCGTTGTCACTGATCCCATCAGACTCAGCTTGGGGCACTACAACCATGCGATGTCATACTATTTGGTACGGAGGCTGCCTGCATCATCGGTCAGCCGCGCACACTCAGCCTCCGGCACTAACGAAATCTTCTTGTGTGGGGACGATTGGTCTCTAGTCGGACTCGTATTTCGAGGCTCTCTTCTATGTCACAAAAGCCCTCAGCATCCTTGAGAATGCCGGCTTGTTGCCACAGACATATGAGCAGAGTCTGAACGAAGATAGCCGCATCAGCTCATACTATATGTTGCTACTGAAGGGCCAGGTTCTTGTGGAAATCAACAAGTCTAGTGAGGCCGCTGAGTATGTCAAAATCATCGAGGGAATCTACCTCGATAATATACACTGTGAGTCGCTCTGTTCGATGGCTTTCATTGCTGTCTTCGTCTCGATCATAGTTCTAACTACTGCCTCACACCAGCAAACCACTTCTTGAGCCTCAAGGCCGACGCGTTGACTCGAATCGATCAATACGAACAAGCACTGGAGGCCTTGAAGGATATGGAGGGCACCTACGAAGGAACGCTGCAAATCTATTTTGAATTGAAGGCCAGCTGCGCTATAGGCCTTGGTCCGCGATTCCTTGGGATGGCCGTGGAGGCTCTCGCGAACCTCGCGAACCTGGCGCCCGACAGTGAGTGATGCTGTAGCTGCGGGCTCTACCGGTCACAGTTTTGAAAGAGTCCCGTGGTGGCTCGCACTAAAGCCCACGGCTACTACCTGTCTTGTTAGGGTTCGGTCATATCTTCAATGACTATAACCAACGACTCCAAACGATAAACTGGGCGATGGACATGCTGCAGCTCAGTGAGGAAAGCGTTTTCGGACAGGACTCGAGCCTGGCCTTGAAGGCCGTCACAAAGGCATACCGAGTCATGAGCCTCAAGTACCATCCAGGTGAGTAAACTAAGACGATCCTGCAATCCAGCAACATGTCTCACCAGTGTCGTTTACCAACCGTTTTGTCCATCTTGCCGCTTGGACAGATAAGCATCCCGAGGATCAGGAGACGTACACAGTCAAATTCCAGCACTTGCAGAATGCCTACCAGCACATGGAAGCCACTATCAATGAACAAGACAAAATCAACATGGAACTTGCAGCACGACCAAAATGGTAGAGAGTTGGCCTGATGCTATTTTTTGCGCGATTTGTCAGTAAAGATTCGGTTGCTTGCCTTGGAAAGTGCAGCCTTGAATACAGTGTCGACCCCTGTTGGAGTGATCGACTTGCAAACTATGACATGGATCGATGGGTTGTTAATTGCCAGGTGCACTCGCCAGACATCCTCCATCGAGAAGGTCCTTCACTTGGTGATGCCTCTGCTAGATACGGGATCACCCAATGTACCGAGTAAGCCTGAGTCAGCGAAGACTTGGTGCCTATCTCATCCTTTGCTATCACAGGTTGGGTGATTATTGAGGATACTGGATAAATGGAAGGGCAGATTGATGACTGGGTGGACGAATCGATGACTGGATGAGTGAGCGAACGCGCGAATTTCCCTGTTGCAGAATGAAGTGCCCGTTGTCCCGACAGTTAGTGCTCGTGGGTGCCGCAGACAGGGCGCATTGGTTTTGAATATTATGCTGCATCCAACGCGAAGTGGGTGTCCTGTCCCTGAGAGGGGATGGGTTTCTTGAGAGCAAAGCGTATCGTATATGTCACTCGGCTTTTGAAGGAGCCGCTCCGATTTGGATGAGAAAGAGGAGTGGACCTCTCCTTTTTTCTTTTCGGCAGATTCGACCCGATCAACACGGCTGCGAATCTCTTGTGCAGCAGTCTCTTGCTTCTCTCATCTGCTCACCTCCCCAACCCAAGAAGAGCATCATAATGTCAAGTCCAGATGGAGCGGGCTCGTCCCAGATCCAGCGAGGGCGCTCAATGTCCGAAGTCGCCGACGAGAGCCAGTCCAAAGCAAGTCTTACAAGCAGCCATACCCTCCCGAGAGCAAAGGGCTCTAAAGGTTCAACGCCTGCATTGTCGGCGAGACAACCGAGCAATCTTTTGTTCGCAACGGCTGCTTCAGTCCCCAGCGACATCCAACGAATCTGAAACTGCCCTTTCTGAATACTAACGCGAGGATGGTGCTATCTTGGCCAGTCAATGTCGACCAACAGGGCCGGAGCTTTGAAGACCTAACCTTGGACGACTTGAAGACATTGCAAGACGCTTCACTGGCACGGCTCAATACTATCTTCCAAGAAACAGGAAGCAAGTGCATCGACAAGAGCCTCATCCGAACAATCAACGAGCAGACAGGGTTCTGTTCGAAGCGTCGATGGTGGCCCCTGAAGGGCAGCAAGAAGGAGCCGATTGTCCCAGGTAGCTATCGCAGAGGCGGCAAAAGGACCATCTACTCGGTGTGGGGCATATCCGCTGAGTCACCTCCCGAGGTGACTCGGACACTCTCGGATATTTGCCATTGCCTTGTAGCTTGCTTGGGTCCCTGCTGACCCTCGCTTTGATGTGCCCTTCCACGCACTGCCGCGCATCAAGTCTCGATTTCAAAGTGTCAGCTCGTACGGGCAGTTCAATTCGCGGGCGTGCCGTATCATTCAAGCACCGAAGCCGTCAATTGTCGTAGAATACCGATTCTTCTGCACGAATGCATGCGAAAGATCCGGGAATCAGGGCTCGGCACAAACGGCCTGTTTCGGATCAACGGCTCGGAAAAGAGGATCCAGGCTCTTGCTCAACAATTCGATACGGCGCCGACGTATGGTCTGGGATGGTTCGTATTCATAGCAATGATATCTCCATCGGGAGCTTTGTGCAATCAAAGCTCGTTGGGCGGCTGGAACGTAAATCGATCCGGTTGCCAATGCAATCCGACCATAGGCGACTCGATCGCGGGAGTGCTCACCTTTTCCATGATTTGATCATAGTACTTTCGAAGGCTGTACTAGCTACGATGCCGCAGATCTACTAAAGCGATACATACGGGAGCTCCCAGAGCCCTTGATACCCACCGAACTCTATCCTTTGTTTCTGAAAGCCATCGGTACGAGTCTTGCCCATGAGCAGTCGAGAGCTAAATCGCAAAGGCATTCCAGGTCTCTAGGGCCGCTGCCGGATTGTCGTCGATCCCTGCGACAAAGATATTGGCCTTGAGCAATCCAAAGCAAGGACGCAGCTCATTACTCTGCGGTGTTATTCGTTGCCTGGTGTGTCCAGACCTTCCCTGTGAAAAGGCGATGCGAATCCGAGCCTTCCGATTCTTGCTGCTACTATTGCCCCCGCCACATATTGTTGCCTTCGAGAGCATTCTATGTCTCGTTGGCGAAGTTGCAGCCAGGTCGAGTGAAAACCAAATGACGGCCCACAACCTCGCGCGGATCTTTGCCCCAAACATCCTTCGCTCAAAGCAGCAAAAGCAGTCGCTCGACGAATACGAGCGATGCTCCTTTGTGACCGAGTATCTGATTGAACACTGGACGCAGTTTTTGCTCACTGGACCGGAGCTCAAGCCCTTTGAAATCCTGGATGCCTCGTATCTGACACAGTTCCCAGGACCCCGGCCTGAGACAGATACGAAAGCATAACTGAGCAACGTAGACCTTTTACTCTCAGGAAAACGGGCCGCCTGTTTCAATCGTGCCCCTCGACTGACTCCGAGTGAGGTCCTAGGGTGGGGTCTCCGCGATCATTCTGTCGATACGATACATTGCCAACGGCAACCACAGTGCTGGCCTCCCTGGACACACGATTTGGTCAGGATGGACGATGGACGGGGTGTATTCAGGACCCAGAGAAAAAACAACGAAACCCCTGACTCAAAACAGGGTGTACCGTTGTATTTTGAGAAAGCTGTAGCCTTTGCCGCTCGTGGCCCATTACAGTCGGTCAGCCACTTTCTGGCTTCAGAGGCCTGAAGCCTACTGAACTTTCATAGGCACCAGTGGGCAAGCCATGCGATTGTTCCCGTCCTTACACTCGGTCGATCTCCTGTGGCGATGATCGACTGGTATTGATGTGTCGACGTGTGAGTGTAGTGCATCCACTCGATGTGGGAGTGTAATGCATCCACTCGATGTGGGAGTGTAGTGCTGTGATGATCATGCACGTTGGGAACACGTGTGGACTGCTGCGCGTGATGCACCGTGAGTCATGTTTGTTTGTCTTGGCGTGTATTCCCTGATTGGCTGGCGCCGATGACTCTTACTTCGCCTCCGACTGCGCTGTGCTTCGCCCCTCTCTCTAGCAGCTCCGCCTCCCTCGCACCCCCATCTCGTCCCTCGTTTGTCGCTCCACCCCTCTCGCCCACTTTCGCCCTTCGGTTTCCCTCTTGGCTATAAAGCCCCTCCTTTCTTGCACCCATTTTGTATCTGCAGTTCGAACAACACTTGTTGTTATCTGATAAGTCGTAATATAGCTTATCGTTGTTCGCCAAGCACCTGGTCGTCCAGTGTCGTTGCTTGTCGTGGTCCTCACATATTGTTCGAACTCCCTCTCTCTGTCTGACCACCTGCTTGGCTGAGGCTTCGTTGCTGCCCTCATCCTTCTATTCTCTGTTGTCTTCCCTGCATCCTCGCTCCCCACTTTCAAAGCCCACATGGACCAACTCCAGGCCCAAATCGTTGCCCTCCAGGAGGAACTGGTTCTCCTCCGGACCACACATTCTTCCGCCGCCCCACAGCTCCCGCACATGCCGACCCCGGACAAGTTCGACGGCACCAGGTCAAAGTTCCGCCCCTTCGTCAACCAGTGCCGCCTGCTCATGATGCTCCAGGCATCCAGGTTCCCGTCCGAGCAAGTCAAGGTGGGTTACGTCTTGAGTTTGCTCACTGGTCCGGCCCTCCAGTGGGCGACTCCCTTGATCGAGTCGAACGATCAAATCCTGCACTCGTTCGACTCGTTCATGGAACGCTTTCGCCAAGCGTTTGACGATCCCGACCGCACCCACACTGCCGAGCTGCTCCTTTCCTCCATGGCACAGGGCAACCGCTCGTGCATGGATTATGCCTCAGAGTTCCTCCGCGTTGCCGCCGACCTTCCCTGGAACGACGAAGCCAAGATCTCCGCCTTCCGCCGTGGCCTGTCGAGGGAGATCAAGCAGCGCCTCTCCTTCATCGACCCTCTCCCTCTCCGCTTGGTCCCGTTCGTCGAGCGTTGCCTCAAGATCGATGCACGCATCATCGAGCTCAACAACGAGCTCCGAAACACTGGCCCTGTTTCCTTCGGCACCCAGGCCTTCAACTCCCGCACCCCGTCCTTCCAGCCGCCCGCCCAGGAGCCTCCGGTTCTCTACTCCGAGCCGATGCAGATCGACGCCGCCGTCGTCAGCCGCCTGACCCCCGAGGAGAAGAACCGCCGCTTCCAGGAGCGCCTCTGCTTCCGCTGTGGCAAGCCCGGCCACGTCGCCAAGTCCTGCCCCCTCAAGTCCGGCTCCCGTGCTCCCGCCTCTGGTTCCCGCTTCCCCGGCTCCCGTCCTCAGGCTCCCGGCTCCCGTCCCCGTTCGAAGGTTGTCCGAACCATCGTCTACGATGATGGTGAGGAGGAACACTTCGAGTCGGGAAACGACCAGGCCCAGATCTAAGTGGAGGCTTAGATCTGGAGCCGTCTCCCCTTCCTCCAGAAGCAAGCGTCGATGGTAAGGAGCATGAGGTAAGTGTCGAACGCATGGCTATGTGTGGAATGATCAATGTAGTCGGTGGTGGATCGCACTCTGTCAAACCCGCCTCTTCTAAGGGCACATCTGGCTCCCAGATGTCTTTGACAGAGCTCCCGATCTCCACACCACCTGCGAACTTGGTCATCTGCTCGAACCATGCTGCCGACACTGATCTCTGCTCCGAGCCTTCTTCGTGCGTCTCGTCGATTTCTTCGTCTTCTCCCGTTTTCTCCGCTTCTCTTGTTCTCCCTTCTGGTCGCTCCCTCTCTTGCCAACTTCTCGTCGATTCTGGTGCCTCCGGCAACTTCATCGACGAGAGCTTTGTTGACCGCTTCTCGGTCCCCCTCGTTTCCAAATCCACTCCCCTCCCTGTCCAAGGTGTCGATGGCCAGCCACTTTCTTCCGGCCCCATCACTTTTGAGACGGAACCCCTCAAGATTGTTCTTGGGGACTACACTCAACACCTTTCCTTTGATGTCATTAAGTCTCCCCACCAACCTGTTATCCTTGGCTATCCCTGGCTGCAGTCCATCGAACCCAGGTTCCACTGGGCTCGTGGACTCCTTTGCCTTCCCCGTCCTGCAAACCACATCCTCAAGGTTGTGGATGCCTCTTCCCTCCCTTCCGTTTCTTCCGTTTCTCCTTCTCCCCTTCCTCTTGTTGGCGACACACCCAATGTTTTCCCTCGTGCCTCTACCGACACCACTGTGGTGCTCGCTTCTTCGCCTCGCACCGTTTGTACTCGCGAAGATGATCAGAATAAAGTGATCGCTCAACGTTATTCTGATTGTGTTCCGAGTGAGGTGCCCTGTTCCTGTGCTGCTCGTCCTGGTCCCTCCGGTCTCGTCTCCGTCCGTCCTGGTCTCCCCGGTCCCGTTGCTCCCAGCCCCGCTCCTGTCCGTGTCCAAGCGATCAGGTACAAGTCGTTGGAGCAGTCCGTCCTCGACACACAGTCTAGCCCCGACCCCCTGACTGTGTTCCAAGTCCTCGTCCTTCCTGCCACCGATCCGGATCCGACGCCCCTCTCGACGTCGATCCCCGAGGAGTACAAGTCGTTTGGCTCAGTCTTCTCGAAGCAGGAAGCCGATTCGTTGCCCCCGCACCGGACGTACGACTGCCCGATCGACCTGGAGCCCGGCAAGACCCCCAAGTTCGGACCGCTCTACTCCCTGTCAGAGCCCGAACTCAAGGCCCTTCGTGAATACCTCGACGACAACCTCGTCAAAGGGTTCATCCGTCCTTCGTCCTCTCCCGCCGGTTCTCCGATCCTTTTCGTCAAGAAGAAGGACGGCTCTCTGCGTCTCTGCGTGGACTATCGCGCATTGAACACGATCACGGTCAAGAATCGTTACCCCTTACCGTTGATCAATGAGATGCTGGACCGAGTCCGGGACGCGAAGGTGTTCACGAAGCTGGACCTCCGCGGGGCCTACAACCTGCTGCGTATCCGCGCAGGCGACGAGTGGAAGACGGCCTTTCGCACTCGTTACGGCCAGTTCGAGTACTTGGTGATGCCCTTTGGACTCACCAATGCTCCGGCCACCTTCCAGCACTTCATCAACGATGTCCTTCGTGATGAACTGGACAACTTTGCGATTGCCTACCTTGACGACATTTTGATTTACAGCGCTGACCCCACTCAGCATGCAAATCACGTCAAGCAGGTCCTGGCCAAGCTCCAGGCTGCAAAGTTGTACTGCAAGCTGGAGAAGTGCGAGTTCTCCAAGGACAAGGTCTCATTCCTCGGCTACGTCATCTCGCCCAAGGGTATCGAGATGGAACGAGCAAAGCTCTCCGCCATTGTCGACTGGCCCGTCCCCCGCAATGTCTCCGACCTTCGCTCCTTCATTGGGTTCTCGAACTTTTACCGTCGCTTCATTGACGGATATGCCAAGATCGCCGGTCCGCTCACGCTCCTGTTCAAGAAGTCCCAGGTCTTCCGCTGGTCCCCCGACGCCCACAAGGCTTTCCAGTCCCTCAAGGAAGCCTTCGTCTCCGAGCCCGTCCTTGCGCACCCCGACCCATCCAAGCCCTTTGTCGTGGAGTCTGATGCCTCAGACTTTGCGATCGGATGCGTCCTGTCCCAGCGCGGCTCCGATGGCCACCTGCACCCGTGCTCCTTCCACTCCCGCACGCTCATGGATGCTGAACGCAACTACAGCATCTATGAGAAGGAGCTCTTGGCCATCAAGGAGGCTTTCGAGGTCTGGCGACACTACCTCGAAGGTGCCCAACACCCAGTCCAAGTCCTTACCGACCACAAGAACTTGGAATACCTGGCGTCGGCCCGCATCCTCAACCAGCGACACGCCCGGTGGTCGCAGTTCCTGTCTCGGTTCGACCTCCGGATCCAGTACCTCCCCGGTCCAAAGAACGGCAAGGCCGACGCTCTCTCCCGCCGCCCGGACTACGTCCCTCCGTCCGCACCTGTGTCCAAGGAGCCTCCCCCGTTGCTGCCACCTTCGTCGTTCGCCTGTGCCGTCCGTCGCTCCTCGGATGCAAGTTCCACTCGCCCTGTGGACTTGCTCAAGCTCATTGCCGAGGAGCAACCCAAGGACCCGTCCCTGGACCAGCTCCGCAACGATCCCAAGTATGTCCTGAAGGATGGTCTCCTCACCTTCATGGACAAGATCGTTGTGCCCGAGTCGTGTCGAGTCCCCGTCCTCAAGTCATGCCACGATCCTGTCGCTGTTGGACATCCTGGCATTCGGCGGACTCGGGCACTGATCTCGAGGCAGTTCTGGTGGCCCTCAATCCGCAAGGATGTCCAGGCTTATGTCTCGACGTGCGACACTTGTGCACGCTCGAAAGTCCCTCGACATAAGCCGTTTGGATACTTGCAGCCCCTCCCGACGGCATCGCGACCCTGGTCTCTGGTGACGATGGACTTTATCACCGACCTCCCCGAGTCCAACGGCAAGACTTGCATCT